TCTGACATAAGCGAAGTTCAGTACACAGAAAGTCAGTTCTTAAGTTCATATTCCACACCTCCCCCTCAGCTTATGCACAACACAAAGGCTCTCTTTGTTGAGGAGCAAAGGGCTGTGTTCTGTTCCATGATTCCCCTAAAGGACTGCCTCATATTACTTCATACCCAAAAATATATGATTAATAAATAATCACACAGGGATGTTCTGGTACAACATCAAGCCATGGTTTGTCACTACATGAGAAAGGTGTGTGCTCTCTACTTTTCTTCTAATGCATTTCAGCTAGTTGCTTCCTCAAGAGGAATAGAAGTCAGTTTTTACTAGAACCCCAAGAACTACAAACCAGAGCATGGTGCAAAAGACATGCTCCTAAAATTTAAAAAATGCAGAAGCCAGGAATTTACTTCAAGGACTTGAAGTGAACAGAGCTCACAGTCCTTCCACACAAAAAGCCACTTCTAGTCACCTCAGAATTTCTTCATTCGGCAGTATAATGTAAGGTGAAGTAGCATTTTGTTACTGCTATTGTTAAATAAATGATAGTCAGAAGTTCTTGCTGATTTGTTGCAAAGTTACTAGCCATGATCCAAAACTATGGATTGTGCAAAAGTGGTAGTAAGTAATTCAACTGGCACATACAACCTCAAGACTTGTTTGCATAGTACCAAATCATTAACTACGATGTTTTCTGGTTATGTGATAGTTAAAAGAGTTAGATCAATTTGGCTTTAGACGATGAGATTTAGCAAACAGAGCGTAAACTATCATTTGTAGTTAAATTGCCACGGCATTGCAAGAGTCACCGGACCAAGTAAAATGGACACTCATGTCAGCCAATCTTCTAGCTGAGGTATAAAGAACATGCCAACCATGTCCCATTAATAAGCAGTCCTGCTTCACCACCCATCTGTGTCTTCCAAAAGAATGGAAGCAGAGCAGAACCTCTAATAACATAACAGGGATAGGGGAAGATCAGCAACGTTTTCCATTACCTGCTTATTTTGCAAGGCTGTATTTTCAGAGGTAATTTATGAGAGAGAGGAGAAAACACTGAAATTTCTACAGGATGAAGGGTGATGCAGGCCTGCTAGGCAAGGTTCAGACAATGCACACAGTGCAGGCACACTTAGCTGTGCTGGAATCTGCAAAGCAATATTAAAAATGCTGCACAGGCAGGCAACTCGTCAGAGAGCAACTTAATCTGTCTAAATATTCTCATTATGTACATGGCATTTAGCTTCCTTTCTTGCGGCAGAGGAACAGAGACCATTTCCAGAGGACTTTGGGGACATTAAGCTATGAAATAGGGCTTTTGTCAGTCACTTTCTCCTCCCCTTTTTCAGCTCCATGATGCAGTGTTTGAAAGTTATTACTGCAACGGGAGAGGAGGAGACAGGAGTAAAGAAAAACAGGGACTTTAGGAGGAAGACAGGAAGGCTCTTCTAAAACAAAAAAACCCCAGCCAGTTAATTCATCTCTTGTAGCAGTAACCACTGAAAACACACACACACAATTTCCAAAGCATGCAAAAACCTTGTGAATTTTATTTTCTGACTGCACAACCCCAAGCAGTAGTGAAATGGAGCCAAAGCTTGTTGAGAAGTAGTGCAAGCAATTTAGCTATGAAGAGGGATGTTAACATCTTCTTCAGCCCCCTCCTCCCAATCCATCTGAGCTTAGCTGCAATCTCATACTAGGTGTGGGGAAATTAATTTTCCCATCAATGGTATGTTCTTTCCTGTTGCAATGTATAGTATTTTGTGGTGTCTGATGGCCGATAGGACTCATTAGCTTTACAAAAGATTTCATTCTGGTAGAAATAAAACTCCTAGAATTGGTTTATTGATATGGATCCAAATAATTGCCTGCTTTTTTGGATTCTTGGGGCTGTGGCTATGGGAATTGTAATGATGAAAACCTGGCTCTTTAGAAATGGCCACTACATCACTAACCCCAAATTAATGGCAAATTTATCCAGTGAAATAACTGGACAGAATGCACAGACAGAGAGAGTGGAAACATGATTCTCCTGAGAAAGACTGAACTATTCTGGATGGGAGTAGAATCGACTTTTCTTCAGGCTAGAATCCTTACCAGGAAAGCAAGTCACATTGAACTCAGTCACCCCAGTCTTCATTCCCATAGTGGAACTAGCCTTCCCTGAGTTGCTTAGCCACTCTCATTTGTAGCAGGAGCAGTCAGGCAGTCAGCGTGCACCAGGATGCTGCAGAATTCATGGTGACCCAGGATTCTGGGTTCTTTTGACATATGAACTAGGTCTGTGGATTATCCACTTTGAAAACAGTATTCATGGCACACTAAACACCATGAACCAACCAACCTACCTACCTACCTATCTATTTTTCAATTTATATCCTGCCTTTTTCCTACAAAGGGCTCAAGGCAGCTTACATCATTCTCCTCCTCCATCTTATCCCCACAACAACAACCCTGTGAGGTAGGTTGGGCTGAGAGTCTGTGACTGGCCCAAAGTCATCCAGTTGGCTCCACGCCGAGAATGCACTGGGGGTTTTTAAATGTTTTTTTCCTTCTTTTAATGTTATATTATTATTATTATTATTTTGTATGTTTTATGTATTCTTTGTGAGCCGTCCTGAGGCTTTGTTGCGATGGGGGCGGCATAGAAATGTAATAAATAAATAAATAAATAAATAAATAAATAAATAAATAAATAAATAAATAAATAAATAAATAAATAAATAAATAAATAAATAAATAAATAAATAAATAAATGGCTGAGCGGGGACTAGAACCCAGATCATCTGAGTTCCAGTCCCATGTTCTTAACCACTATACCACACTGGCTCTCCTAAGACAAGTAGCAGTTTTTAATCGATACTCCAGAGCCCCTTCTATTGCCTCATGGCCTCTCTCCCTTAGTTCTTTAACAACCCCACTTTTCAAGCCCTGTAAAGCATGCATCTGCTCTTAACTCTGGTCCCTGGGCCATAATTCTAGTGCATTCAAAGGAAGCTACCTTCCAATTAGTTTAGTGAAGTCAGAGTCAGGCATATCTAATGACCAAGTAAATATAGGTTCCTTTTGTTTTACAATACATCTCTAAATGCTGAGGATGGGAAGGTGCAGGTCATGAGAGAGCACAAGGCTTACCCCCACAGTTGTAGGGTAGGGAGAGCAACATCTGAACAGTCCCTAAACTGCAACAGCAAATGAGTGGAAAATAAGGAAAGGTGAAAGACCAATTAACAGTAGGTTCTTACTACTGGTTAAGGTAATTACCAGTGATTCTGAGTACTCATCCACATTTATTTAGTTAGAATACAAAAATTAATCTAAATTGTGTGTCACCAGTGAGATCTCCTCAGATAAATGGAACAGACAGCCAAGAAAGACCAACCTGCCACAGAACTGGAAGCTGAGGATGCAAATTTGAGAATGGAAATAGCATCACAGAACTTTCCCACCCAGAGCAGTAAACCTGCTGCTTCCACAAAGACATTTTTAAAGAAAGTGTTGGCTAATGACAATTATCTTTATGAGTTATAGGTGCAATATCTAGGAGGTACAGGCAGTAATTAATGCATGTCTGCTTTTCCTGATGAGTTCCTTCTGGTAGGTCAAAGAGTTATTAAAACGCAGTTAGAAAATCTTCAATCATGTAGAAATTCTGAAGAAATAGGCCTAGACGCAGTTTTATAAAGCAATAATATTTCTTTTAAATAATTAACCAGGCTGTGACATTTGTTAATATTCCTGAGGCCTAGCTCCTGCTCTAGCATTATTACTTCAAAACAGCAAAAAAGTACTTCTCAAAGAAATGATCCAGTCAGCACATCCATAAACCCCAACCTGTGCTTGCACGCAGATGAAAACTGAACACATTGCGCCTCAGGTCACTTCTTCCCTGCCACTCGCTCATGTTTGCACTCAGTCTTCAGCTGCAATATTTATCTATAAAGTTGGTTACACATTTCAGGGGGAAAGTAATATTTGTTTTATTCCCCATTTCTTATTATGCTTGTTACATGCCATCAAGTCATCCCCAACTTACGGCAACTGTATGAATGAAAGCCCTCCAAAATGTTCTGTCCTTGGCAGCCCAGCTCAGCTCTTGCAAATGCAAGTCCGTGGCTTCCTTTACGGAGTCAATCCATCTCATTTTTGATTTCCTTTTCTTCTTATGCCTTTGATTTTGCCTAGCAAGATTGTCTTTCTGCCTTCTCATGATGTCCCCAAAGTACAACAGCCTCTGTTTTGTCATTTTTGCTTCCAGGGAAAGCAATTTCTTATTACAAATTATTAAGATTTTGGAACAGCATGTTATCAAATATTTTCTACGTGTATCAAAATAAACTCCTAACACAGATGCCTTACAATACCCAGTTTCTGTTAGAGGTTTGTTCTTAATACACATTGGAATACTTGTGGAATAGGAACAGCAGAGATAGAGGGATCTTTACCTTTGGTAGAGAGGGATTTGTCAGAAATTTAACAATATATGAGGAGAGGCCCTATTTAAATACTAACGTTTAACATGAAAAACTAATGTGCAAAAGTTGCTGCATTATAAAGAAAACCTTTATAATGAGGCATCATGCCTCAAGGTGTGTTCTGGGCCAAATGATTAAAAGACTTCTGTACAAGCTGTATCACTTAAGTAATGTAACTCTTGCTGACTTGACAGAGAGGAGCTGCACAAGAACAGCAAAAGAGGAGGAAAATTATGACAAAACTCTTAGGGAGAATTAACCAAAATGGAAAGCTGGCCAGGATAAAATATGCAGCTAGTACAGAATCGGTTGTTTGTTTGTTTGTAAAATGTATTTATTTATTGCATTTCTATATTGCTCAATAGCTGATGCTCTCTGTACAGCTCACAACAATTAAAACTAAAAATACCACATAGATTCAAAAGTTTAAAACTACAATACAAAACAGACAAGCCAAAGGAAAACCTATCAGCAGTACAAAGATTTAAATACTGAAAAGGATTTAAAACAGCAAGACTGGAAACTCACCAGATATATCCTGTAAGCATCGATCCTTCTGATCTGGCCCCAGCACCTGTCTGTGTCATTACACTTCGTAGCATTTTCAACACTGCATGAATGATTGCCCGTCACACTACTGACAAGAAAACAGGAAAAGCAGACTGTAATTAATACACCTCTGCAAACATGAAGAGAGTCTTATTAATAAATATACACCACAAGGTTCAGGGAGAAGACACAAAACAGATTTTCCTAAAGGCTCTGTCATATTTGCAGGAAACAGTTTTGGGGATCATAAACTAACAGTTTCTCTGGTTCTGTTAAAAAATAATAATAGAAGCAGTTGACTGCACTAATGACAGTAAAAATGCATACTTTCTGAGCACTATTTGAAACTCCTCCTGGAAGGCATCCTTAAAACAACAAGCCACCCGCCACCTTCATCTAACATCAATTTAGTGCTACAAATCACAACGTGGAGCCTTAGTCAATCAAAAGCTTCACTGCACTCCATACCTTTAGTGTATCTTATATGGGCAGACACTGAACAGCATGATTATGACTTGATTAAATAAATCAAATTTAATTTGATCAAGTAAGTTTCAGTTGCTTGTCTAAAACTGAATTAGTTTGCATATGAACGAGAAGAATCTATTTTTAGATGATGCTCATTCATGTTGCATCAAGTCTCCATAATAGATTAGCCATGTTTTCCTGCATGGAAGAAATGGGTAACAGCTCCTCTAACATGGCATCTCCCATTCCTGATCCTTGTAAGGAGCTGTACCAACATTATTCTAATTTTTAAAAATCCTGCTACCCAACTTATTAGGATCACCTTTTAAACAATTCAATTGGGTAAACACTGCAGCCCATGAATAGGTGAAGCCCAAATCATAACGAAGACCAGTGGTGCAGTATCACAGGTACCAGGGCCCAAATCTGGCCCTTCTGGGTTCCCTAGATGGCTAGGCTCCCTTCCCTGACCCTGGCCTCTTTTCCCCAACCACCCACGATTTTATTGTTTCCCAAGATTTGATGAGATGCTGCCCCCATTCTAGTAGGCTGAAAAGGTTCCCAAGTCTTAAATTTTGGCAGTATCAGCTTTAAACTGAATATATTGGCATTTTTATGTCCTGCCCCCTTGTGCCTTTAACTTTGCTCAGTAGTGGAATGTGGTACTTGAAAGTTTCTCCAGAATGGAATTTGTCCCTTGTACTGAAAAGGGTTCCACACCCCTGCCTTAGACTTTGCGTTTGTCAATGTACTAAAGGATTGTCATATCATATCAGAACTCTGTAAGCTTCTTCAGAAAATTCTCTTGAAAACCAGAGCAGAAATGAATGAAATACCTTTATAAACTGCAACCCATAAGTTCTACCCTTCTGTCTGAGCCATCTATATGGAACAGCTATGTTATCAACCAACATTTCAGCAAGAAACAATTGTTTACAAAATATTGTCACAAAAAGCACACTCACCAAGTCACCTGCATGAGAGAAACTGGAACAGCAGCTGCATATATTGCCAGATCACCGTAGAGGTAGATAATTATACAGACATAAAATAAATTGACTCCGACTGCAAAGAAAGGAACAGTAAAAGTAGGGTCGGGCTAGACCAGTGTTTCTTGCCATTTCACACTGCACACTAATTAGCAACCTATTGCACGTCAGATTTTGTTGTTATTCAACTTGTTTCTAATTTGGAAAATTAGGTTCAACTCAGGGGGAAAATCAACAGCAGCATACTAAATATTCAGGCTAGGCCAACTTTGATTCACCCTTAAATCAATAAAAACAAGCCACCAATAATTGTAACACTTTGACTATTCCAGAATTGTTTAAATCACACCCAGTGTTCTTCAGACTTCATACAAGACCTTAGGAAAACTGCAAAATCTCATAATTTTCTGAACAGCGCTCTCATTCTTGGAATAGGTTTGCCAGCGCTTGGCATATACTTTTACAAGGAGCAACAACCATGTGATAAAGATGTTTTCTTATCTTTGATTATCAGGTCTTTCCAGTTTGTTAATAAATGAATCTAAAGTTGAAGAAGCAATTGTCCCCCCACCATAATTCAATTAATTTATATTAACATTTGTTGCTAGTATCTTTTACCCTGCCCGCACAGTCACTGAGGATGGTGGAAATGCCCCTCTCCTTTGTTACATTTCCAGCACTTCTCAAGAGTACTTCTGATGAATCTTCACAATCTTCTTCAAGTGCATCAGGAGATATTGAGGGATGGGCAGGATTGTGATGCTTAGTAATTAGGTTTGTGCTGGTGACTTTATCAAACCCTTCTAATTCAGGGACTAATAACAAAACTTGGATAGAAGGGGCAGTGACTCCACCCCCCCCCCCCAACCCTCAGTGGCTACATGACATCTAAATGTCAGGGCCGCATGCCCTGATGCCAATCAGTTTTCTGCAGGCACAACAGGAATCAGCTTTCCTTTATGTGGGTCTTCTACCACTAGGAAAGGTGAAGGATGAGCTAAGGAGGGCAGCTATTCACCAGGGGAAAAGGAATTCCTAGGAAGAACTGGAATCCCCTCCTTATTGCCGATAGGTGATTGGAGATGATGAGGGGTTTGGAGGAACAGTACCTGTGTATTTATCTGGCATTTGCTTGTATTGGACAAGTGGCTTCCTTGCATGTATTGGATAAGTCAGCTTCACCCAGCCGAGGGAAAGGCAAAGGAAGAGCCAATTCTACTAGCCCACTGAACACAGATGCGTTTGCAAGTGCTGGACAAATGCACAACTGTCAATCCCCTAATAGCCTTTCTATCTCCAGCTGATCTAACAGGAGAGCCAAAAAGACTGCACAGAGGAGACACAGCAAGGTAACTTTATTTTGTGAAATCTGGTAGCTAATCTAGAATTTTGAAAAACATAAATGCTGTTTCAAATGCAGTTACTGTTGTAATCTGGCATGAAAAGCTGCTTGTTTAGACAGAGGCACTCATCAAGAGAAGCCTTCGGAGGGATATTGGGGAAGAAAGCAGCAGGTTTCCAAAATCTATAGTTGGGGAAAAAACATATTGGGCACTGACTCAGTTTGCACTATCAACTCGTATCTAACTACAGTGTCTTCACTTACAATGTATGCAAGTTAAGAGAGTTGTAATATGGCCACAGAGAAAAACGGATGTGCTGCAAAAGCATTTGTAGACTCCCCCCTGATCTCGTATCAACTCTTTGTTCATTTCTTTTCATCTGATCATGGTTCTTCGATTGCAGAATTACAGCTCCAGCTGTTGTCAAGATCAATTGTGTTTTATGGATACCATGGTACAAGCATGTTTTCAACACAAGATGCTGGCAACCAGTCACAAATATACAACTATCAGCAACCACAACAGTATGATTCAGAAGCAAACAGATCTGCAAAGATAACTCTGCCACTGTCTGTGTGCGTTTGTCCTCCTGCAGAATACTCCACACTGCAGGTCTGTAACTTAGGGCTAAACTAGAGACCTGATACTTCCCTTTCTTACCTTCAAGTAATCCTGCTGGCGTTCTCTCCAAACTGGGATACCCACACAGAGATTTAAACCTTCCCATCCAGTTACATTTTTCTCCAAAATTCAACCCTATCCCCCTCTTGCAGGGGCTAAAAGGAGAGGGAAAAAAAGCTCCTCTTTTGACACAAATGCCTTAAAGAGTTTTCTTTACTCCTGTGCGAAGGGGTGAATTTGGGAAAAGGCACCAGGGAAGGCTTAAATCTTCCCTGCCCTTGGGCAATGGCCCCAATCTGTGGTAGGATATTACAAGCTACCTGTAAGGTGCAGGCTTATTTTTGCAGTTCAGCACTTCACAGGGCATTTAGCTGATCCCTAGGCATCTCTGTTGAATTAAAAATTCTGCAATAGCTCTTTTTCAAAATTGTATGCAATTCTGGCCCTGCAAAATCTGCCCATCAGGGAAAAAAGGTTACCCTACTCCCAGCATACTTTTTCTCTAGAAGAGATGGAGCAGGGAAAGGATGTGCAATTTTACAGACAAATGAATTACCAAGAGACAAAGAAACTCTGCTCTCATGAGCAGAAGTCAATAAGGATAAAGAGATCTCAAAATACAATCAATCAACTGTAAAGAAATAAAACTAAATATGTCAATCTCTAAACAGTTTTCATTTCAAAAGGCAAAGGGAGGAACCAGATAAGAATACAAATGTGGCAATGGGTCTAAACAATGCCAAGCCTAAAAGTTGCTAGATGTGTTGCAATTTGCAAGTGGGTCAAGGGGCAGGTCATTCTTATTCCTGAGGTCCTTCATGATGGTCCCACTGCAGTGATATATACCAACCATCAGTGAAAATCCCCTGTTGTCTCTCACTGTAGGAGAAAGGCAACAGTTTATACTGATGTTCAAAGAATAACTAATATTTCCTACTTACCCAGGTCATCACAATGCCAAAGCCCCTCTGAGATACATACTAATGTGAATTTAAGTCTCAAATAACGTGCAAGAAAAATGGTGCAGAAGAACTGTCAATACCTCCCTGACTAAGGCAAAGCAAATAAGTTATTAAGGAGGCAAAGAAATTATTCCTTATTACATTACAACCAACAACACTGAGAAGAACTCTCTAAAATCTTAAACAGTTTTCCACAGACAAGAAGAGTTCACTTTGCAGTGACAGACCTAGTACATTAATAGTCTTTCTTATTTTCCATAAGCCTTCAACAGTATTCACCTGTTGTACTGAGTAAGTTAGTTACTGGAAACATTGGATAGGAAACGTCTGGAAAACAGAAAAGTCCTTGCAAACCTCTCTAATAAAAGTTGTACATAAAAATCTTCCTACATTCACTAATATTTTAGGACAACAAAGGTTATCCATCTCAAAAACAGGTCTTACCTGTACTTTAAATTCAAGCAGAAGAATCTACATTACTAGGATCAACAGGACAGAGAAAAATAGGTGGAGAACCATAACAAAAATAGATATCCTCATACCATCCAGTGCATCACGCAGGGTCATTTATCCACACAATGACCCTGTAATTACGTCCACAGCTAGCTACTACTAAAAAAACCAGGAACCAAGAAAAAATAGAGCACTTCTAAGAAATAAGATCCATCAAATTCAATGACATTACTCCTTGTTAAGTGCTCAAAGGACTGCAAAGAAAGTCAAATTTGAGCTCCTGACAAGTAAAATAGGTACACTTATTATGCATATTTTACTTTTTTAAGTTAGACTGTATTCTTTCCTCCCACCAACTTTAAATATATGGCCTCAAGAGAAAACAAAAAGTGGTAATCACTAGGAGATGATACAGGCCTCATGAATTTGTGGCACTAAAGGAATCTGAAGCAGTGTTCAAGTTGAGAGTCAAGATGCTGTGCATTCCCAATCTAATCTCAAGGATCTGAAGACAATGCACTAGGATATTGTAAATTACAATAACTAGAAATATGCTGCATTAAGAGAAGTGAATGTTGTGATTTTCAGAAACCTCATGGGTGCCACCAAATACAGACTGGGAAACATCTGTCTAGAAGCACAGTCTTGTGGTAAACCAGTGCCCAGCCCTGAACATAGTCTTCAAATAATCAGTTTTTCAGTTCAGATTCCTTGTTTATGAGCTTTAACCAAAGGGAGTGCTTTGGCAAAATGCTTGCTTTAAAGAAGGACCTCTCTTTACTTTGGCTTTGAAATCTATGAGCAAGAAGCTCTCTAAGGAAGTATGCTGTAACTTTTGAAACTTTTCATTGCAATTGAAGTGCTTGCTTCTCACTAAATGATACCAATCTGTCACCAAACTGTATCTTGTAAACAGATAAAGGATGCAGGGGAGGTAGTAGAAAAATTACTGTCATTGTTAATACCAGACTTATTGGGTATTTGCCCAAGACGTTGGGTCTGAATCATGCTCCTACCTCTGACCACCACTTGGCTATAACGAAGTACATGTTAGGAAGGAAACGATGTTGCTGAATCTAATGCTAGAAACATGACTCTCTTTTATTCTGTAGGCTACAAAATGGCCGTGCCTTAACCACAGTAGCTTGAGGTGTTAGTATTCTCTTTAAGGTCCACAGTACTTGTTAACTTGAAAACTTAGTTCTGTAGCCCATCTTGCTGTCCCTTTGTGGGACATCTCAGAGCACTTCTTTGTTACATGTTCAGGAAAGACACTGCATTTCAAGTTGACCTTTACAGCAAGCGGTGTAGTTCAGGTTTGGGCACCACCCAATACCTCTGCTGCCCCACCTACAGATAGATGTTAGCATCAGTTCTGTTTTATAAAGTGCCATAGACCTTCATTGATCGATACTTTCATTACTGGACACAAAGCAGGAAGATCAATGACTTCCTGCAAGGATGGTACATGATGTATGTGCCTAGAATCCATTATTAGAATAAATGACTTCCTGACAGCGAACACCCAACTATCCTTCAGATGAGGTTCCCTTCATAGGAGACCCCATAGGCTTTCCCCCCACTCTCCTTAAGACGGCTGCACATCTATCCCCTACAGATAGCAGTTAAGCCACCTTGGAAGATTTATTCTCAGCTTAAGTCCTAAGACTGGAGATCCAGAGCATGTCAAATTGTTAAGACAGTCAAGGGAAATGAGCAAAGAATACAGTGAAAACAAGGCTTTTGCTTTTAACTGACCAATAACTCTCCAAAGAATGTATAACAGAGCCACAACCCATCTTCATCTAGCCATGAAACTCTGCAAGTCCTATTTTGAGCGCAAAACATAAATCTCTCTTAACAGCAGTCCTGCCAGAGGGTTGTTGTTGTTGTCGGTGGTGGTTTTTTTCCCCAGTGGGGGAGGCACATGAACACACAAAGGTTGTACAGACTTTTTCAGGCTCAAATAGAAGCACAATACATGAAGAAAAGCAAGGTCAGAAGTTCTCCCTTAAAAATAAATAACTGAAAAAATGTGCAGATTCTAAACATGCCTAGTTGCTCATAGCTTGATGACTTCTAAAGGGAGGGGTGGGAAAAGGAGTTAGAAGCAGCTAATGGCAACTGAGAATTCCTGTTACCCACCAAGAAGAAAGCAGTGAGGCAGAAGATGGAAGAAAGACTCAGAGCAACTATGTGGTAAGCCTTCTATGCAAATTATATAGGCTGCCCAGCCCTGAAACACAGCTGATTGGGTGAAAAGGAAAGGAAATGCATGCAGGATACAAGCTAGGAAAAGAGGCACTGAAGTGAGGAACACGGGGCTTATAAAAGGAAGGAGCAATACAACTCCCAGCATCTTAAAGTGAGGTTAAAACATCTTGCCAAATCAATGAGACCGATGGTGCCTTGAAATTATCTGAATACTAATCAGTCCCTTTAGAGAAGTGTGAAAGAAAGACTCTCTGTAAGTGATTCTCCCACTCCCACCTACATGAGGGAGCTTGTTAGACTCCACTGCATTTTTTAAAGGACCACAGTACCTGCTGAGTGAAACCAAGAAAGTCCAGCCAATCTGTAAAGCCTACTTTCATCTTGGAGAAGGTCAGTTCTCCTCAAACCGATGTCTTCCAAAAGTTTACAACATCCAATATTTCTGACCACTGGCTACACTAACCAGGGCTGCATTGAGACCCCAAATCATTTAGGGTTGGATTCAAAATCTGCCTTCCATTAAAGAAAGGGAAGGCATGTGAGAGAAAAGCTCCACTTGCACAACATTTCTTCACCTGATTCTTGAGGATCTCCCCTCCCTCCAACCTGGCAGATCAGGCTGTGCAGCATGTTCCAGAGGAGGCAGGGGCTGTGATGAGAAGGAGGGGAAGGGGAAGTCTTCCAACACTGCAGTTGATCCAGCTTAAATCTGGATCCAAGCCTGGAGGTCACAAGATTAATGAAAACTGTTCTAGAACCTAAACAGTCATCTGGTCAGCACTCCCATACAAAGAACCTTCCATGAAAGCTGTGTGCATGCTGAAATAGTCTGCCAATGCAAATAGTCAACAGGAGAGTTTTTCTTGGCACTTATGTGTCCACAGGCAATTGCACATTACCTACCCAAAGCATTCCAATTTTTGGACCTTAGATTGGCCATATGATCTAAGTGTGCAAACAATGACAACTTATTTAGACCACTGTATTATAGTCTGACAAGAAAAAACAGATATAGATTCAAAGGAAATCAAACATTTCTATTAAAACTGAAGGGTACAGTTTAAAGATGAGCTTCCTCACATCCACTTCACAGTCCAAATATTCAAAAGACACCAGTCATCTTTTTTTAAAAAATAGCACAAGATAGAAACTAGTATTTAAAAAAAATCTGAGATTCTCAAGCTAAATTGCATGCTTGACAATGAATCTGGGAAAAGTATATGATCCTTTCTAATCCCGGAAGGTGTTATTTTATAGATCAAAGCAACAGCAAGTGTCACAGAACCCTAGTTAGGGCAATCCTTGATACTGAGCTAATACTTTTTTCACAACAGCTCCTGTAATTATTCAATGTTTTTACTTGCTCTTCTGGAAAGAGGAAGTTAATATTATGGTCTGCTTATGGCAAGAGAGGAAGGCTTTTATGAGCATTACCAAGCAAATATTTTGTATTTTGTTGGAAAATATTCATCCACTTTTGTACAGAATGCATACATATAATCTGAGCACCCTCTGGTGGATGAAGAAATCTATGGCAGAAATTAAAGCTGGATACTATAAGCAATAGCCCCCAGTGCAGCTATCTTTGCCTAAGTGAAAAATGCCTCTTTCATCTCTAACATGAGCTTGTGTACTAGATATAACCTGTTCTTACTCTAAATTCACATATACATGAAATTAGCAGCTAATAGAAGGAGACGGGCACAATATCCAGGAGAGCTGCAACAACCACCAGCATTTAATTCTTTTTTGCAAGTAAGCTATATATTCATGGGGTAAGGGTGATCTTGACTTTAGCCAGCTTTTCATTTTAAGAACTCAACAATGCTCTATCCTTCAAAAAGTAACATATGTGATAGGTCGAGTGGTGTACTTTGAAGTGATATGTTTACCTGGAACTGCCATTCCTCAAGTAAAACCTCCAAGTACTAAAAACATTTAGGAAAAGCAAGACAGCATATTCAAATAGGAAACAGGGCTATCATGGTTGGGAGGTCATTACCTTTGTTGAAGAACATGGAGGCCATCTGACCCATTTCTATCCTTTCAGTGATTTCAAAAACATTTGGTGTTCCTCGTCTCTCTGCAGATTTGAAGGAAGGAAATTCTTAGCTCACGTCTCAAGGCATGATAGACCTTGCCTAAACAGTAACTCATTCTTGCTCCACCATGCCCAGGCTGGTAAATTACCACTTAAATTACCACTGTGCTGTTTATGATAAAACAGGGAACCAGAAAAGGAAAACATGCAAGACCTGAGGGTTGTGGTTTTTTAAAATTCTAGGAGGGGTGTGTGCATGTGTGGGAGGGCACAAACAAACATTGGTGTTTTATCATACTTTGTGGACTTATTTTGCAAAGGCCGCCTTTGTGGCCTGTTACAATGTAGGCTCAGAGCCAGCTATTCTTTTCCATCAAATATTACTGAGCAGCTGTGACCCTACAAAAGCAGAGCCACAGAAAGAATGGGGCATTTCAGTGGCCTGATGCTTTGATCAACCAGGTTTTTTGAGTTATAAAAACAAGAATACTGTGATGCTCAGGTTGCTAGTAAGCATATTTTCAGGACGGTCATGTAATCTGTTAGAAAAGAAGCAGGCACAGTATGAAGTCTCTAACTTTTTTCTTTGTCCTCTGGTTTAAAGAGTAACTCTAAGGGAACTGGGGAAAAGTCTGGCATACTACCAGGATGGAAGAAAAATCAGCTGGATACTTACGAATAGATAGGATAGGTCGTGTCTCTGATCTTTCATAGTTATCTGGGAGAAGAACATCACTATCAGAAACTCCAGACGAAGAGTCATCATCATCACCTTCCTAGAACAGCAAGAAATGGGTACAACTGACGAAGATAGAGAATCATTGTGGGATTCTGACAAGAAATAAGATGTGAGGCACTAAAAAAACCCCAAGAAGTGTTCACTTGCTGGAAAAAAGACCAAATCTTTCCAACTGCAGGCCTTTAAATGTGCTTACTATTTCCTATGCTCCAGAATTCATATGCCAGTGCCAGGAAAAAAGGCTCATTTGTGATGAGACAAATTTTACAAGGTGGTGCAGAACTCACAGCCATACTTTAAGGGCAAACACAAGGAATGAAAGCAGAACTAGTCCCATGAGACTTCTCAATTGTAGAAGGCTATGATTGGGAATTTAATTAAGAAAAGCTACACAGACCTTATGCTTTTCCATTCTCTTCCAGCGAAGCTGGGCGTTTGCTGCAGCCATAGCCTCCATTACAAAAGTTGTTGTCATATAGCTAGTAGATAAAATGATAAAATGCAAGTTACTTAAAGGACAATAAAAATGAGTTGCACTATCCTATTTGCATCCAGTCTTTATATACTTACATTTTGGGATGCTGCATATAAACAGTTTTGAAGACTAAGGGCTCACCATGTGCCTGCAGTATCTTGTTCACATAAAAAAAATGGGGCTAGCATTTGAACAACATATTTGCTCACTCTCCATTATGTCTAATTGATCCCTTAAATAGCAAGCCTGAATAGAATTAGCTTGAGCAAAGGTTCTCTCCCATATGGCAGCCTTGGTGAAGGAAGAGAAACTAAAGCATGCAAGAGCACACCAGAAACATCTCCCACATAACTGTAATGGAAATGAAAAAGTTGCATAAGATCATGAATATGCTGTTATGCCACTTCCGTTTGTTTTAACAACACATCTGCCACGTGAGCCTCTGGTAGATTGTGCCTCAAAGTTTTCAAAGAGCAACAGATCTGAATCTATGTTCTATAAGAAATGGTATAGAATGTGCATGTGCTCCAGATGCTTCACTGCACTACCGATTTTGATGTTCAGTCATAGAGAAATTATGTCATGATAATCACAGGCACAGAGAATGATTCCACTCTCTATGCTATGGTGCAACATGGTTGTCATAAAGAACTTAAGATGAAAGATTAAATTGACATGTAGCATTAACTGGACTATGCAAGAATAACAGTCTGATCCCTCAGATATACAAAACACATGTGCTGACCATATGCCAGAAAGAATTAATCACTTACGATTGAAAACGTTTACAAGAGATGCCAAGGTAATGGCTGGGAGCAGGAGATCTATCATTGGTCCCCAATTCACCATAACAATTTGCTTTGTTGATGTTACAAATGAATTTCCATTACTCCAGCTAAATGACCATTTTAAGTGCTCTCTCTCTCTCTCGCTCTCATTTTTGCTAAAAACGAAAATCAATCTTATTTAAACCTCAAAAATGGTTTCTTACCGCTTCACAAGCTGAACTCATTTATCAAGTTTGAATGAGAAATAGTTTTGCTAGGATAAGAGCGCAGCAACTCCTTCTAGGGGCTGGGGTAATGATTTCCCCTATGATATTTTGCTGCACATTCTCCAGAGGATATTAAGAGCCACAAGTGCAAACTGAGGAATGGAAGTACCAAGGCAACCATTCTCAAACCGCTTTGCACCAGAGGGAAACATTTCAAAGCTGATATAAAGTATATAACTAAAGTGGCACGTATCCTTACAGTGTCAAGAAATGAATAGGAAGAAAAGTCAACACACAAGGAAGGCTTCAAGGTTTCAAAATAATCTCTTCTACAAAACCTCAGAAGCAATTCAGTTACTGGCAGGGAAAGGATTTATGCTTCCCATCCAAAAGAACTTAAATGTTTATAATGCTTTCCTTTCATAGCCATTAAGCTACTGATAAGATTCAGGTTCAAGCAAGCCAAACTCAGCCCAGGTAGAAAAGGTGCTGAAAAAGAGGACTACCACAGAAAAACAGTACGTTTACAATGGAACAGGAGTTCACAAATTTAGGCTAGTCTTGGTAGCAAGCCATTACTTGTCCAACCACTTTTTCCAATTGTAGGGAATTGCGACTAATTTAAGCCAGCTAAAAAGAAATGTGAAGAGGCCAGAGAAGTGGGTTTAGTCTTATTTAAACTGAATGGGCTTAAATAAGAGAACTGCCACATCAGAAACAGCTTCTCAACCAAAAAGGAAAGTATGCTAGAAAAGATGTGCATATCTGTGTGGATGTTTCATGCTTTGTGTAAGAGCCATAATTTATGTCTCAAGTCATTCAAAATTTGGTCATTATGATTTAACGTATTTTAGAAAGATTTATGGGAAAACATACTTTAAACATTAGCTTTGTAGAAAAATGTTCACTATGTTATTGTGTTATTTTGTTTTATATTGTATACTGCCCAGAGAGTCCTATGGGCTAATGAGGCATTTCATAAATGTAACAACAACAACATCCTCTCTGTCTTGTCAGCACCTAATTCAACATAATTTGTGCCCTTTAAATTGCTGACTAAAAATATCTGCTTACAAAAGACTAGAACTCCTCATTTCAGGAAACAAAAAATTTCTGATGAAAATTGCAACACCCACACGACATTATTTCCTTCTGTTAAGGAAATTATTTCCTACCCTGAAACTTCTTGACATTATTCATTTAAGCACTTATATGCCACTTTTCAAAGAAGTGTTCAAAGCAATTTACAACAAAGGTAAATAAATTTTTAAAAGATAAAAGAAAAGGATAATGATTATATTAAAAAGTCCTACCAGCCAGTCAAATAACAATTCCTCTAAGGCAAGAGATTCTAAAAGCCAGGCAAAGTGGGGTATAGTCTTTCAGAAACAAAAGCAGAGAACAATTCCTTGCATCCAAAATGAGGACATCATAGCCTGGAGACCAAGGCTAGAAATATTAGAGAAAACTGATTTAACAATCAGATAGCAGAAGCATTGCTATATTAGTTCTCTTCACACATCACTCACATGATGGGGGCATCACACAGGTACTGTGCAGTGGAGCCACACACCTCCCCAGCTTCTAGAAATTCATGTATTAGTGTGGTTGTCAACTACAGGTGGGGCTAGGCTGTTTATCTAATGCTGGGATCAGAGCGAAGGGTATGGTCCTGCTCTGCAGCTCTCATGAGATGCTTCCTTCAAGGGCGTAACATATGAAGATCTATAGTCTTTTTGGAATCCAAACCCTTGGCCACACAGGGCTTTTACAGGTCAAATTCAGCACCTTGAATTAGGCAAAAGGCACCAGGGACTGACGCAGTTGACAAAGCAAAAGATACACATGCTCCCACATGTAAGAGGAGGCTGACTGTAGCATTAGCAGACTGGAACAGCTAAGCTTCCAAATGGTCCTCAAGAACAGCCCCCAGAAAGTACATTTCAACAGTTAAGCCTGAAGTTAAAAAACATGGATCTCTATGATGAGATTTTGTCCTCCGAGAAGGAAGATAGCTTGCACAGGAGGAGTAATTATCAGAAGTCTGTTTATCAGCAATGTAAGACAAGGTTCAGGATGATACCAAAGCTCTGAACCCATACTGATGGAGGCAACAACCACCCTACTGACTGTTAACATGCCTAAGCTATCCATGGAAAATGGATTTTTCACCAGCAACACCTTTAATTCATCTGAATTCACTTTCAAACTCAGTCTGCTCATACTTAAGAACAGCTTCCAAACAATAGTTAGGAACAGAAGTAGCAGCTTCTGAGTGAACAGGATATACAGATATGTGTCATCTCTGTATTAATGACACCCAAATCTACTGCTCTGGATTATCATTCCCAGACACGTCATATAAAATGCAGTAGTGAAAAATATAAGTCCTGTGCAACAGCACATCCCAACTTTCTTGGGGTGCCTTTAAAGTCACGTCTCCAATGATCCTACTCAAAGATGAATTAGAGGAAAAGGAAGTAAACTGCTTGAGTGCAAATCTCAACACATTGATCCAATCTTCCAAACGGTCCACAAAATCAAACACCATAGAGAGGTCCAAAAAGGTAATCAGGGAAGTCTTCCCTCACTAGTCTTTAAATACACCAGTTACCATGGCTACCAATCCAGTCTGTCCTAAAACCAGATCTGAAGCCAAACTAAAAAGTGTTCAAGAAGGGTTAGTCACCCAAGAACACTTGAAATTGTTTCCAAAAAGGGAAGGCTTGACACACTAGGTAGAACAACCTTATCTGGAAATGATGAGGGTATTGTAGTGGGTTGTCATGTCATCCAAAAGATGACCACTGAAGTGTATTGCATACAGTTAGCAAACCTGATACTGCCAACAAAAACATAATACCAATAAGCATCCAAGTCGGAACAAATCTTGAGCAATGTCACTGGCAAAGAATGAAGCAGACTCATCACAGCAAGCAGCACATGAATCATACCATTCAGGAACCTAGCACCTGGTTTAAGCTCCAGAATACCTAGAGAATGAAATATTTATCTCAAATGCCTTCACTGTACATTATAGGTCTGCATATGTACTCTGCATTCTGCTTGGTTAGCTTCATGAATCTTTTTTGCATTTGACCTCAAGATATCAACTACCAAGTTCAGTTCATTCAGTTATCAAGTAAACAGTTCAGCTGGGTTCCTATGAAGGTCAGAAGAGAAGACGTCAGGACTATCTATTCTATAGACAAACCTGAAATGCAGAGGGTTGTCTCTTCAGTTTAGAAAGCGGCACTGTCAAAACTTCATCAGGTTTACACAAGTTCTAACCAACAAAATTTCTTTGAGTAGTGAAGAGACAGTCCTAATCCCTGGGAGATTACGACAAGACTACATAAATGTAAAGCAAAGATCGTCTGTCTGTCTGCAGCCAAAAAGCTCTGAAATGGGACTGAGATCTTTCCCTTTCCTGCTAACTTAAAACAGACATGCAATTATGGATTTTAGGCATCCATCAGATAAACGCTAGGCTTGACTAGATACACTTCTTAAGTGAATTAATACCCCACATGTGGAAGGGATCAACAGCATGCCTTTCTTTCCTGCTCACCTGTATACCTGTTACACCTTGTAGTGCTGCTGAATGTAACATTTAAACAGGGTGTATGTGGATAACCTCTGATGTGTATAGTCCTAGTTGGTTTAATGAATACACTTTCTGGGATTTTGACTGTATGACTCCAGCTTGCACACGCTGAAGTCTGCATGCATCCCCCATTTGAACATAGCACCTATGTGTAGTCATCCAATGACTTCAGAAGCAAAACTGATGTGCCAGATGGGAAGGAATAAAGTCTTGGTTCTCATTACAAATTGGGGAATGGCCCCAGACTGTCATTCCATCTGGGTGTTTGCTAGAGCTATCTGCCCAGGAGCCTGGCCAACTGAAATGACTGAAATCACAACAGCTGTGTAGCTCAAGGGCTGTGTTACTTAGATGCCTTCCCTTTACTAATATATACATTCCAACAGTTAAGAAAGCAGCGTGAAACAAAATCTTACCTCATGAACCCCAAGAACATTACTAGGATGAGGCTGACAAGCCAACCAGCAGTAGCAAAGGCTTTGGGCATAGTCAGAGCACCTGTTCCAACTATGAGATTGAACATGTAAACCAGGCCAACCTGTAATTACAAAAATCATAAAAATTAAAGCTCTATAACTCTGTTAGACTTAAACAGGTAGAAAGTAGCAATCTCCATACAAACAATCTAAACTGAAATATGTGCTATGGCTATCTACTTTTGTAGAAACATCAGTAAATAATTATTTAGTAGCTCAGGACTTCAAAAGACACAGTAGAATAATTCACAGGTTGGGTTTAAGATACAGTGGCATGGATTTTCCAAAAAACTGTACAATGGAAAAAATTCCAGTAAAATTTATTTATTTATTTATTTGGAACACATATATGCCACCCCATTCGCAAAAGCCTCGGGGCGGCTTCCAATACAAATAAATAGCTACACAAATACATAAAAATCTGGAGACATCCCGGCATAAATATAAAATCAATAAATAAATTCGACAATTACAATAATGTTTAAATAAAAAGGTCTTGGCCTGGCGTTGAAAAACAAATGACGGTGCCAGGCGGACCTCTCTGGGGAGCGCATTCCATAAGTGGAGTAATTGCATAGGAATCAATGGGAAAATGTTCAGTTTGCAGTGGAAATTTTCCAGTGCACATTAGTTGCATTTGGAGAGGGTCAGTTCTGTAGGAAAAGTTTCCTTCTGCATCAGAAATGCTCCTAAAGCAGGAAAAGGCAACTTACAGTGCTTCAGGCATTTTATCTTATAACTCTCATAATTCCTCACCACTGACCACATTGTCTAGAATAGATGGCCAAAACTACTGGATTGCCATAAGCTGCCCACTCCTTCCCTAGAAGTTGATATATTTAGTAAACAAAGCTTTTAACAAAGCCTATTTTACTGTTTTGTACCATGGCTCCATAAATATTTGATTTAAATTATTTGAGGGGGAAAGGAAGAGGACACTAAACGTGATTTAAATGTTATATTATGCAGATTTTTTCTTAGAATACAGCTAAACATTTAAAAAACAATGGCATATTTACTTACAATATTTAAATGTAAGGGGGGGAAAGGTGCTGCTCAAAATGGTTCACACACCAATTTTAACAATGCAAAGAATCTATTTCAATTCAAAAGAGTTCAGCTTTCTTACAGGGCACAGTGTTGCTGGCACTGTACATTAGTTCCATTTCACTGACTTATATATTCTCTAACATACTTAAAAGAGAAAACATCAGAAAAATACTGCAGATTTACTGATCAATCTATGAAATGGAAGTTTCTGTGGAAAAACAAAGCACTGGAAAAAACATCCAGCCCATATCACTCTTGAGAATATTTACAAAAGTCCTATGAATGACTAAAGTATAATTTGGTCTTTCATCCCAAGTCTTCAAAATGAGACTAGGTGAAAGATCAACTCAATAAAATCTTGCACAGTGCTGAGACAGAAAGGCCTGATCTGCTGAATAAAGGAGATGAATCCACACATCATGTGAGCTGTACCAGTGACTACGATCTACAACAGGAAGAAATTTGCTCAATTCATGCACTTCTCTTGCTTGACTTGGAATCAGTCCCAAGAGAAGGACCTTCTGAGACCAAAGACTATGCAGCTCTTCTAGTGTGATTCCACAAGATTTCTCAGGTGTTTGCTTTACCTTACAGGATTGGTACAGCATATGATGCATAGATCAGTGTTAGCTTTCCAACTAGTAACTGAACAGGAGACCAACATGTAGTTTTCCTCCCATATAAATATAAAGCAGAGAAGAAGATGGAAGTTCTTTTAGTGAGTCACCAGAGATACAAGCTTGTACAAAATGAAATCAACCAGTCAGGATGGGCTACTTCCTCATATCTCCTGCCTCAACTTTTATGTTTCAAGTGGCAGACTAAGAACTTGCATTATCTCTATTGTTTATTAAAGAGAATTATTAAAGCACCAGTAAAGGGGATCTAATGTTTTGTTTACATGCCTCCCCATCACTTGAGCAATTGATTATATGATCTCCTGAAAAAGCTCAGCTTTCATAATTTATCTTTTAAAGCTCTTTTATCCCTTATCTTCAAAACTGATCCTGTTTGCATGAAGAAAGAATCTTTTACAATTCTTCAGTGAAAGAGTACTATGGAGTTTCATCACAGAAAGATAACACAATAGGCGCTAGATAGGAATTGCAAGACATCACTTAGGGTCACTCAGCAGTGGAGAACAAGGCATACATGCTAAAGGTCCCATTTTCAACCCTTGGCAACTCCTGCCAGGGCTGGAAAAGATCCTGCCTGAAATCCTGGAGAGCTTCAGCTGCCAGTCAGCTCAGGCCCAGTGGTCCTCCAGAGCTGGTGGGACTATTGCTCTCATCATCCCTCACCACTGGCCATGCTGGCTGGGGTTGATGAGAGTTGGTGTCCAACAACAACTTCGGGGGGGGGGGGGCACAGGTCCCTCCATATTTTTGCAGACTATATTAAGTCAGTTCAAGGTAGTGTCTAATGGCCTAACATACCATCTTTAAACATCAATGCTTGTTAAAAGGCATCCCATGTAATACTTTGCACCCATTGGTCCTCAGTTGCAGGAAACTTAGAGTGGGGGGGCGGGAGTAAAAAGAGGAGGATAAAAGACCTTCCAGCCTTTTAATTAATGCTCTCGGCATACCATTATTGTAAGACAACCATCCAGGTATAACTCCATCTTTGCTGCCAAAACACCATTTCTTCAGCCAAGAGAAAGCATAAATAAAATTAACTAAGAACAGGCAGCATTGTAGACATGTTTATATTCTAAGTCCTTTGTATCAATAATGGTGTTTCCAACTTTGTAAACCACCTAGGGAGCCTCTGAGCTGATGGATGGTAATGAAATGTAATAAACAAACAAATAAACAATTATTTCTGGCAGAAGGGTTGATTTACAGAACATACCCTTCAGAAGCCCTTTCTAAACATACATCAACTTCTCTTTGAAAGGGCCTCCTGTTCTTACTGGCATCTGAATAGCAAATGCAGCATTCAGTTGGTTTCCCAGAGGATGCGGCAATGCATGCCAGTTGCAAAGATACACACACTCATGGGCGGAACTGTATCCACAATGTTCTGCTTTGAACTCAATACCTTAACTGGTTCTGCACATAAAGCCTTTTCAGACATAAACCTTGGAGGGTTTCTCTGACTTTGATTAAAAAGAACAGCTGCATAGAGGAAAGATTTATTTCAAATATTGATAGAGACATATTTTAGGTTCTTTGAAAATGAGACAAGTACAGTTTTAGAGCTCAGCAGCCTGGAGAGTTCTGCAATGCTATAATTTCAATCTGTAAGGTCCTAGGTAATTTAACATCCTGTGAGTCTAGTTTTCCCCTAGAAGATTGATTTCAATTTTCTATGGACTAAGTGTTCCAGAAAAGATCACAATTAATGTTTTCTCAAACTTCACTTGCAATAAAAAAAGCACCATTCATGAAAGCAGCTTTGACAGAGCGATGTGATGAGAGATATATTAAGAGGAAGGACACAGCTCTCTGCCAAGCCAGAAGAGAGCTTCACAGTCTCTCTGAAGACTTTTTTAGCTGTAGGCCCAGGACTCTTAACCCTCAACTCTTTTATGTGCTGCTTCTAGAGCCACTTTGTTCTCCTCTATATTTATATAAGGTTTGCATTCCTGGTATGTCAATCAGTTGTTGCTGCACACAAGCTCCTTGAAGCAAGTGCACCATTGCAGCAAGCTCTGGAATGGGTGGGAGCCCCTCCCATGGATGCAGGGAACAGGCAGGGGAGAGGCTCCCACCCAAACCAATGCTTAGCTTCAGAATCTTCCCAACTACAGGCTCCATGCAGGCACAGAGCCCATGTGTGTGATGCAGAGACCATGAAGAATTGTTTTCCTGGTGCACGAAGCAGCGATTGATTAACCCCCCCCCCCCTTTCTGGCTAGATTTGGGAAGCATACAAAGTACTAGGTATTATAATATGAATCTGGATTTGCAATCATTTGCCATGTAGTCATATTATATTTTATAATGTATTTTGATGTATATTTTATAACAGGTTAAAATTTATGAAGCTGAAGATGCAATTTTCTAAAAAGAAGCTTTATTCCATCTCTGCTTGTATAAACTCTTATAAAACAAAATCCCAAAATATTTTATTTGAAGGTAAAGGGAAAGGGAAAGGTTTCCCCTTGACGTTAAGTCCACTCATGCCTGACTCTAGGTGGTGGTGCTCATCTCCATTTCCTAGCTGAGGGAGCCAGCGTTGTCTGCAGACAGTCTCTGTGGCCATGTGGCCGGCATGACTAAATACCAAAGTGCATGGAACGCTGTTACTTTCCCACCCAAGTGGTACCTTTTTATCTACTCGCATTTGCATGCTTTCAAACTGCAAGGTTGGCAGGAGCTAGGATGGAGCAAAGGGAACTCACCCCATTGTGCAGACTCGAACCGGTGACCTTTTGATCAACCAGCCCAGCAGTTTAAACCACTGTGCCACCTGCATCTCCTTATTTGAATGCATAGTAATGAAAATTATATTAACAGAAAGGAAACATAAAACAGAATATTCCCCAAAAACTAATATTTCAGCTAATTAAAGAGCAGAAGACTCTTTTACTGAATTTCAGTGATATGTGAAAATGGACATCAGAAAAAATTGTTCAAGCATGAAGTTATTTGCTCCATTCTGAAGATGTTCTAACAATGTTTGAATTAATTTGTTTGTTTGCCTTTAGACATCCAAAAATATTAGTCTACTAATTCATTTAATTTCTATATTTCCCAACATTTATATTTATTTAAGTTTTTATAGACCGTTCTATAGAAAATGCTCTCAGAACAGTTTACAGAATAAAAAACAGTAATAACAATAACATCCATAATAATCTCATAACCATTCAAAGATAATAACCATAACTATTGTTATTTTTATATTTTATTTTATGTTGTGAGCCGCCCCGAGGCTTCGGCGAATGGGGCGGCATAGAAATGTTTTAATAAAATAAATAAATAAACAAACTAACTAACTAACAAGGGAAATAAAATAATACACAACACAGAGTACTGATCAACTCCAACCAGTCAATCATAATCTGAATAAAGACCAATATAAAATCAAACCATCTATTCAACATTTAAAATGATGGGAGAATAAAAGGGGATTGACCTGGTACACTGTTGATGCCAAGCACACGCCCTAGGGAGTCAGTTCCATAGACTGGGCACTGCAACGGTAAAGGCCCTTCCCCTCATGGCCATCTTTCTTGCTTTTTTTAGTGGTGGCTCATGAAGAAGGACCTCCATAGGCTCCAGGTAGGTGAATATGAGATAACTCCAGGTAGGTGTTCTTTGAGATAACCAGGCCCCCAATCATCAATGTAATCATCTTGAAGTGGGTCTTAACTTCAACTGGTAACCAATGTAGTTAATAAAGGACCTGGCTTATATGTTCATTCCAGCCCATCCCAGTTAGCAAATGGGCTGCTCTGTTGTGTACCAACTGAAGTTTCTGGACCGCTTTCAAGGGCAGACCCACATAAAGAACATTACATCATCATCATCATTTTGAAGTAGTTTTCACTGATACGGCCTTAATACAATTACATACCTTGTGCATTCACTAGAAATAGAGTGTTATTTGACAAAGTATATAAAGATTTTGGTTTTAGTTTTTTCAAAACATGCAAGGAACATCATTTCCAGACTATATAACAGCCTTCTCCATTCTCACACCCTCTAGAAGTATTGGAATTCCATCACCTCTAGCCACTAGCCATGCTGGTCAAGGGGATGACTGGAATTGTTGTGGGGAAGGCTCGTTGTTTTAGAATGTGTGTGACTAAACAAAGCAAATGCATGGATACTAGTTAAGTGCCATTTTCAGATGTTTTCAGCGGAAAATGATTAAGACAGCAATTTAGGCACAAAACAAGAAGCTCATTAAACATAACAGAAACATGCTCTAAAGTACTGCTCATTTTCACTTTTATATTATCTTGCTGTCTGAGAAGGGGGAAACATGGTAATAAAACTGGTCTGCATAAAAGGACAATTTTGACCAGGCACAGATCTACAGTAAGAGATTATACAAATGCTAAATACTCACATATGGAGAGTAGAGCTCCCCCGTATCTGTAATGCCCCCAGCCATGTTGAAGGAGAAAGAAGGGCTTGAGGAAGAGAAGTCAGTCACTTTTAATCCTGTTAACCTAAAAGAAATGTAAGACTTTTGAGTACAGTCAGATCAGTAACTTTGATACAGTTCATAATCATACATTAATGCAAGCTAGTAGTCTAATGTGGCTGCAGCCTTTCCTGGAAACAGAAGTAAATAGACTTTCCTGTTATCACTTAGTGCTTGCATTTCAACTCAGAATTTTTCCCTCTATGGCAAGCAATATTATTCTCCAGAAAGGCCATACGTAATAATTTGATGGATTCTAGGTATCTCCCAGCCTATTCAGGAAGCTATATCGCCCAAGGTAAGGAGGATGTAAGCTTTTGTTTGCTTGTTTATATGGAACATTATTGTATTTGATAAACCACATATCATCTTTAACTCACACGGCTTCATTTCTTGTGTCCTTGCATCTAACATGAGGTGCATTGGCTTGACTAGGCTTCTGGGGTTAAAACAATCCCTCCAACACTATATAGCACAGCAGGAAAAGGCCTAGAGAAAGAAGTCAAAGAAGTACCTTATTCTTTACCAATTCCTGAAATTCACCCCTTCCCCAAGGATCCTAAGCAAACTGTCTGGAACCATGAATGACAGATTCAGGATTGGGCATGGAAAAAACACTTCAACATTGTATGGATCTCTTTATATATTTAAATAGTGTTTAATGTACTTAGTAGGTGGGCATCATTCAGTTTTAAGAGATTATAACTGTAGATTTCAATAACACTTGATTATCTTTTTTTAAATGCTCTTAAACCAGATTATTTTTAAGTACACTTGTTATAAAGTAATTTTAGTTTTAAAAATTCTACAGAAGGTTTATTTTTATTCACTTTAATTCCATTCCATATCACATAAGGAATCTCTTTCTTTCCCTCCAAACAATATTCAGCTAACAAATGATGTTCACTCCTGGCTAAGCTATTCTCAAAACTATTTCTACCTGAACTGAAGCAGCAGAGCAAAGTCTGAAACAGGCAACAACAGTGAGGTTTACTGTCCGCATAGAATTATTTCAAAAGGTATGGCAGAAGTTATAACTAGGATCTACAGGGTCCCATAATAAGTTTCTCCATCTGATTATGTGTCTAGAGAAGCATAAGATCTAAAATGCTTATGCGGACAGAAAATAGATCATGTGAAAGGACGCTAACATTCTCATCTATCTTATAACCACTGAGCAAAAGACAGAACCAGATTTCAAGGCTAGAGGGAAAACACAACTACCACAACTACATTCCCTGTACTTAAATACACAAATCACTGATCCCTAGTGGACAAGCAGTCTCATTCTGCTTGTGGCAACTCTTTATTGGCACTTCTTCATGAAATTCTCAGCGCCTACTCATTCTTGCATCTTAGCTCAGTACCTAGATTGTTGCAGGAGAAAGGCGATTGCATGACTATTGGGGTTTGCTGTGTGTAACTTCTGTTCCAAACAGAAAAATGCCATTGTATCTTTTGACATATCCTGTGACAGAAGACTGCAAGGAACGCAATGGACAGCGCAAATTCTAAAGAAAAAAAGATATCTAGAAGTAGGGTCATCCAAGAAAAACCTACTTCAAATATAAATCAACTGATGTAACTGTCCAATGAGATGCAGCAAACCTTGTTCTTAGCATCTTTCAGACGACTGAGATCCAATCCCAAAGACAAAATACCCTGCATCAGGAGTCCCAAATACATTAATGCAAGAAAAAAATCCTCCCCAAGTTTCTTAAATCATATTCCAGAATAGGGAATCACTTCTTGCACAGCTGTTTTTCAGAATGACATAACAAAACCTAGAAGACTTTGATGCAACACTTCTCACATATTCACATCCAACTCATATCATCATCATCATCATCATTACTTAGCAGCAATGGTTTTACTGTGTTGACTAAAAGAAAATAATAAAAAGTAGTTGTTGGAAATGTATGGCTCATACAGGCCATTTTAACATTCTCTATGAATGCACAATGATCTTATCATCCTTGCCTACCAAGGACTTTATTTTCACACCATTTCAAAACAAGCTGGTGGGTGAAGTGCAGATGTCAATAGTTGCTAGATCTGTAAGCAGTGAAGTGAGAAGATTCAAATGCTCTAACTTAGCTCAAATCAATTTACAGAAGTGATTCTGTGAAAGTTTTCAGTACATTCTGCCACAGCAGAGACTGGCCCCTTACTAAACCTACAATGGATTTACTCATTGTACATTGCCCAAGTGAACTTGAGCAGAAAGTTCAAGTCATAACATCTGTCTTCGTTTTAAGGCGCCTTCGTCTAGTTCTTGCTTTCTTACACATCCTTGGGGGCTTAGGATCCATTCCTCCCACAAAATGAGGCAGCCACTTTCATAAGTGAACATGCACCTTTTCATCCACTATACCAGCCTACGCCAACCCGGACTCCCCCATCCCGTGCGTTGGACTACAACTGCAAGCATCCACAGGCATGCTGGGTCTTGCATCCCAAGTTATCTGGGTGGCACCAGCTTGGGGAAGGCTGCCCTAGCCTCACATATCCACTCGTATGTGTCTCTAAACTGATGCAGGCGACCATCTAATCACAAGCGACACGTGATACGAATAAAAACTTCCTCCTCAGAGCCCGACAGGACGATGCAAATCCTGGGGCACCCTGGTCGTCTGCATGGGCTCCTGACCACTGCGTCTCCCGGGGACAGAAACTGACGAAGAGCGAGTTGCGAAGCCCTCCTCCGGGAACCCGGACGCCTCCGAAGCACTCTCGGGCTTCCCCTCCGGCGTGCCACGTCCCCTGGTCCCACCGCTTTCCCGAGCCCCTTCCCTCAGCCATGCCCGCAAAGGTGTTACACCAGCCCCGCCCTCTTCCCGCCTCTTTCCTCGCAGAGCCTTTACCGGCAGGGCCGACGAGCCCAGCGAAGCCCCTGGCGGCGCCCGGCCCAAGAACCCGGAGCCGGCTTTCCTCATTCCACATTGGTGCGAGGGCGGGGGGAACGAGGGAACGAGAGCACCTCCTCAGGCGCACGCGCACACGCGGCGGGGACCCGCTACGCCTACGAAAGCCAACAGCCGCGGCGGCGGCGGCCCAGCCTCGCCTCACGTCGATTGGGCCTTCTCTAGTGGCACGTGATGACGGGGCGGGGACACATGAGTCGGACTGAGGCTTAACGGCCGCCGTACTGCAGCCAGGAAAGGGGCAGTTTGTAACTGCGCATGTGCGGTCTGTGCTGGCAGCGCAAGGTGAGGGGTGTGGAGACTCTAAGAGATAAGTGGCCGCTGGTGCCGGATTGAGTGACGGAAGGTCGGCGGGTCGCGTTTTCTTTTTTTAGGGGGTGGCTTCCACGGGTGGTGGTTGAGGTCCCATCCGTGAGGGTGTACAAGGATAGACATGCACATGGTGGGCATGTCGTGAGCGGAGCCGGCTAGAGCCGGTGGTCAGACTAGATGGCCCGGGAGGTCCCTTCTGACTCGCTCTGTTTCTTTGTTTCACCGTCTTCCTTCCGGCGTAGCAAGTCTTAAAAGCTGTGGACCTGGACACATTGGGTAAGATTGATCAGTCCCACTGAATGTCGTGGAGCATGTTCCTGAGTAGATGCTGTCAAATTAGATTGGAAGATACTTGTCCTGGCCCAGCCTTTCCCACATCCAAAGACCCGGGTATGGAACAGCCATGAACTTTTAAGGGGCTCCTCAACCTGACCCCTTATACTCGTGCATGCTCAATTTCACCTTATTTGAGCTAGAACATTATGGACCATTTCCTCCTCTCTTTTAAAACCTCTAACACGAGCACCCTTTCTGTAGTAGTTTATATAGCTCTGGTATATTATCCCAGCCCTGAAAACGAGGAAACAAAATAGAGTGTAAAAGGAGAATAATTCTAGTGGTTGCAGTGAAACCGTGATATGTTCCTCTACTTAATTAGATTTTGGGCAGTAAAGAAACAACAGCTCAGTGCTTCTATTCAGTCTCCTGTCTGGGAAGCTTTTTAGGGTCATCGAGTTCTATTGCATGTTGGCCCTAAACCCATTGTAGACTTCTCTGATTCCTACTGTAACATGGTTGCTAAACACTTCCAGGACAAAAATTCTTGCAACTGCTGAGACTTAGGCTCCAATGTTATAGCAGTTGATTCATGCAAGGTATCCAAAGCATAGCTTGGTTAAGTTGTATTGGATGAGTTTGTTAGTTGCTCAAGGAAATTCATGAAGCTGCATCCATATTGGTTTCTTATAAAAACCATCAGGGAGGGAACAGCTAACTGGACCTGAGTGGTGCCATGTTACCTGATAGAAGTGGTGATGAGGCCACTCCTGAAGAAACCCACTCCAGACCCAGAAAATCATAAATGTGTTAGGCCAGTGATGAACATTCCTTTCCTGGGCAAGTTTGACTGAACTTACTGAGAGGGTTCAAAGAAAATACTTTTCTTCTCAGTTTTGCTTTTCAAATTAGTGAGCTAGATGATGCCTGGTGATTTAATAGGCCAAGAGTTTTTAAATGATTGTAAACATAATTTCCATACTATTAATGTAGTTGCATTTCCTGATTTAATATCTGAATGCATTAACATTATGTATACTGGATATTATTTATTACATTTATATCCTGCTATTCTTCCAAGGAAGTCAATGAAACTTACATGGTCCTCCTCTTCTCCATGTTAGCTTCATGACAGCCCTGTGAGGTAGATTAGGTTGAGAACCAGTGACTGACCCAAAGTCACCCAGTGAGCTTCAAGTGAAGACTAGAATATAGTCTCTTGAGTCCAGGTCTAGCATTCTAACCATTTCTCTGTAGCAACCTTCATAAATTAGAGTGAAATACCATAACTCTAAGTGATCGACTTATGGCCTTCCAGAAGTTTTGTCCTATACCTCTCATCAGCCCCATCCAACATAGTTGATGGTGAGGGATGATGTGAGCTGTAAGACAAAACATTGGGAAGGCCCCAAATTGTCCACTTCTGCTACAAATAGCTCTTTCAAATACCCAGTACTTTAATCATAGTGAACACAAAATACTAAGCTATATGACTCCCTGGACTGACCCAATTATGGTCTCGTCTTTATTTCCTAACTCTTGCATTGCATTATACATACACACCCATAAATGTTTCGCTATAAACACTGGAGTAGAAATGAAGTAAGTAAAAAGTATTTAGTAAACGTAATGCAATGTGCTTTCAGAAAATCTGTAATTATGTTGTAATTAAATATGCAATTATGTTTATGTAACAATACATAAAATTGTATGTGTCTCTAACATTTCCTGTTGTTTCAGGCTTGTGGCTATGAGAATTAATCAGAATACCGTATTGCAGGGAAAGAAGGTAACCTTAGTGCCATACACCTCTCTTCATGTACCCAGGTATGAAACAGATACCATCTCTATATAAGTTTGAGAATGCTGGTATAAAATCATTATATTCTTATTGTTCAGGCAGATAAAAATGTTTGCAATATTAAAAAAATTATCCACATTGAATCAAAGTAAAACACACAAATAGATTATTTGTGATACCCGGGCTGAAGTTACCTGCAACTTCTCTGATGGACGCTGCATGTAAAAGTTGTAAGGTATTATATGAAAAATGTATCTTTTTATTTTATGTTCATTAGGGCATTCTTACTTTCTAACTTATCCTAAATGCTAGGCTAACAAACCACTGTATATATGTCTAGATGGACTCAGCTACAAGTGGACAGTAATCATTGTGCATGCGGAAGAAAAAAGTTAGTGTTACATTAGCCTTTTGTCAAGACCACCAAAGAATGATCAGATGAGGGTGCTATTTGTCATCCATTTGGGGAACAATTCATAAGCACTAAAGCACGTAGCTTAGTCCTTTGTATGTTTACTCAGATGTAAGTACTCAGATGTAAGTTTCACTGAGTTCAATGGGACTCACTCCTAGGTTAGTGTACATAGGATTTCAGCATTGATCTTAAACCTGGGTACATTTTTGGAACTCTTAATTGTAAGCCATACATACAGTTTAGTTGGACAATATCAATTAGAAATCAATTATTGTCAGCTGATAGAATGTTTGTCATTATAACAAGAAATGCATTAATGAAAGGAAGGCCTGGGACTCCCAGTCAAGAAGGATATGGCCTCCCTGCCCTCAGGGATAGCAGCTGTTTTGCTCTCAGTGCTACATTGCCTCCAGGTGCATGCTTTTCTAATAGACATGTGTGGGAACTGATGGTACACCATTGATGTGGTGGCTAAGTTGGTTGAACCGAGCTTTTAACCGAGGATAGATATGCTGGCTTGATTATCCTGGTTCATGGTCATACTAAAGTATAGTAGAAGAGAGACAAGGAATAGGGCCGTGTGTGTGCGTGGGTGGAAGTAACTTTTCTTAAGCCTCTGGAATGGATTCATCATAGGGACCTTGTTTAACTTTCCAGCAACATATTTAGTATTCTAGATTATATTTTTTCTGGATTTTTTCATCAGATACCATGAGTGGATGAAGTCTGAAGAGTTGCAGCGACTGACTGCATCTGAGCCATTAAGCCTTGAACAGGAATATGAGATGCAATGCAGTTGGCGGGAAGATGCAGACAGTGAGACTTTTAATATCTGTCAAAGCTTGAGGATGGAGTGCTGAGCACATATATATATGTTGCTTGAGGATAAGTTCATAAAAACAACTGTGGACACCTATGGAACTGCCACAGGGAACCAACACTTCCATTTGACTAAGCTGCTCATCATTGTGGTGCCCAGTGCTCATATCAGAGTTTTGTAAATTTTATAGTACAGAACTGGATGGCATTTTTATTTTGGGCAATTGTTCATGCGCTAACCTTCACCCTTGGGAGATGCTGGGGGCCAACTTTCTAGAATGCACAAGCACTGAATATTACATACTACTCAGACACAACATGTATATTTTTATCTGTGACTGAATAACTTCCCACAGTATTTTCTGGGTACTGTGAAAGACATGCTCCTTATTGCAATGTAACCTTGCCCTCTGTCTTATAAAAAATTCTGCTCCATCTGAAAAAGGATAGGATGATCCTTTAATAAAGGATTCCAAGCACGGGATTGGAACCTGGATCTTGGAAGTGGTTAACGCTTCTCTGAGGGAGGGTCGGGTGCCTGCCCCTTTAAAGGAGGCGGTAGTCCGACCGGTCCTGAAGAAGGCGTCACTGGATCCAGGGATAGCCGCTAACTATAGACCAGTGGCCAACATCCCGTTTCTGGGCAAGGTGTTAGAGCGAGTGGTGGCGGGACAACTCCAAGCACTCTTGGATGAAACTGATTATCTGGACCCATTTCAGTCCGGCTTCAGACCCGGGTACGGTACTGAATCTGCCTTGGTCGCCCTGTACGATGACCTGTGCAGGGAGAAGGACAGGGGGAGTGCGTCCCTGTTGGTTCTCCTGGACCTCTCAGCGGCTTTCGATACCATCGACCATGGTATCCTTCTGGATAGGCTGGCGGGATTGGGGGTCGGAGGCACCGCTTTGCGGTGGTTCCGCTCCTATCTCAACGACCGATTCCAGAAGGTGGTGTTGGGGGACTATGGCTCTGCGCCATGGCAACTTTGCCATGGGGTACCGCAGGGTTCCATTTTGTCCCCTTTACTGTTCAATATCTACATGAAACCGCTGGGAGAGGTCATCAGGAGGTGTGGGCTGCGGACCCATCAGTATGCTGATGATACCCAGCTCTACCTCTCGTTTTCCACCAATCCAGGTGAGGCAGTGGCTGTACTGAACCGGTGCCTGGCCGAGGTAATGGGCTGGATGAGGGCCAATAAACTGAAGCTCAATCCAGACAAGACGGAGGTCCTGTTGGTTGGCGGTTCGGGCTTTGGAGAAGGTGACCTGAACCTTGTCCTGAATGGGGTTGCACTCCCTCCTAGGGACAAGGTCCACAGCTTGGGAGTGCTCCTCGACCCGGAGCTTTCACTTGAAGCTCAGGTGACAACAGCGGCGAGGAGCGCCCCTACCTGGAGTACGACTGCCTTGCAACAGTGACTCATGCGCTGGTGACTTCCCGTCTTGACTTCTGTAACGCGCTCTACGTGGGGCTACCCTTGAAGACGGTCCTGATACTTCAATTGGTTCAGAATAGAGCTGCCAGGCTGCTGACGGGGACTGGACGTTATGTTCACATGACTCCAGTTCTCCGTCAGCTTCACTGGCTCCCCATTGAAGTCCGGGCCCAATTCAAGGTGTTGGTAATGACCTATAAAGCCCTAAACGGCTTGGGTCCTGGTTACCTGAAGGGGCGCTTACATCCATATTTGCCCAGTCGCCCCCTGAGATCGGCGGGAGAGGCCCTTCTCCGGGAGCCCTCCGTGAGAGAAATTAGGAGGGTGGCTACTCGGAGAAGGGCTTTCTCAGCGGTGGCGCCTAAGTTATGGAATGTGCTCCCCAGAGAGGTCCGCCTGGCGCCGTCGTTATTTGTTTTTCGGCGCCAGGCTAAGACCTTTTTATTTAAGCAACATTTTAAATGCTAAATACAATTGAATTTTATCTGGCCAGGGCGGCTTATTTTATAATGTGTGTTTTAATTAAGATTGTTTTATATGGATATTTTAACTTATTGTTTTATCTATGTTGTAAGCCGCCCCGAGGCTTCGGCGAATGGGGCGGCATAAAAATGTTTTAATAAAAATAAAATAAAATAAAATGATTGTTGGAATAGTCTTATCCAGATACTGGCTGCATATATATTCACACCTATTTCTTAAATTTAAGTATTTCCATAAAAATATATTTAATACCTACAGTATTCTTATTTTTGCTAGTAGTAACTGGTAGCAGTAGCTCTGGATACAATTACCTTTCTATCTTAAGTCTAGCTCTTGGTTTCTGCTGTTAATAGAATGTGAGGGCCACTTTGTATTAGTAGCCTGGTTATTTGTGTTTGGTATGTATCCAACCCAAGTTTTCTCTGTGGTTTGGAGAGTCTCATTCCCTGCTTTGTGATTCTATTCGAAAAAAATGATCCAATAGCAAGATTTTTTTTTAAAAAAAATAGCGAAGCAGTGGGAATAAACGTCCATATTCTGCAGACTCCTTTTACTATAAAAAGGTCATTCTTGCATAACTGACAAGTATATGTTTAATAAATGCATGTGCATTTGATGGATTAGGTTTAAACAATTCCCTAGTTCTCTGCCTGTCTCAAAGGGGGTTGGGAAAGGAAGGCAAGAGGTACAGTTGCAGCCAACTTGAAATAAGAGATCTCTCATGTCAAGTTTCATGTAATACAAAGAGAACTTGGGGTGGGGGGGAGGTTGCCTCACTTTGTGTTGAATGTGAGCAGGATCGTTCCCAGAGCCAAAGCAGTGGTTGTCACTGGAAACTAAGTTTGTTGACTCCTGATTTTATACCCATTATTCCTTTCAGCAACATCTTGTTTCTAAAACTAATTTCTAATGATCTCCATTGGGTCTGCTGCTTTATTTTCCTAGAATGCACATTCATTGTGCTTGATACGGAGAAGTGGTCTCGGCAGGCAACCACAGAGGAAGAATGCATGGTAGGAGATGTGAACTTATTTCTCACCGACCCTGAAGATCCAACAGTGGGAGAGATTGAGATAATGATTGCAGGTAATCGGTTGCTCTGTTATTGTGGTCCTGTCATTTGATACTAAGTCTTGAACAAGAATTATTTCAAAACCTTGTATCTTAGTCATCAGCAACATGGCATCTGTGACCTCATATCCAATGTGGTATGTCCAGACGTCCTTTACATGTGATTCTTCATTGCCAACCTAACCCACAAGTCATTTGTCAGTTCTGTATTTTCAGAAGGATAAATCTTGGTAAGCTGGTTTAGGTATCTGTCAAAGGAAGCTCTTATTTTTGGTGTGGCCCAGCCTCTGTCTAATTCAGAAGTGCCAAACCTTTTTCAGCCTGAAGATTTAATTCAGTTTTAGAGAAGCTCTCAGGGGGCTTCCAGTGATCTTTCCAGGCATTTATTTTCCAGTGGTGGGTAGGGGGTAGAGCCAAAATAGCAGGTTATTTTAGGTTAAAGCTACCAGTAACTATTTCAACCTTTTAGAATGGGGGAATACTTGGGAAGGCTGCCAAAGAAATGGAGGGTGGATAGGAAAACTGAAATCCTCTGGTGATATGGGGAAGGGGACATGGTCATCTGGGGAAGCCTCAAGGACCAGGTTTGGTCCTGGGCTTGAAATTCGGTGCTTTCCTTTCAAGCACTGTTTCAGATAAAGAGCTGCACCCTCTCCTGGTCTATCCAAGTATCTATAGCAAATGAGAGACTCCTAATCTAGATAAACACGGAAACAAGAAAATAGACATTTTGGTATTCTCTTTCAGAAGCCAGTTATCGTGGCAGAGGGTTTGGCAAGGAAGCCACTCTGATCATGATGTCATATGGTAAGAATTACTAGGGCAGTGGGATGAGAGATGCTACTTTCTTGGCTACTATTGCACATCTATAGAAGAGGAACTAAGCAAGGGAATCTAGAAATTTGTATGGGCCCAAATGGCAGAATCAGACACTAACACCAAACGTGAACAGTTCTGTGAATTCAGAAATCCCACGATGATTGTTAAGACATAGTGCATTGGCAACTTCTTCAAAGGCTTAATATCAGAACATGGGGGAATTCGTTTCCATGTAATGCCTTGTTGGCTGTTCAGACCCTTGGGATTACCTGCCAATCCTTCCTTAATTTGTGTCTCTGCAGTTACATTTCCCCTCTTTGAATGCAGCCACTGTATCCTTCCCCAACCCCCACAATAATAATAATAATAATAATAATAATAATAATAATAATAATAATAATAATAGGACCATTTCCTACATTTAAAAAATGACAAAGAGAACAGACTTTGTCTGCAATGATACTAATCCACTGTGATTTACTTTTTTCTAATCTAGTAGCAATATTTGGCTTTTTGTTTATGCTTTCAAATTTCACCCCAGATTTTTAAAGTATTTTACTGCAAATGAAGTATAAGCTAGGGACAGTGGAATATTGATTTGTGTAAAAACAGAAGTGTCCTTTTGAGTCAGATCATAGCTTCAGCTAGCTCAGTACTATCTGGTAGTGGTTGCTGTCCAGGGAATCCAGCAAAAATCTTATTCCGGGCCAGCTGGGGATTATAGGGATTGAGCATGGGACTTTTCACATTTATTCTAGCACTGAGCTACAGGCCAAATGAAAGTGCATGTGTGGAGATGAGGAGCAGCTTATTTCTGATATCCTCTCCTGTAGGAGTGACACATCTTGGAATTACCACCTTTGAGGCTAAAATTGGATTGGAAAATGAAGCCAGTATCGGCATGTTCAAAAAGATTCATTTTAAGGAGGTGTGGTAACAACTAATTCTCATGTCATGGAACCATCTTGATTTGAAGCTGTATGGATTCCAGAGCATTAAGTTAATTTGGGTTATCTTCTGTCTAGGTGGGAGTCAATGCTATCTTCCAGGAAGTGACCCTGAAAATGACTGTGGATGAACAAGAGAGGCAGTGGCTCCTTGAACAAACCAGTCATGTGAATGAAAAAGAAGTAGTGACATGAAGCTGCAGAATCAGGTCTGCGACATCTGATTCTAGAAGAACTATAACAATAGCTGGAATAGGAAATATTGCGAGGTCTGTATTGGATCAGAATTCAAGTTGCCCTGCACATACCCAGCATACTTGGTTTTCATCCTTTAAGTAATCTGACATCCAGTGCACCTCTTATGAACTGTATCATCTTGGGGAAGAAAGAATCTTCAAGCGTCGAACCTGGGTTTTTCCCTATAATTCTGCCCGCACAAATGCATTGCCTGTGGAGCACTTGGGATAAAAAGCCCCTCCCTGCCCCAAGCATACAAACACGCTGGAGAACGGAACTGAATCTCTCTCAAATTCATAGATAGGAAGCCATGGGAACAGCAGCCTCTCTAATATAAATTGATAACATTGTATGATTGGAATGTATCCCTAGGAGGTCCCTTGACAAAGACCTAAGTAAACAAAAAACAACCAACCTTAGAGACTTGTGCATCCAACAAGTAGGAGTTTAGAGGGAATACTGTATTTACCTCCACACACTGCTGTTTGCATGAACTCAAGAAACTAAATGGCAGCTCTTGTGAGTTTCCATGTAGTTCATTAGACGTTTAATGACAGAGCTCATGTTCTCATTCTTGGAACTCAGGTTAGTTCTTCACAAAAACTGTTGCTACAGAAAGTACAGTTTTTGTGTTTTGCAAAGATAAAGGTTGAGAACAATAACAATAATTTAACTTGCAACTGATTTGGAAGTCCATCTCCTTTTCTTGTGTGTGTGTATGCATACATACACAGAACCAGTTTGCATGTTCAAAGCAATCCACTGTGGCTTGTTTAAACTGGAAGCACATGCCAGGAGCTATTAACCGAATTACCTGGGTACAGCTTCTCATATCATCTGAACCTGGGCAGCACAGTTTGTTCAAGGAGGACAATCACCACCTGTTGTTGGGGTTTCTGGCTGATATGCCTGGCAGGCGTTTCAAAGCCTGATCTTTGGACAACAGAGAGATGACCCAGTTAGTCAGAATATCTTCTGAGTACCTTCTCTCTGGTAGAGCTCCTATAGTTCCATGGTACCCCCTAGGGCTGATAGCAATGATAAAGCATAGGAGAAGGCTTGAATACAGATGAAGAAAAAGTTTTCATGGATGCAGTCAAGCCTTGACATGAACACATCACACTATTCAATCTTCCATTTGTTGCCCTACAGAGCTTTTCATAGTCATTGAGGGCCTATTACATGTTGGCCCCAAAGGCATCTTTCATCGGTCTGAGGCCTGCTGCAATATATTTGCTGGGCACTTCCAGAAGAAATACTCTTGCATCTGCTGGGACTTACATTGAAATGTTATAGCAGTTGCATTAGGCAAGGTACCCAGCACACCACCTGGTCAAGATTTCTGGATGAGGTCCAGTTGGATGTTGACAAGGTACTTCAGCAGATCCATGCAGCTACATCCATACTGACTCCTTGCTGCTCTTTGCTTATGAAAGCAAGGAGGGAACAGCTGGCTGGACCACGAGCATGATCAGTGCCTCCTCATGAAAGGAAGTTGTCTCATGCTGGGGTGATGCAATTAGATAAGGGTTTTTTTAAAGATACAGTTGTATTAACTTGTACTGGTTATTTAAGACATTTAAATTTCTGTAATGACATGCAAATCCTATTGTATTTTATGAATTGTTGTAAACTGCTCATAGAATTTTGGCTATTGGGTTGCATAGCCATAAAATAAATACTATTTTAATATTTATTTTAATATAAATATTATTTTCCCTGAAAGAAACCATACTGCCTGGGCTTGGATGACATGACAAGCTGCATGTGGGCAGATAACTGGGGAACTGACACCTGCTGATGATTTAAACAAACCACTGTGGCTTATTGATCATATTAATCAGCCCACAGTTTCTGGGATTAGGAAAGCATTTTTTTCCTATTCACAAAGCCATATAGATTCAAAGTTACAAAGAATTGGTACACTGCCAGAAACAACATTCTCTCCACTGTATGTGAAATTTGTTAAATAAGAGCACAGGACTCCCAGCAGCTGTGGCATTTTCCATCACAACCTTATGCAAAGGTTTCAGTCTAAGACTTGCTGTTAAACATACAGGGGCTAAATGAAGTGGCATCTTACATCAGTTAATAGTAAATGCAGAAGTTCTGACATGTGCTGCATTAATATAGACATAAAAAGTTCACTATAGGCACAATCCTGTACCAGTTTAAACAGGAAAAAAGGCCTGCTGTTCCCAGCAGAATGGGAATGCTGGGAGTTGTAGGCCTTTTCCCCTGCTCTAAACCTGCATAGAATTGCACCCTAAAGCAGTTTATTTTTCTAATGGGTGTTGTGGAAATAAGTGCAAGCAAAGGTTCATTCTGTTTGATGTAGCTAAACAGAAGTTGTTCACGGGAATGTTGGTTTTTCTTTGAACATTTCCCTGCATGAGCTGGGAGACACTATTTTCTAGCCATGAAGGTGCTGCTCTAGAATGTGCTAAAGCCTTCCTCATGTGTGCATATTTTAAATTTATTTTCATTACACTTACATCCCACTTTTTTTCTCTTAGAAGGCACCCAGGAGGTAAGAAAATGCAGTGACATTGTAAAAGAAACAGAAGGACTAAGCTGTTAAAAATTATATATCTTCCTTACATTAGGTATATTATCCATACATGTACTTACTTTGCAATGCCATTAATTTGAACTCATACTGCTTTTTGCAATGCTCTTGATAAGGTTCAGTAGAACTATTCACATTTTACAAGGTTAGAAACTAAAGTATTTTAGGCAAGACATATTTAAAAACCAAATGGAGGCCTCATACCATAGTACCCTAAAGGACAACATGAGGAAAGGTAGAAATCTAATCTGAGTCATATCCAGACACTACTTTAGCACTAGAGTGGGTTACGCCAGTGAAGCTTCAGGAAGAAAAAAAAAATAAGCAGCTACCAGTTCTACTCGGTTTAGCTCAGAGTGTGACTACATGTCCCCTGTTCCTGCAGTTTGCCATGCTCTCCTCTTTAACGGGATCTGTCTCTGAAGTGCATCACAGCATTCGCATCCCTGTCCCTCCTCACTTTTTGGTCTCTTCTTGAACAAATGACCTGGCCAGGGAGGGATTCTATGGCAGAGGCCCCCTGAAGCTGGAGGGTTATCCAGCAAGGCTCTATTTCCTGACCTTAGCTGAGATGCAGCATTTGCTGGGATCTGCTCACTGACTTCAGTGGCACTGCAACTGGAAATTCTAAGATGGTGAGCTCTGAGTCTGGCCAAGGCAGACTCTGAGAAAGTGCTATATGTTCGTGGCAGCCTTAACTGGGATCTGGAGGTGTGTGTCACCACCTTTTCTGTGGGAAGGCTTCTCTGCCCCTTCTTAAAAATTCTTCTCTGATTCTGCTCCAGGCTGGTCTCAAGATGGCACACATCCTCCATCAGTTTTAGGACCCTGTCAAAGCAGTCCAGGAGATCATGGACCGCTGATGGTAGGTGTTCTATATAAAAGCCTACATTGTATGGGTCAGGGGTAGGACTCTCAGAAAGCACCATCTCTTCAGAGCTGAAGGAAGAAATGGTTGCACTGCCACAGCGCATGCTGGTGCCAGGAGAACGGAGGTGAGATTGCTTGGAGTTTCCAGAAGAGTGAGACATCAGTGAGTCTATGCCTTCAAATTTCACTTTGTGACGAAACTGAAAGACAACGAGATCAAACCCAATTACATTTCCAGTGATAAATTCTTGTTTTTGGCTAGAAGACCTGTTTGAGCCATTCCAGCACAGCTTTGCTGCCATTACCTTTATTGATGGTGTTGTGCAGTATATGGAAACTTCCCAAAATAGCTGCCAAAATACAACTAAAAGTGAGAGTGTGTTTGTGTTTATAAAAAATAGGGTATCAGAATTTGTCCATCTTCTGAAGACAGGTACAGCTCATGCAAAAGAGGTAAATTCAGATGTGATTACACTTACTATAAACAACTAATTATAAGAACTTTGGGCTGAATTAATACTGCATTCTGACATAAATGAAGCAAAAAGCTAACTCATGCTAAAGACCTGACTGTCTAGTACTATACCAATATATTGGCGTACATATTGATGCATTAATCTGGGCAAAAAGCTCCCTTAACTTAGTTTGCAAAAATTTTAAAATGATAATGGAGTAGAGAAAAATGTTTAATGTATATTTCTTGGTAAAGACCGTTGTTATTAAACCAGCTGTAAGAGGTGAGAAACCTCACAAAATTTGGGGATGGGGTGAAATGGAAATTTTACCTTAGTTTGACTGTAAATTCATTAATGCCACAATTGGTGATTATAGACTTCTTAAATACCAAAGGAATGGATCATCAGTCACTCTTCATCTAACTTCAGGAATGCTTAATTGAGGATAACCTCAGACACTGTGACACAATTTTGTCTGGCTTTGTTCAGAACTTAAAAGTTAATACAAAATTTTTTAAATCTTTAAGTAGAAACTCCTAGGCTGCATTCTCTGCATAGTTATATGGGAGTAAGCCCCAGTGGAAAACAATGGAGCAAACTGGCCCAGGATTCCACTTCATTAAGATTCAGTTAAGTCATGGCTAAAATGGCCATTTCTTTTAAAACGTTCCTCCCAAGTTTATTAATGAGGCTGCTGAAGTATCTCAATTATTTAAGAGTCCAATTTCATTTGTAGTCCACTCATCCATAGTCTGGCTAGCCCAAAGCTCCTCTAGTCCAGCGTCTTGTCTCACACAGCGGAAAGCAAGATGCTGTCGGCAAGATGCTGTCCCCAGCAACTGGTGCTCAGAGCCACACCGCTGCCACGAACCTGGAAGTATCACGGAGCTATCCTGAGCCTATTCATACTTTTGACAGCTCTGCACTCTCCCAGTTCAGAGGCAGAGTGGCTCTGTATACCAAGTGTTGAGTGAAATAGGGAGCAAAGAAATAGGAGACAAACACTTAACCTTTTCCCTGTTTGCCATTTCCCCATTCAAAAGCTTTTCAAAAGTATGAAATCACAGTGGGACAATTTAAAGTTAGGAAACACACAGCAGGGGAGTAGCCACTTGAAGCCACCTTCCCCCAGCTGAACATGGGCAACAGCTTCCACATGGTTGATATTTAAAGCCGGAGTGGGCAAAACTCGGGTCTCTTGATGGTTTGGCCTGCAGCCAATAATGAAGGATGATGGGAGTTGTAGGTCAAAACATCTAGAGGAGCATGGGTTGCCCATCTCTCCCATCTGTCTTGTGTTTGCATGAACAGAACTCCAGTTTGGAAGAAACCAGCCTTGTTTCTTGAAACCATACAATAATACCATTCTCTCCTGCGACCTCTTTTTCTGTCCCTTTGGGACAGGGTTATTGAGGAGACTGCTATGATCCCTCTTCTCTGCTCACCCAGTTTCATGTTTACCTCTTTAGTTTTGCTGAATCCTATCCAGAGCTTAAACCTTTTCACCAAAAATGCAATCATTTCATAATCCTGCAGCTCAGTCGCTGGGTGGTATATCTCAGAATGGGCAGTGTGGTAGCTGCAAAGGACAACAGCACGGAGGAAACTTTGCCCAATCCAGAGCACTCCAGCTCCACAGATGAGGATGTATGTTGTACCCAGCACAGGGGAAACCTGGAGCAATGACTGGAGGAAAGTTGTCTTTCCACGTAGAGTGGAAAGCAGAGCTGAAAAGGCACATGGGAGTGTTCTGAACTCTTCCACAGCTGCAGAGAAGGCCTAGTAATGAAAAGAAGAAGTGAGGATTCATTTTATGAAAGCTAGCAGTAGCCTTTCCCCCTTGGTAGCCTCTGCTATCATACAGGTTCCCAGTCATGAGTCCCCTGATCAGAGATAGGACAGAATGAAAAGCAGTATGTGTGTCCCTGTATCTGTTAGATTATAACTCCTATCATCCCTCACCATTTGACAATGCAGGCTAGAGCTAATAGGCATTGCAGTCCCAACAGCAATGGGAGGGCTGCATTCCCCCCACCCAGCCACAGGGCAGCCTCTCAGCAGAAACACAATGGGACAGCTGCAGTAGCAAAGCTTTTCTGAACACGCAACCCAATTACAAATTCAGAGGGAGGCAATTTTAAACAGGAAGCCCTTGCTGTTCACCAACACGCCTTTACAGAACATGTCAAGAGGAAAGGTCTACAGAGTCAGCATCCCGAAAGCACTCCCTTGTACATGCCCGCCAAATAGATCTCAATGGTGGCCACGCAAAAAGAAATCCTGAAAGAGCAGTTAGTGCACAGGTACGATTACATGGGTTATGGTGATCCTTCAGCTAGCTTGGCTCAAAGCCATTTAGGGCTTTAAAGGCATTTTGAATTGGGACCAAAAGCTTGCTGGCAGACTGGACAGTCTGTGCAGACCCAAGCTGAACATTTTTTATTTATTTATTTTATTTATTAAAACATTTTTAATTTTTGGTCCTTCACTGGGAACGCAGTCCTATCCAGGTTCAGTTCACACCACAATCTGGAACTGCTAACTTCCCAACACTTAGAACCACTATCTTTCCCAAGTTATGTTTCAGCTTGCTCTGTCTCAGCCATCCCAGAGCCCATTGTGCCACCCCTTCAATGCCTCCTTGTGGGATCATGGGGCATGTTGGGCATGTGCCACCACCATTTTGAATATTGGCCCAATTAGAGGTTGTTGGTTGATGTCTGAATCCAGGCACAATAGGTCAATTAAGGTTTAAGCAGTTGAGCTAAACACTTCTTTCCCATTAATAAGCCCATAGTTTGCTGCTGTTGCATGCAAATGGGATCTTTGTGGTGTTTTAATTGGTCTCAATAAAGGTGATGACTATTACTATTTTAAGGACTCAACATAGCCGCTTTCAGTTTTTGATCATAGAGTTCTTTAACCATTCCGAGTCTTAACGGCTTGGGACCTGGATACCTGAAGGAACGCCTTTTTCCATATTTGCCCTCCCACCCCTTGAGATCGGCAGCAGAGGCTCTCCTCTGGGAACCCTCCATGAAAGATATTAGGAGGCAAAGTAACCAGAGGAGGGCTTTCTCTGCAGTGGCACCCCATCTATGGAATGCGCTCCCCAGAGAGGTCCGCCTGGTGCCGTCGTTATTTGTTTTTTGGCGCCAGGTTAAGACCTTTTTATTCCAGCGGTATTTTAATAAGTTTTAACATTGTTTTTTCTATGTTTTTAATTGCAGTCAGTGTGGGTCGGGAATTTTATTTATGTTATTTATGTTATATTTTACATTGTTAGCCGTCCTGAGGCTTTTTTGCGAATAGGATGGCATATAAATATTTTTAAATAAATAAATAAATAAATAATTCCATAGGTCTATCTCACTTATTCCTTCTACCCATGTATCCACCATACTTTTAGATAAAGATAAATAACCTACTAGACAACCACACTGAGCACATATAAGAAGAAACAGGAGGAAGATGAGTGTGGTAGCCACTAGCTTCCTCAGGGAATGATGGAAGGTTTTTCCAAACACAGACCATCTCCGGACAAAGCGGAGTTGCTGTACAATCTAGAAAGAAGAAGATATTTAAAAGGCATGCATTTTGGGAACCATGACGGGGTTAAGGTGGCTACAATGTTATCACAGTACAATTCTTTAAAATTCTGAAATAACCACAAAGAGAAGATAATTTCCCTTGTGGGCATAGCTTCTTGAAAATCTGTATTAGGAAACAGCTTGAGGTAGTAAGGCTGGGATGTTGGCTTCCGATGGAAATGTTCCACAGAATCCTCATTCCATCAGGGTAAGAATACTGCCTACAGAACAAGAAGATTGCCACATCTTCTGCTCCCCCTGTGCTCTCCCCTTGCACTCTTCAAATTTGTTTCAGAAGGCTGGGGGAGCAGAGGATGTGGAAGACACATTCCACAAGGTACCTGTATACCCTGCTACTAGCAGAACAAAGGCTCTGTTCTTTGCATACAATCTGAGTTAGTAGTCTTATTTTTTGAAGTTGGGTGTAGGGTTCATAGCTTCTTGTATCTGTCAAGAATAAAAATAGCTGACTATATTGATTAAAAAGCATTTTGAAATAGGAAAGTATTGGTATTTTTTCCGATGGTATATTTAAAGAAAGATTTGTTCTCTCTAAGAAAGGACATTTTCTTTCTAAAAAGTTTTGGGTCCAATAAAAGGTTTTTCTAGGCACCTAAGAATATCTTCTTGTCCTGTTTTGTGTTTTGATTGAAGGACTTAACAGATTGTGTTTATCTCAGGCCTCTTGGGAGAAACAATAATATCACTTATTGGATCACCCAGTCACCAAATCCCCTGCTTTTTCTACTGCAAAAATTTTGAGCAGCCTCCCTGTTTGCTCTTTTATTGTCAGTTCATTAAGGACATAAGAGGCAGCAACAAAATAATACATCCAACCTTGGACAAAGCAGATGGGTCTCCCTATGCAGATTCATTAAGCAGCCCATGAAAAGAAATGACACAAAAATTATCTCTCAGCAGAAGCCTCAATGACAATATAAAGGTCATTACAGCATCATTTAATATGCAACATTAATGACAATTCTGGTTGTTAATAGGTCAGGCGTGATGCCTTCTCAAACAGACTCTTTTCTATGAATAATGGAAATTATTTTTAACGTTCTCTTGTCAAAGATCTTTAATAATGGATGGGACATGTATTAACCAAGCCTGGAAGAGAGATCTTGTTACTCTGAAGGCAACTGCAGATGAATCCTTTTCAGGTTTTGAAACAGGAAGGCTGCAGTCAGAAACAGTAGTAATTCGGGAATAATCCCACGGACAATTGAGGGGCATCAGAATCTACATTGCAGGGCTGCGGTTAGTGCTGTCAGTTAGCCAACCTGCCTATTTTTTGGGATAGTTAACTTTATCCTAACTATTATTCTATATCAAAGCTGATTTCACAGATTCTGTCCTGCTTTGCTGTTGTCACGAAACAGAAACCAAAGTGGAGTTATGCAGATGAAGGAGCACGCTGGAGTCCCAATAGCCAGTGACAGTTTTCCCATTTCCCAAAGGAGGTCCTTGGGTCACTCCTAACTTCCTTCTCTATAAATGAATTAATTCCATTCACAGATATGGGAAAGTGAAGCACTACATGTGGGAAAAGGGGATATGAGGCCACGATCTGCAACCTGTTCCAGGTATTCCAGTGCCTTCCTTCCTAAAGATACTTTGTTCCAAATAGAATAGTCTTCCGGATGTTTGTGTCCCTGTTTGTTTCATTTGTTTTTACATTTTAATTGCTGTTTTTGTTGATGAAACCCTTGAATGCCTCTCACTGGTGCACAAAGGGAGGGTCTAATTTTTAAAAATGAAATAAGCCAATAAAGGCTCCAGATAAGAATCCCTTCAGCCCTGGATTTTTCGGACGGAGACGCAAGAACCCTGGTGGTACGTAGCCAGGTTGCTGCCTTCAGCCGTAGGAGCACCGTTGCGAAGGGGTCTAAAATACAGTGAGGGTCCCTTGGGTGTGGCGCTCCCAAGAGTGCCGGCTGGCCTCGGGGCAGCTTCTATTCCCCTGCTTTCCCTCACCTTCAGCAGGGTGAGTGCCAGGAGCAGGGCACCCAGAACAGCTTCGGCCTGAGCCAGCAGCGCCACTTCGTAGAAGCTGGAGAAGGCCTGGCGGTGCTCCTGGTAATGTGCCAGCTGCACGTTGGCCAGGGAGACGCAAGCTAAGTGCAAGGCAGCCACAGCGATGGAAAGCAGGGCCAGGAGCAGCCGGAAGAGACTGCTGTTCCGCCGAAGCCCAGGCACCCTTTCTTGTGGTGTGAATGACAGCTTCGGGAGTGCAAAAGCGCCGCTGGAGAGGAGCAGGCATACCTGCAGAGTGGGAAGGACAAAAGGTTTCCTCTCCATAGCCAGATGCTCAACAGTGCAATCCCGTGCATGTTCACGCAGAAATCATCCACCGAGTATGTAGTGGGGCTCACTCTGGTCCCCAGCTATATATGAATCTCACTCCACTGCGGCATCAGGCATACTTACCCTGGGCAGCAAGCCACACAAAAGCAATGGGCTTCCTTCTGCATAAACAGGAATAAGTACAACATGCTTGAGGATAGTATTTCCGAGCACAGTTGACGAGGAAAGCAATAAATCATCCTATCCATTGAGGACAGAGCAAAACATTTTAAGCTACAGTAATTGCCCCCAAACATCCCCAAGAATGGGAACGCTGTGTGCAGCCATAAACCATGTATAGGGCTGCTGTGGAATTTCCTGCTTGAAGAACAGGTGATACTTCACCTTTTCAGGGATGTTTTTAAAACAAATCTGGAATACTCACGGGGTATTCTGGCTTAGGCATTGGTCTAGGCTAGAGGGAGTTGGAGGCCCACTTGTATGCGCTGGCATGGCACATGGTTCATGGATCAGACTAGGAGAGGGGAAAATGTGAGTGCGAATCCTTGCTTGTTCACAAAGTTCATGAAGTGACCGTGCCCATTCTTTGGCAGCCTCATCTATTCCAGAGGGTTGTTGTGAAGACAAACGGCCCATGTGCCCAGTTCTTTGGAGGGAGGGCAAGATATAAATATCATAAATAAAAAGGCAAGCTATCAAAATACCTATGGTTCCAGGGGCATAGCATGTCGTTGACCTCCTCCATGGGCAGAAATGGGGGTCCATGGTCAGGGGAGGCAGTCAGAGGCCTCCTTCAGGTGGCAAAAAGCTCGACTGCCTTTGAACCTCCAGTCTCAAACCGCAGAAGGAACTGAAAAGCAGCAGATGAGTGGAGGCCCTGAATTTGCCAGTTCTCAAACCCTGCCATTCTCCCAACATGCCTCTGATAAGGGGAAAACTACACCAGCCCCTGAGCTGTCATAACTATTTCCCCCTGTTATTAGAAGGAATAGGAGGGAAAATTTAGAAAAGGGCGGCCACAGCCACCAAAAAGGTGAAGGAAACCCACCACCATCTTACACAGTGGCTGTCCCGGCCAGCCTGCACACAGACTGGTGCTTTGGGTTCAGTAGTGGTTGCTCCACTACAGATTCTCCCTTCCCTGCCCCTACAGGACTGTTCTTTCAATAGCTATTCTAGGGCTGCAGAAGAAGAAGGTGGGATGCACGTATAGGACAACACATTTTCTTCCAGAGCACATGGCCCCCAGGGTGTCCTCTTCAACACAGGAGGATGCATACCACCATGGCCAGAGGAAGGTCCAGACGAGCCCCAGAGTGGAACGCTGGCAAGGGGAGCAAGGACATTGACGCAGCCGCTGGCCTGGCCAAGGGGAACTCGAACAGGAGCACTGCTGCCAGGTACAGGTTTGCGTCGGCTTTGTACTGTGTGAACTCGACAAGCACAGCTTTGCTCCTGTCACAATGAGGTAAGGAGAGAGAGTCCTGTGAAAATCAGTTTGAAGAACAAGCTATACAAAAGTATTTTTTTCTGGTAGCGCAAAACTGGTTAGATATGTTCCCTTCTGCTGACAGGGCCTGCTGGGTAGACACCACTTGTGATCTGGAAACAAGAAGTTTTATTTGTGCTTTCCCTGTGCAAAACTTGCTTGTGCTGCCCTCACACTATGGGCAGGATGCAATGATTAAAAGTGACACAAGAAGTGGTACTCCCTCTGAATTGATGTCCAACAGCAGCTTTCCCCAGCAGACTTTTGGACTGTGACTTCCAGCATTCCTGGCCACTGGCCATGTTGGCTGAGGCTGATGAGAATTGTAGTCAAAAGATGGAGAGGGCACATGGTTGGGAAAGGCTGTCCTACAACATCTCACACAGCTCCACACATAGGACATGCCTGCACAACACATGAGACCCAGCTTCAGAGCAAGTGCAAGTGCCCTGGCTCCCAGCTGAGACACCCTGGGAAGTATTGGAGTTCTGAGAAGGGGATAACTATGCCTAGGAAGGACTCCTGTGGCAGTGGGGCTTCTTATCTATTGCAGCTTTTAGGCTGAACTTTGTAGGAGCCTTCCATGGTGATGAACCTATTGTGCAGGTGGCTAAGTCCTACAACAGATCAGCAGCTCTACTGCTCTAGGAATCACCAGCCTCCCCAGACTAACTCCCAATTCTTAGTGCTCTCATAAAATTGTAGCTAAGAGAATTCTGATTATTTAAAATGCATTTCCATGAGGCTCCTGTTACAGCAACAGAAATAATGCCTAATAGGTCCCAAGGCTTAAAGAGCAGGCTGCATGAGTCCATAAGTTCTGGTGCAGGACCAGTTAGGCTGTGCAACCTGGACAGCAACCCATAGTGAGTATGTAGATTGCTTGTGGGAAAATTACCTTTCTTTCCTTAGAACGGTTTTCTCTTCATTATGTGGTGCCTTCAATGCCCACAATAAACTGCCTTATGAACTGAGATCACAGAAAACTGTTCATTCTTAAGAACACATGTCTCCTGAAGGTTTAAAGTTATGCCTGGAGGAATGTTGTCCATGGGGTTGCGATGGGTTGGACATGACTTCGCGACTAACAACAACAACAATGCTTACTATAGGTTTAGCAGACAGATGGCCAGAGTAGCAAAGTACAAGATACCAGTGACACATACTGTTTAGCAAACTGAGTAAAGAAAGCAGAAGCTTTCCAAGGAAAGCCATTCCTTCTCTTCCTCAAGAAAAATTGCACATGCATTGATTTCTGCCTCCGCTTAAAGGCTGAGTTCCAAATACAGATAAAGGGCTCCGGCACTTTGCCTTTTGTGGATCCAGTTGCTTGCTCGCAGGTCATGCAGCATCCTCCGGGCCTCTGCAGAGTTGTTCCCAAGCTCCTTTGCACAGCCAGCATTCATGTGGTAAAATCCTGCACGACCCCAGATCCCAAGCCTGTCAACAAAATCCCATGGAGGGCCCGTGAAAATAAAGACCACCAGTCATGCCTTGGGAGCCATCCAGGCCAGTGTACCACGGCCCCGTCCTCCACTGAGCCAGTCCCATGAAAGCAAGTGGCCCATGACAAACTCAGCTTAGGTGAGCTTTTAGTGGGCCTCAGCAACCCCAGCTCTGTGAGTGGTCACAAGCACAGGCTACAAGTGGACTTGTTCGTGAACAGAAAGTTCAGCAAAATTTTGCTTCCGTTCGTGAACTCCGCATCAGGTGACGAACACGATTGTGGCCATCTTCCCCACACGAACATGCTCGCAGCCATCTTCCCTGCACTGCAACCATGTGTCAGAGCGTGTTCGTGTGGGGAAGATGGCTGCGTTTGTGTTTACAGGAACACGAACGCGGCCATCTTCCCCGCTCTGACACGTCGTTGCGACTTCCTCTAGTTGAGATCACGGTCGCAGACTCTCCCTCCAAGCAATAGCCTCCTCCCCACCCACCTCCTTGTCCTCCATGCCAGAAGTCGCCTTAAGCAAGCTTAGTGTTCTCTCTCTTCATACTGTACTGTACTTTGTTTCATATTTTTGTGGTAAAAAAATTACATAAGGTTCAATGTAACCTTATTTACATTGAACCTTATGGGGAAATTTGATTCGGTTCACGACCAGAATTGTGGAACGAATTAAGTTCGTGAACCGAGGTACCACTGTGTCACATACTGAAGTGGCATTCACACTACTGCCTCAGCACATGGAACATGTCCAGACATCAACATGAATTGTCTAGTCATTTATAAGCTTATTTTGGAATGGAATAATGTGGATATTCCATATGTCAGGGAGGAATGGAATAAGGAATTGGAATGCTCTATACAGTCTAATCAGTGGGAAATTGCCTTAGCTTCCATACATATTATTTCTGTGGAATTAAAACTGAAGTTGATTCAATGAAGATAGTTGTTCCATGTAAATTGGATACTACAGAAGCTAGGCATTTAGATGGCCACAGGATTTTTCAGAGTGCCAGCTCCAACCTCAGAAACTTTCTTCAGGGTCAAAGATGGGACTCCACAGTTGGAGTGCTTTTTTCTCTCACCTCACAGCATGGGCTGCTTCAGTAATGTCACAAATGTGCCCTCGGAGAAGGGGTTTCGTGAGCATTCTGTGGGGAGAGAATGAGACAGGTGCAGCCATGATATAAGGGCTCCTGGCTGCAGCTCCTTCCCTCCCGCCCTGAAGAACCACGCTTAGACAGTGGGCTGCACTTTGCAGGGCTGGAGGTATCGCTGTGCTCCGTCCACCCTTCATAGGATGCTTGTGGGCCTCTGAGTGCAAGGGGCTGGCAGCATCTGGACTGGGTTGCCTGCTTTTACTCCAGCCCTGGAACTATAAACTCCACCCACGGTTAGCTGGGTGAGTGAAGAAAGCACTCCAGCTTGCAAAAGCGCTCTTGCTTCTTTTGAACATTCCCTTGACAGGCAGCGCCATCTGAATGCTTAGTCACATGTGCTCTGCTTACATTAAAACATGCATTTGAAACAGAAGTGGCAAAATTTTGTTTTGCTTCTTTTAAACCAATGGTGTTACAATTGCATATGCTTTTATTCTAGCTTTCACATGGTTCTGCTGTTGGTCTTATTGTTTGTAGTCTTCTCACTTTTTCATTTGTTCTACCTTGTCATAGTTGCAAATATTTTAATTAAAAAACAACTATTGTCTCAAAACTGCCACATTCAGAGAGTGTTGTGACGAAGAACAGGCCCGTCAAAGAGACAAAAGCTGCCAAGAAGACAGTTCAGAGGTAAAGATCCCCACGACATGCACCCTTACCTAAAGGAATCGTGCTGCGCTGATTCAGAGCATGTGTCTCTGTCAGTTTGACTACTCTGGGAGGCCTCTGATCCAAAGTCAGACAAGTGACAAAGCGGACAGGTGCTGTTGGCAGTACCGAAATGGCACATCTGAAATGCAAATTCAGGCCGGGAAAGCCCTGGGAAGTACAGAAAAAGGATCACGTATGGCTTTTAAATGAATATGTGAATAAATACTGCTTGCTAGGTTATATGTTGTACACGAAGTACTCACACACTCTGCGACTTCCCATGGTACTACACCTATTCTCCCTCTTCTCCCTTCAGACTCCTGGCACACGCTTTGTAATACCATCACGACCGTCTCAGAGCAATGCCTCTCATTAATTCAGTTCATTAAGCTTAATGTGCATTGCACCTTAGGTTGTCTGAGATCCAGAGTCATTTCCTACTTTCCTCAACTCCAGCTCCTTTCCCCAAACTTCTCAATTGTTTGCCAAAATTCTTCTGTAATACCAAAATCGACCAGGCCAGCTCTTCCGAAGTTTCAGTACTGCCTGACATGAAACAACAATTTCTCCTTTCTTGGGCCCTTTTCCTCCCTGCTACCTCCCCCAAACACAGTCCGCTACTGCCCATTTTCCTGAATTTTCCCAGTTTACTAGTCAAGAGAAAAAGTGATTCTGGCAGAACTTGCACCTGGATCCATGAGCAGGCCTGCAGTGGAGCTTTGGTGCTGGAGTCGAGGCACTCCTACTAGTGTCAGGGTAGGGTTGTTGTAAAGGTAGTTCACTAGCACCGTGTCTATCCATTCCAGTGTGTCAGAGTGGCTACAAAAGAAGAAGCTGCATCATCAAAGACAATTAAAGCAAAGCATAAAATATAATCAGTTTGTTTTATCCCTTGATTCTGTGATGGTGAAATCCATCCAGAAAAGTAGATTCAACCAAACAAATGGTTTCATTACAAATTAACTCCCCAGAGGAAGTGGGGGGTGGGATGGTTGTAGTCAAGACATTTTGCCATAAGGACTTCAACCATCTGCTAACGAGGAATCAGTTCAACTCTGTAGCTGTATTTGTGATCATCAAGGAACTGCCCAGTGCAGGATGCAGAACAACAACCAGGGAACAACTGTGGACTTTCCCCGTGGTATTTACCATCGGAGAGACAGAGTTTTCTGGCATTTGAAGTCCTACATATGAGTAAGACTGGGGGAAGGACCAGTCTTATTTGGTGAATTTGTGAATGCCCTTATGACAGCAGAACCTCTGTGGACAATTGCCCAATGGCATGAAGGCCAAATTGATGTGACATTAATTCAGTGAAAACAGTTGGTGCCGGGGTTGATGTTGGTCTAGTGGAGGCTTCCCTTAAGTTGCAACAACAGCGCTGAGCCATGTCTAATTTGGCTCTGGGAGATGGAAGGAAGCATCCACGGAAGGCAATGGATGGGTACAAGGACATCCCAACTGGCCCAGGGCTCCCAGGCAGAGGGGTCAGGCAGCAGGAGGGGGTCACAGGTCAAGGGGGCTGGCCAAATACTTCAAATTGAAACTTTCTGGTATTTCAGTCCTGAAAAAACAGGAGCAGCACTTTTGAGACATACATACGGAGACTAAAATTCAAACCCATGCTGAATTTGATACAAATAATGGACTGGATATTTTGGACTACTTTCGTCAGTAACAACCTTTGAAATATTACCTGGTGTTAAAACCACTGTCAGCTCATTTATTATCTGCTAAGGACCTGTGGTTGAGTAATAATCTACCAAAAGTGATTCAAATATTTGCATTATTAATGAATGCTGTCATTATGTGAGTTCAGCTTTAATTCATTGTGTCTCCTTATTGCCACATAAAAAACAATGGCAAGATTATGCATTCTATTTTTTTTTTACTAGGACTAGTTTATCTGCCAAGAGGTACCATTTAATTTGTCCCCCCAGCTCCAAATTCTTCTCTTGAACACAATAAATCAAAGTGATGGCTGTGGAGCCATTTATAAAAACTCATATCCCAATTAAAAACAAATTATCTTGGCATTCCCAGGTCTCCTGAGATCTGCCTGTTTTAGACACGCTCCATTTTTAAAAAAAATTATTACAAACAATGGAGATGTTGGCAATAGTAATTTGAATAACTTTTCTGAAGTTTCATGGTATTTTATAAACCAATTTTAAAAGTCCTTAAAGTACAGTGGCCACTGCCATTGTTTTATGACAGCTAGGAAATAATGGCCGCATTACTTGATTTTGTTTTTTATTAGTTTCACTTGGGCACAGGGGTAGCTGCAACCTTTAAAATTTAAACTTTTTTTTAACAAAGCAAGCCCCTTAGTTAAAATGTCTTCAAGCAGTTTAGGACAAAAATGGTTGTGGTATGAATGTGCTATTTGTGCCACATCTGGCCCTGAGAAATGACGCAAAAGTCTGGTAAGACAGACATCAACTGGGCCGAGTTTGCCTGTATTTCTGTTGGGGACAGCTTACTTGTCCTCAGTAGCAGTGGTGGCAGCATTACATTTCTAACTGCCTTGTTCCCTCTTGCAATGGAATGGGTGGCTTGCATGTTTCTCCCCCTCTCCATCTTATCCTCACAATAGCCCTGTGAAGTAGGTTAGGCTGAAAGTTATTGACTGGCACAAAGTCACCCAGCGAGATTCAATGCCACGCAGTGACTTGAACCTGGATCTCCCAAGTCCCAGTCCAACAACCTCATCCCCTCACAACACTGGCCCTCCACGCTAACCCTCTCACCTTGGGTCTATCTGCATGTTTGGCGGCATGCTATCTTCCTGAAACGTACTAAAGTGCCTCTAGTGGTGGCAAACTTGCTGTCCACGTTCCCTCCCACTGGAGGGCTCACCTGCACACAGAAGCGAAGTTCAGACCATTATCATTTGTCACCGAGATGGCCTGTTTGACGGCAGCATGCAAGAGATGGACATTGCTGTCATGGAAGCATCTCTGATAATTGATGGTCAGCACCACCAGAAGGAAGAGCATGTACGTGATGCAGTTCTGGGGAGAAGGAATCGAGAGGAAAGGAATATAGCAATGTAACTAAAATGATGTAGCACCATCATGGACTGTCATACTGCAGCTGAGAAAGTCTGAATGTGGAAAAAGAGAGATCAAAAACTGGTGGCAGAGAGGGGAACATCCCCGCAATTTCTAATCTGTGCGCATTATTTGAATTAACTGTGCAGAGTTTAAGTATTTTCCTATTGCTTTACATTGCTATACATTGCCATTGACCTATAAGAATCTCTAGGCCTCTCTGAGAAAAGGTAACAGAGTCACAGATGTCCCTGCGTACACTTAGTTACTACCTTCATCTCTCTGGAACAAAGGATTATCAGTCTCTCTGTATTAATAAAGTGAACCTCTAAATCTAGTCTGACATCTAGTGGGCAAAGAAAATACAATCTTCTACTTCATTTGTCTTTAGTTAGTGGATCCAAGCCACTATTATGGCTGTCATCCAACCTCAGATGGGTTGTAATAGGAGTACTGCCACCATGCAAGTGCAGGGTAAAAAGTTGAAAAGGGAGTCTCCTTCACCACATACAGTACATGTTTGAGGGACTCACATCTCAGTTTTCTACCCTTGGCCATGAAATCCCCATCTGGCTATGAAATTCACTGTGTGGGTTCAGGCCAGTCACTGACTCTCAGCCTAACCTATTTCACAGGGCGGTTGCAGGGACAAAAGTGACAGGAGACAGAAGAGGATTGTATCAGCCACCTTGGGTTCCTTGCAGGAAAAAAGATGGAATAGAAACATAATAAATACATACAGTGGAGGCCAGGGCCTGAAAAGGTTGAAGATTGCTGTAATCTAACCCATTACTTAAATTTAAATCAGAGTCTTATCCTACAGCATCTGCCTAACTCAGGCTTTGCCATCTTGCAGCTGCAACACCGACATGAAGTCTCCCAGACTGAACAACAGAACCTCCATCGAGCTCCCTGCCGGCACTGCAGAAAGCAACCACTGGTGCTTCAAGGCACGGTTGTTTCAGGGCCACCACCTGGACGCCTTCACGGAATGGTATGAGCAGTCCTGATGTGCCTGTCTTGCATGCACACCCCTCCCTCATTTCCTGCCACTTCTCCCACTCTTTTTCTCCTTCTCCCTTACAACATAACATCCAAACAACAGAGGGAACTGCCACACAAGGCCTTCTGACCAGGAGTGGCAGAGGTCCCCTGTCTGGAAAGAGTCCTCTGGAATCAGCAGGATGACCTGCCTGGGTGCTGCTTGCCAGTGTTACGGCTGAAAAACAGGCGCGCCGAGCAGCAGTGCCTCTTGAGCAGCAGCTGCACCCCAGCAGCGGTGCGGTGTGAGTAGGGGTCCTAAGTACTGCCGACCCTCCAGTTAGGAGGGGAGGGGCAGCTTGCTTCCTGCAGTCCAAGAATGGATTTGTTTGCTCCACACACCTTGCTGAGGTGAGTTCGGAAGACCATCTCAAGTTTCTTTCAATCCCTCTGTCCCTTGCAAGTGATGAGACTCGGTTGCTACAATATAGTATGCAAATTTCAGCGGTTCATACCTATACTTTACAATCTTCCCAAATCCAATTTAACATCTACTGTCACAGCTCTGGATCACAGCCGTGGATCTCTTACCTGGACTAGCCCTGCCATCTCCTCTCTAGTCATTCTTCTGATCCACTCATGTCCGTTCAACACTCGGGCAGAGATTGCCCATTTCAGCCATTGCTATGACCACAGCTGGATGCAGAGGGTGGCAACATTTTGCAAGAGGAATACAAGAACTTACCCACATCAAGTTCTTGAGAGCGCGAACTTTCTTGGCCTCCTCCTTGGCCTGCAGCAGCCCATATCCACAGGGCACCCGCACCTTCCCAACTCGCTCAGGCATTTGCTTCACCAGGGGCTTCTCCACCAGTCCCTCAGCCTCGCTCTCCACTGGCTTGCTGATGAGAGCAGCATGCAGGGCTCCAATCCCCACCTGAGAGAGCAGGCACATGGGCAGCTGCTGCCCTGGTTCCCCGAAAATAAGACCTAACCAGAAAATCAGCCCTAGCATGATTTCTCAGGATGCTCACAATATAAGCCCTACCCCAAAATTAAGCCCCAGTTAAGATCTTCATCCAGACGGATGGGGAAACACAGTAGCACGTCTGTTGCAACACACGGAAGACGTGTTGAACTATAAAATAATAATGTTAATTTATAATTAAATATAAATAAATAATATCATTGACATTAATGCTTAAAATAAATGACAATTAACATTATAATTAAGTCCTTGTAAATACTGAAGCAGGCACCTTTGGATGAGAGGTAATGCCTCTGTAAATGGAGGAATGTGAGACTTACTGCCGAAGGACCGATCAGAGTGCAGACACAACGCACGAATGATGTCAATACGTTGTGTGTTGTAACAGACTTACTTAATGCATGGATGCAAGACGGGTGCAAAAAGAGCTATTCTGCTGAGTACAAGAAAGGGATCGTGGAGGACTCTTGGGGCAAGCATCTTACGGCTTTCGTAAGGAAAAAATAAGACATCACTTGAAAATAAGCCCCAGTGTGTCTTCTGGAGCAAAAATTAACATAAGACCTGGTCTTATTTTTGGGGAAACACGGTATCAGTTCAGCCAGCTCAGTATTTCCCACACTGACTAGCAGCAGTCCTCCCGCATGGCAGGCAGAAGTCATTCTGAAACATCCCTGAACAGTTCGCATTGAAAGCATATGCACGACTACTGAGCTGCAGCCCTTCCACATCTTGACGAAGGGCTCCTTGATCCAATTTGCAGCACCCCTCCATCACTCTTTTCGTCAGGATTATACTGAATTTCTATTCGGGCTTAGGACTCCGTGGCAAACTCATCCTTGCCCATCCCTCCATGGGAGGGATTTTGGCAAGGACCTTACTCATGCAGTGCCACTCTTTGGTCATTTTGACAGCACCCACAGATCATCCCATTCAAATGTATACTGGGAGAGCCAATTGAAAGCTTCCCATATCATGTCTGGCTTGGCCCTCAAAGTTTTCGAAAAACTTATCATTTCCAGGCTGCTGGTTAGAAGGTTGTTTGTGAACCATCTGCCCCCATTGTATTTCAGAACATATGGCAGGCATATGTGACAACGGAGAAAATTGCAAAAGGACAGAGGAATGTGTTGTGCCATCACCTTCAGCGGCTCCAGGAAGAAGAAAGAAGTGATGAAAGCAAAGGCGGAGGAGATCAGCCACATCAAAGCCACGTGGTCAAGGAATGTGGAACCATACAGGATGCTGATGGAGAAACAGCAAGCTAGCAGTAAGAAGATGGTCACGTAGGTTGCGGGCAGCATCCCAGCAGGGAGGAGCCACTCCTGAGGCCTTCTGGCAACCCCTGGAATGGAGACGACCAAATATTAGGACACTATCCTGGGCAAACCCTTGATATTGATAATGATCCCATCAGACATGATAATTGTTCAGAATTACGCAGAGTGTGAAGAAAATGGAGAGGGAGACATTTTTCTCCCTTTCCCATAACAATTGAACCTGCAGCTATTCCATGAAGCTGATGGGTGGAGACTCAAGACAGATAAAAGGAAAAACTTCTTCACCATAGTACATAGTGAAACTGCAAAGTTCACTGCCACAAGATGTAGTGATGGCCACCAATTTAAAGGGCTTTCCAAAAGGGGACAAGAAAAATTCATGGATGAGAAGGCTAGTAATGGCTACTAGCCCTGATGGCCTTTCATGATCCTAGATTATGAGCATGCTCACACAGCAGGAGACAGCCTTTCAGATAATGGATCTAAGCTGAATAAGAGCCTTGTGTATTTCTTCATTGGTAGGCACTCCATGGTGATCTCAGATCCATCAGGGCAGGACAAAGTTACTCTGACCCAAATAACTTCTTTCCCTGTACAATGCATCCTGCCACCTAGATGAAAACAGATCCTTGCTCCTGCTTTCTCAGTATTTGATTTTCTATTGGGGCAGATCTTTCTCTCTCTCATTCTCTCTCTCTCATACACACACACACACATCACACACATCACACCCCCCCCCCTCAGGTGCTGCTACTAAATCAAATGCAATCAATTTCAAACAATAAAATCATGAAAAGCACAAAGGGATAAAACAATAATTAAAGAAGCAATGAAATATGCCATCTTTTATATCTACACTATGAAAACACAAAGCAGAATTTGAATTCCTATAACCATTTATCTGCATCTCACTTTAATGTTATTTTATGTGACATTGTCTTCACAGACAGAAAATAAAGAGGGGCCTGGATAGTCCTGTGTATTTGGTGCAAGGTAAGTGCTCTGGAAAGAAGCACGCACACACTGCTGCTTCAAAAGTTCTGTACTGGAAGCTCTTAGCTCCTGGGAAGAGTTTTGGAAGAAGGGTTGAGTTAGGGGCAGACAAAGGAACCTACGCATGGCTACCAATGAAAAGGCAGGCAGTCAGGCCAGCCTGAGAGGTGCAACCTACATCAGAGAGCAGACGAGGCAAAGAAGTTCCCGTTTGTCTCTTCCACCCACCACCATGCAGGGAAGGGGGCTTCTCACAAGTGTAGCTTTCCCACAACAGAAGTAAGAAAAAAACGAATCCATGCTGAGTTGGGATAGGCATGTGCTCTATCCCAACCATAGGGCTCCTCCAACACAAAACAGCTCATCAGTATGCACACGCACCAATCCGGGTAGAAAACGATGACGCTGGAGTAGGAGGAGGTTCCAGTTCAGAAAGGACTGGTTCCAGTCCAAGAGCAGAGACACAAGAAACCGACTTCTGCAGAACACTCCTGCTGCTTCCACGCTGCCCAGTCTCCTCAGACCAGCCGCTGCTGGAGCAGTCCATCCTGCCATTTGGAGGGGAAGAAGGAGTGTACTGGGATTAGTGGCAAGAAATGCATGAGAGCCACCCAGGAAGAGATGAGGCAGAGGGGCCCCTCCAGAAACAGAGAGCTTACAGTGCTGTCAGGCTGAGCTGGCACAGACTGATTTTTATTTTGGGCCAATGCAGAGGTGCAGCTGTTGAGTCAGGCTGCTGTATATGGACCTGGGTCTGATGCTACTAAGTGAATTAACAAGTAAAGATGCTTGACTGGAACCCACTATGTGGCACAGTGTCTACAGGATAAAGACAAACCTGCTTTCCAAGTGTGGCTGAAGTGGTTAGAGTGCATCCCCATGTTTAACAAGAGCCTCAAAGCAGAAACAGAAACAGGGCGAGTTCGGAAGGGGTCTCCCGGGCCATCTAGTCTGACCCCCGGGAGCCGGCTCCTCTCCCAACATGCCCACCATGTGCGTGTCAAGCCTCTCCTTGAACACCCTCACCAATGGGCCTCAACCACCAGTATTTTCCTTGCAGTTTAGGATGCCTGCTAGTTTCTGTACCGGGCTACAGTTAAGTTCCCCAACATTAACTAAAATTTATTTTATCTAATAATAACCCACATGTGAATGGATAATTTTATACTGTATATTTGTAATTTATTTTAATGTATATATTTTAAAATGTTATTTAACTTATTTGTTGTAAGCCGCCCCGAGGCTTCAGCGAATGGGGCGGCATAAAAATGTTCAAACAAACAAACAAATAAATAAATAAATAAATAAATAAATAAATAAATACCTGTATTGTCCTGGAACTGACTTGAGAGATGAATTATTTTATTTATTTATTTATTTATTTATTTATTTATTTCGACAACTTATATGCCGCCCCATTGCATGAGCCTCGGAGCGGCTTACAATCATTAAAATCCTGTATAAAATACAAAAAATTCATCAAATAAATAAAACACATAAAATAAAATAGCGGAAACAGCCTGGTCAATTTAAAATCAACAAGTACTCTTTCTGCTCATCCGTTCGCTCTCTTCAAGGTTCGACCTGCCTATCTCTTCTTTCACATCTCCTTAGTTAGATGACTGTGCAGGACCCAGATGCATTACATACCCATCATAGGTGAGATCTGCTTCAGCTTGGGGTGAAAACCTGCCGCTGTCAGATGTGACACAGCTGGAGACATTCTCTTGGCTTTTGCCAATGCCAGAGTTGGGCAAACCTCCTTCTGGGGGGAATAAGAAAAGCCAGCGCTTTAAAGTAGGCTTCACCACAAGGTCTGGCTCTGCTATAATCATGGAATTGGGTTTACCAGAAGTGGTGTGAGCAGAAGCAGACGGCACAGCAAGGCAAGGCACCAGGCAGCGGGGGCAGAGCTAGACGACGCATGCAGTTGGAGCCATTGCACAAAGCTGCCCAGCTCACAGGGGTGGCTTTGTAGAGCTATCCCTGTCTGTGGCGGCACTTCCTTGCCTGTGCTAAGCAGATGGTCCAATTCAGAAGAGAGGGCAGTAGAAGCAGAAGCAGAATGGCAATACTTTTCAATTTTTATTTCTACCCAACTATAATTCTTCCATCATGGAAAAAGCCCATCATGTCCCATTTCAAGGATTGTCCATGAACATGGGCCCCAAAATATCCCACCAGCAGCTCCATTCACCAACAAAGTTTGGCTCTCTACCAGTTATAAAATATTTAGCTACCTAATAGTTTGCATATCAGTGATTAAACTGGAATGCTTAATTATTAGTACATATAATTGCAATTGATAAAAACCTATATGGGAACCTTTCTAATATACTGTGTAACTAGAACTTGCAGTTTATCAAACAGAAGCTACTCATAGGTGGAAAGTACATTTGGAAAGTACAATGTGAGGTGGCACTGCTGGTTAAACCACTGACCTGTTGAACTTGCTGATCAGAAAGCTGGCAGTTTGAATCTGTGTGGTGGGGTGAGCTTCTGTTGCCTTGCCCCAGAGCTCCTACCTACCCGGCAGTCCGAAAGTGTGCAAAACCGTGAGTAGATAAATGGGTACCCACCTCGGTGGGGAGCTAGCGATCTGCGTGGAAGTGTGAGGACCAGCCCTGTGTTGGACCGGCAGTGCCAAACCAGCAGCAGCAGCAGCAGCAGCAGCAGCAGCAGCAGCAGCAGCAGCAGCAGCAGCAGCGGAGAGAGACCAGAGGATGCTGACACTCCCGCAGACCAGCTCTAGCTGCTCCGTGTGCAAAGCCAGCTCACTCCCTGTGGTGCACCTTGGCTAGTGCACAAGCGTGAACTGAAGCACTAGCAACCTTAGGCAGCCAAACTACTCTGTATTGCCACTGTAGACTTCCTGGCTAATTGTATCAATGCCATACAAAATAAACAATAAGCTGTCAAAATCAAACTACAATCAAGCATATCTGCCCGTTACCAGTTAAAAACACCTTTACTGATTATGATTGCTCCTTATTTAGCAATGAAAAATAGACAATGAAATCAAGTGTCCATGCAAAAGTTAACCCTGTCATGATCAGTGAAACATGTTCTCCTAGTAACATGTATGTTTAGGAGTTGTTGGGAAAATTTGGATAAATCCTGACTGAAAAGCATTACTTCTGTGCCTTTGCATTGTGGGATCAAATCCTGTCTTCCTTCTCAAAACCAAGCTGTCCCTGTTTATAATGGCATTCATTCCCCACTCCTTTCTCTCACCTTTAGCTGTAAGCTACAGCAGACAGGCCATTTTAGCCCAAATATACATTGTAAATAGTCATTGTTGGAATTCAGTTTACAATAATCTTTTGATAGCCCAGAGTGCTTCATGTGCCCTGATCATGCAGAATGTTTAGAGTCAAGAGAGGGGTCTGAGCTTATCATGAATAGTTTCTAGTAGCTTGAATGTGCATGTCTGAGCAGACCTGGAGATGGGTTCAAGTTACTCAACTAAAGTGTCAATACAGGCAATTAGAAATATTTTAATCTGATTGTTACAGTGTGATTGACTGACATTTCTTTATCTGTTCTGTATGTGATGACCTCAGAATCTTATTGTAATCTCTGCATTCTGTCATCAATTGCCCTGTACCTGTGTACCTATAAATGCCCTGTAATGGTATTGAAGCTTTGCAGCAGAGTTCATCTCTGCCTGTCCGGTAATGCATTATTGTGAGTGTACCGCGGGAACCTTGGGGTAAATACAATAAAGCCTCAGATGGTCTGGACGCTTGGTCTTTCCCACGAACCCGAGTTTTATTCCCTCTTCTCAAATTGAGATTCTGGGGTTCTGACAGAGTACAGTCCAGGTTGGCTGGCCTGTGATAAACTTTTCAGACCCACTGTTAGGGTAGAATCTTTTGGGATGCCCACAAGCCCCCAGAGGCTTGTGGGTATCCAGAGCAGATGCAGAGGGGCGAGGGGCAGGGGGGAGACGACTCCCTGTCTTCCCATTCTGCAGCTTTGCCCATTTTGGTTCTTTTTGCCCATCTAGCTGGATCATCTTAGAGGAGGAGAGGAGGAGGTTGGTGCAGTTTCAGGATCAAACATATCCTAGCTTCCCCCTCAAAATGCCCCCTTTTTCTGCTCTCAGAGGTCACTTTCCCAACCTCAGTGAGCAACCAGTGTGGTAGTCTCCAATCTCCACCCTGGGAATCTGAACAATCCTATTGCCCCTCGAGTACTGCCTAAGGGCTGGGAGGGGGGGTCACTCCCTTGGATCAGTTGCTAAAATTGCAAAACACTCGCCCATTTAAAAAAAATTGCAAGAGGCACTGAGGACAGAAAAGGCAAAACAGGACAAAAATGTGGCTGGCACTTACCAGAGCGATGGCCACAGCTGGACCTCCTGCTGTCCTCAGATCCTCTGAAGGAAAAGGACAGGGGGTCATCTTCAGAGCTGCACATGGACTCCGATCCCAGTTTCCCCAGAGCCTTCTTCCTCTTGAGGATCCAACTCCGATCCATCAGAGGATCGGAGTTCAGAAGGACAGGGATGCTGAAGATGCTATCACACGAGAGCCATTGCTGAAGAGCCCTGCAGATTTAAGAAAACAACAACAACAACATATGAAGGAAGTCTGACTTCTGGCATGAAGGGCGCTCATCCCATCCACACAGCTCAGCCTTCAGTTCTGACAGAGCTGGAAAAGCCAGGATGCCGCATGGCCACTCTGGTAGCTACAGACAGGAGAAACCGTGGACTGAGTGGATTCCACTCAGCCTGGCAGATTCCCAGAGAGCCTGCCCTGAGCAAGATTTGGTTCTGACCACTGCTGAAGCACGGCTCTGAGCTCCTTAGAAAAATTAGAGGATAGAAAAGCGATAAATGGAGATCACTGGCACATTTGTTACATGTGGCGGAGGTTGCCATGTGCTCCCAAAGAACAATGCAGAAAGGGACAGCAAAGCTCAAGGGCCTCAGGCAATAGACTAGCAGCTGGCGGTGTCCAAGGAGGCAGACCATGTACCCTCATGTCCTGAATCATTAGAAGCAGGTCTAAGGAGCAAATGCATTGGCAAACAGCCCAGAAGCAGCCATCCAATCAGCTTCAGTCAGAGGCCGTTCTCCTCGCAGCTACCTGTGAATAGTCCCACCCTTGTGAAGAATGGTCAGCAGAAAAGGATTTAACACATACAGATAGTTGGCCTAAGAAGAGCTGTATAGCGTAGGCATAGAGAGTTATTGTACAGCAAATATATTGTTTAATGTAAAGCAAATCTATCTCTTTGGCTTTCTCAGCTCTCTCCATTTTAGGAATACCTGTCATTTCCTGTTCCTGCGATGCCCTTCTGGTTGGCAGCTGCGTTTGTACTTATGGGAGATTCCTGTAAAGGGGGAAAAAGGTAAGATGGGGTATGTGAGGGAGGAATCTAACATGGCTGCCACATAGAACCACAGAAATGGTTACCTGAAGGAGCGCTTACATCCATATATGCCCAGCCGGCCCCTGAGATCGGCGGGAGAGGCCCTTCTCCAGGAGCCCTCCATGAAAGAAATTAGGAGGGTGGGTACTCGGAGGAGGGCTTTCTCAGCGGTGGCACCTAAGTTATGGAATGCGCTCCCCAGAGAGGTCCGCCTGGCGCCGTCGTTATTTGTTTTTCGGCGCCAGGCGAAGACCTTTTTATTTAAGCAGCATTTTAAATGTTAATATTATTGAATTTTATCTGGCCAGGGTGGCTTATTTAATATTGTATAGTTGTATTTTATTTTAATGTATATATTTTAATTTTTAACTTATTGTTGTAAGCCGCCCCGAGGCTTTGGCGAATGGGGCGGCATAAAAATGTTTTAATAAATAAATAAATAAATAAATAAATAAATAAATAAATGTAAACCTGGAAAGAACCTATTGACCAATTTCCTCTCCATTGACTGTAGAGGGACAATGGCAAGCTAGTCTCTCTGTCACTAGACAAGGCTGGTGCCTGCACCAAGGTGCCTAGATGAAATCCTGGATCAGGCTTGGGAATACTTTTGCGGCTGTGCCGAACACGGAACGCAGGTAGGGACCAATGGACCTTCAACCCTGCAGCTTTATCACAGGGTGAGCTGCACCTGCTGCTTTCCTTTGTCCTGCAATGCAATTGTTTCAAGGCAGAGGTGGCTGGCACAGCCTCCACAGCAAAGAATTCTAGTCTGTAAGGAGCATTCTTGAAAATGCAAACAGCTCTCTGGATGTCCTTGGTAGCCAAATAATGTGGGACCACAGTGGGAGGGGAAGAGAGGGAGCAGAGAGGCGAGAGCTTAGAACGAGAGCTTTCAGTCAGGAAGCCCAAGTCTTGCTTCAGCCACGAACTCATTGGTTGGCCTTCAGGAAGCCCCCTCTTTCTTGGACTTAGTTCCCCCAGTTGCAAAATGAGGATGATGGTGTTGATGATGATGCAATCCCTACCTTACTAGGTGGCTCAGGTAAAGTTGCAAAAGATGCTGAACATGCAAAAGATGTTGAATATTATAACATATAATGATATAAATGCAATTAAAAAGAAAAAAAAAACCACTAGCCAATACTTTTTTGGTTGGGTGGTTGCAAGAACACATACAAGTTCAAAGTTTAATTCCCCAACACCAAGGAAACCATTTTTATGGCCAACACCAGCCCACCAACCAGCTCTACTCACATTGCCGATAGAAGCCATTCTCCCAGGGATAGATAAGAAGGAGGAGCTGCCCAGGGTAGAACAATCCACCTCCATCTCCACTGTCTGGCTGTCCTGAGCAGGTGGAGCAGGGTCTTCTACCTTAACCTGTTGGAAACAGGAGAGCTGGTCTTACCTGGTCTTGAGCATCAAATGCTCAACAGGTTGCCTGTCTCATCACCCTTTTAAAAGTCAAAGATTGCTGCCCTGCTGAGCATTTGAATTGCCTATGGGTCAAACAAGTGCTTGACAATTTACAGCTTGCTTCATCTCTAAAGGAAGCCTGAATGAACAAAGGACCAAAGTAAGCCCAGTATGATGCTGGGTTTACTTTTTAGAAGCTCTAGTTAGTGTAAGTTGTGACCTGTCTTCAGTGATGTGACATATTGTCCAATTTTGCTATGGCTGTATATACCTGATAGGGTATACACAGCCACAGAATGTATACACATTCTATCCATACCTGATAGAATGTAATTTACTTTTACATACTTTCTGTCCTACTATCACATGCTTAGGTGCAGTTTTTGTGGCTTCCCCTCTGTCCTTACTGGTTAGCTTTCTCTCCTTGTTGCTTTTTGGAGGTTATTTGTGGGAGGTTCTGCAGAAATTGCATTGGGTAGAAAAATGTACCTTGCTACGTATTTTCCTAAAGAAAAAGCAGAACAGGAGTTGTAGTGGGTAATCCACTACTGCTGCAGTTACTCCAACACCAATGCTCTCCGCTGACACAGAAGTCTGGCTTCCAACAGGAATTCTGTAGGAGAGAAAACCATTTGATAAGCAAGCCTGGAATCTGATGTCAATGAACAAAGGATCCAATACTCAACCTCATGTATTGCACCCATATTTCGTGGGAACTTGCAGAGGGGTGTAGTTTTTGGAAGACAGCAATCAGATATGCATGCGTCCATAGGATGGGAACTCCAAAAGTGCAGTTTTAGTATCTATCACAGTCTCAGAGCCTAACTCTGATCTGCAAATTTTCACTGAGTTCATGCGTGCCTCTGCTTCCACGCCCCCCTTGCTTTCCCATGTGACCCAGTGAGCGACATCCTCACCTTTGACCCTTGACTCCGATGGCGCCATACCAGATGGCGCACGTGGCTAAGAAGAGGCTGACCATGAGCATGCAGCAGGTGACCCTCTGCACCCGTGTAAAGCGACTCCTGGGAGGGCGGCTCCAAATGGAGAGCCAGATGTGCCAGTCGGAAAACCCAAGGCGCATCTGAGCAGGGAAAATTCGGGAAAAGCATCTCAGTTCCTGTGGACCTGAACATAATAAAGGGAGCAATGATCACTCTGACTGTTCCCTCTTCTTGCTTGTTACCAGAAGCAACTTCATCTTCCGTAGTTATCCTAACTTCCTCTAATCAGCCCCCAAAATTTCATTGACTCATCAGTAACCACAGTACTGGTTACATCTTTAGGAATATGTGGGTGTTTTAAAGACTGGGCCTGGTACTGAGGAGCTCAGTGGCACTGCTGTTTTTGAGCTATGCCTCACATACCTAGACTGCAGAATCACCACTTTGTTCCGTGAGGCAGGGCAAACTGCAGATCCCAAAAGAAGACTGTAGCTTGCTGTTGTTGACCTTTGACCTCATGAAGTCCAAGCACTGCTGCCAAACATTTCAGTCATCACGTATAGCCATCCATGTTTACATATGGCATCAGTTGCAACCTAGAACCCCTATAGTACAATGTACCAGTGGCAGGGGCTAACTAGGTTTAGTTTTTTTATTATTCTTGCGTACTACACTGAAAGTAAAGGAAATCTTCAACTTGGAACCTCCCTTTAATTCTTTTTTTTTCCTTAAATAAAAATTGCACCACAATAGCTTACAAATTGCCCAAATGCTTGGGTCAATGAAGTTTCTTACACCAATTTGCTCAAATAGATTGGCAACCTGGAACTTTCAAACATTACATTGCTCAGATATGTAGGTATGTCTCTCTCCCACCTGATTCTGTGAGGGAAGAGACAATGGTCGGCTTGGTTGAGATTAGGAGCTTTTCTGCAATGAGACTGTTAATCATCTATTAATCCGTTATATCTATATGTTTGGTTTTGTCACAGTACTGAGATCCAAGCACTCCACTGAATGCTTCTTTTCCTGCTTTTTTACTACATAACCTCTATCTAGGAGACACTGTGGTGTAGCAGAATAGCACAAATACACAAGAAAAAAAGCAGTTTCTTTCACTTTCTCAAAGAAATGCTGCATTTCCCCTACTCCTGAAAGTGCTGGTTAGACACAGGGGTGAAACTGGAAGGTCACAATGTCAGCTAAAGAACCTGTAAACAAAGGTAAGAAAAGTATGTATGTATGTATGTATGTATGTATGTATGTATGTGTTTATCTGACTGACTGACTGACTGACTGACTGACTGACTGACTGACTGACTGACTTCTAACCCACTCCATTAGCTGTACAACTCACTGGGTAGGCTACAACAACAAAATACAAAATAAAATAAAGAATAATGAATGCACAGCCCTCACACAAATCCAGGGGCAGGAGAAGCTCATGGTGTAGGAAAACTACAAGATACTAGGTAACAGAAGGAAGAAGAATGAAATGGGCCAAGAACAAGAACCCTGAAAGAAAGAGATTACCAAAAAAATGAGGAGGGAAATACTTAATGAGACGGTGCTGTAAAGCAGAGCTGAAAGAAAGCCCTGGCAAAGTACCCCTGGTGGGCCACCCATAGTTGCCCCTCAGCTCAGACAGTTTATCTTGCCCACCATATACATTTCTCTCTGTGATGTTATGTCAGGTGTCATGCTGCACCATGGGGAATTTAAATGGAGGGCAGCTTTCCAGATGTGCTGTTGCATCTGCAGCCAGGGAAGTGGCTGGGCTAAAACCAATGGGAGCCAGTGTGGCCCTGGGGCCCTAGCAGCTGCTCATGGCTGCAGGAGACTGAAAGAGGCCTTCTGAAGAAATGGCACAGTGCTTGAGGTCCAGAGGGGATGAATGGCGCATCTATGGTTACTCTGGCATTACAGTAGAGAAGAGGACCAGGAAGGATGGGCTAGAGGGGGCAAAAGGAAGGCTACCAGAGATTGAATCTCACATGCTTATTTGAACAAACCAGCCAATCTTAGGCTGAAGATTTTAATCCAGATTTTAATCATGGCTTCTCATAATTATTAGCACCAATGCTACCTGATTCCCTCAGGCCACTACTCACATGCCGCCAGCACCTCCTTTTCCACCATTCCTTCATTCTTTTCATTTTCCACAGACAGCCAGTCCTCCACCAGGAAGAAGTACAGATTGTCGGTCTGCTTGTCCCATACAGTAACATGCTGCAGGTACCAAGAAGGGTCCAGACCTGGCCACAAAAAAGACAGTGAAACAAGCTTCTCCAAAGTAACAAGTTGAATGGCAAAGATTTAGGGCTGTGTACTCAGCTGATGGAAAGTACTAGTGCAAGATTTGGGAGTGGCAACTAAACTGGGGTCTGTCAAAGACAGAGAGGTTTGGTCCATCAAGGGATATTAGCTAATGACAGCTAAAGGAGGCAGCATATCGCATTGGGAAGGCTGGCACCATCATGGACAGCTTGTGAGCACTGAAAGATGCCTGGTTAGCCTCAGTTGACACAATTTATTCTGTTTACAGCCCAGTTGCCAGACTAGGCTTTCTGGACTGTAGGCTCTTGGGTTCCTGGCGTGCAATAAGCAAAGATCCTTAATTATGGCTCATACCAGTGTTATCATGCCAAATGCGGATCTTCCAGATTTCTCCTAGATTCACATCCGTTTCTACTTGGAAGATGTCCTGGCTAGTTCTCTGGAAGGCCCATCCCTTGTCCAGGTGGCGAGAGCCGCTTTTGTTCTGCCCATACAAGCTGATCCCTATATGGGCTGTGGTACCTTGAATACATGTATGAAATAGCATGTGGCAAAGCTCAATTAAACTCTCCCATCAACACAAAGCACCCGGGGCAAGCTGGCCCAGCTTAGTGTGGCTTGTCCTCAACAGGAAGCATTGCGCCAAGGGGGCTAATGCTGCTTTAGGACATATTGAGACCGTGGTTCCTGCCTAACTGAACCTCCCCAGGACAAATGGAGTGGGTGGGCACGAACCCCTATCCCTCCCACTTGGAAAATGGGAGCTTCAAGGCATATAAAGTTTGAATCCCTTAAACTTCAAGGCCTCTTTCCCTGGGCCACCCACCCCAGAGAACTTGGGACTGTAGCCCACAAGCCTCTCTCCATTAAACAAACAAACAACTTGGCCATTGCAGTGATACAGCAAAATGCTATGCTCAGATCATTTCTGGAAAAGACCAACTGGGGGAATCACTCAATTTTCAAAGCACAACATCTGCTTCCAAGATCCCCCAAACTCAGGATCCATACATGTGTAATAACCTCACTTCCAGTAATGATATCATATGTGCTCAGGAGAATAGCTTGCTCACAGATCTCATTACTCTACATTTATAAAGGAAACCTATCTGTTGCCTAAAAGTCTCCACATATAACAACCCCAGTTCTTCTAAGAGAGAGAACGCGAGAGCACAGGCACACACACAAGGCATCCTTGAAATAACCACACTTCTCATGCATATGAAACAGACAGTGAAGTGGGTGAGGAGCTTCTCCAGAAGAAATGGCAGCAGGTGCCATTGTAGAGCTGAGGAAGATGGAGGAGCGGGGCAGACACACGGGAAGCGTCACCTAACCGTGGCCATCCATGTAACATCACTGACAACGTTCCAGACCGCTTCTCCAAAGCAGCAACATATCATTTCAAATCTCACAGGATTTATCTACGACTGTGATGACCTCTCCGTCAATCATAAATTCAGCAATGAGAGAAAACAAGACAGCACCTCCAGGGGTGGGGCACAGGGGAAAAGCGCTACAATTTGGGAGAAAAGGTGAGTAACAGGTGCTAATATCAGGGGCGTGAGGGGCTGAACAGTGAATGTGGAAGCTTCACCAACTGTAAAATGGACCGCGAGGCAACCTGGTAGCTCCCTGTACGTACCTGAACCTCTTCTCCAGCCAGTCTTCACCATCACCCAATACTTGTACCATCCAGGCTGGCCACATCGAGGGATGATCCCCACCCGACTGATGTCAATGTCGTCCAGCTTGTGGGATATTAGTGCCACCCCCAGGTAGAGGGAGAAGAGCACACAGCAAGCGATCAGTGCCAGTGGGCTCTGCCAGGAATGCTTCTTCTGCAAGCAAAGCAAAACACAGACCAGGATGGATGAGGTGGCAGGACAGGAGAGAATTCCACCCCAGGCCAGCCAACAGCACCTGCGGAGTACCAGGAGCAGGATGCCGTGGTGGCCAGACAGGCCAAGTCCTCGCCAGCCTAGAGCTGGATGCCGAAACGAGTTGCACAGAGGCAGGTGTATGTATGTGGCTTGTCCAACTGGCTGCATGCACCTTTGTAGGGCTTCCTGCCTTTATTCATTACATTTACACACCACACAATTCATCCAGAGGCACGCATGTGGCCCTATCCCACCCACCTTTGGCAAGTCCATCCTTTGCCCCACGGATCTCACCTTGCAGCTGATTTAGGAGGCTTTTACCCAACCAGTAACCTCATTCCCATCCTAAAATACGCCAAGAACAGGAGGAAAGGCTAGTTCCGGTAATATATTGGGCCTCAACACCAGGAAGCATTCACACTGGTTTTTTTTAAGGCAAATGAAATGCCTTGTTTTCAGGAGCAGTCATCCTATCGTGCCTCGAGGCCAGGGAAACAAAAGATTCTTGAGAGAATCAAAATCAGGGTTCTGCCACAGAAACCACTCCAGCCCATCTTCTCATCAACCTCCAAAGCAGCTAATAAACTACAGAACCTCCAAAGGAGATGTTAGACTACAGGTCACCGGGGGAGGCAGCGGCCTTGCAGCCATCCTAGCTCCAAACAGTTCAACAGGTTATTGCTACTGGGCCATCTAACCTGATCAACTTGCTTCCACTGCAGAAGCTTTATACTCACTGGTGGCAGGAAGATAACACTGTGAGGAGGTAGAAAGAGACTAGCCCCAAAGACGGTGAGATGCTCTGTCAGGCACACGATCTCCTTAGGGCTGCTGGTGGCTGTTGGGCTCACTCCCTCTGTGCTCCATTGCATAGTGGGGAAATGGAAGTACTGGCAAAGACTGGCAAAGACAGAGATGCGGGCGCTGACGGTAGACCAGCAGAAGTGACTGGTGATGTTAATGTAATATTCCCAATGAGTCCTGTTGAGGTGGTGACTGGTAGAAGAGATTAATAGCTGTGAAACTAGCTTGCGTTTAGTACAAGTGACAACGTGCCTCTCAATTAATTATATGTAGGCACCTCTAATGGGTCCACTGTCAAAAGTACAGGCAATTAAAATAAATTCTTCAGGTTCCGATCACAGGGGAAGAAGCTAAGGGGCACCGGACCAATAAAGAGATGTCACTGACTGCATTCAGACAACACAATAATCCTGGTTTGTTGCTGAAATATGGGCTATTGTGTTATCCGTACCCATACAAGATAACAAACAATGGTGGACAACCCATAGTTCACCACTCCATGTGTTCTATTCCTGGGTTGTTCAGGGTTAGCAAGTGATGGCTTGTTAGGACAGCTAGGTTCAGACAACATGATAACTCACCTCGCAGCAACAACCCACATCCAACCCATACTCAGCCCGGAAGTGGCTTATTGTATGAACCCAGCCTCCACGTCGTATACATCCCAGGGTTATGTCTGCCCAGACCTCTTCTGACAGTTGTAGTCAGTACCACACTCTGTGTTGTCCACGAGCACCTGCCTGTGTTAGCTTGTGTTGTTATTATGGCTGGCTCCTATCAGTGCTTCCCATGGGTTCCTTCCTGGGCTCTGTTGGGATTTTCGAGGAACTGGGAACGGCTGTAGATTGCCTGGCCGGACAAACACTTACAGAGGCGAAATTAAGAGCGTGACCTCCCTGTGGCTTCTTTCTTCCAGGCCGTTAGAAAAGACTATTTTCTCCTTCGTGCTATAGTGGAACTCATTGGGGGAGGGGACATTGTGCCCGTAGAGACAAAGCGAGGGCTCCTTCTCCTGGCTGGAACCTAAGCATGGGAACAGAGGTGAGGTCAGTCTGAGTAGATCTGCCAGAGCTAGAGAAAATTGGTGTTCATATTTCCCTGGTAATAAATAAGGAAGAAGAAATGCAGGTCCGGAAAGGGGAGGGAAGGTTCACTATGCCCTGGCTGAGAAGAGGGCCGGTCCTCTGGCTGAGGAGCTCAGTACGGCAGGGGCGTCTCTGTGGTGAGCCTCCAGTGCTGGCTGCAGTACCTGCTCGTCTGCATCGTGCGGCTTGGCTGGATTATTGCCAGGAACTGCACTATCCCTTCAAATCTATTCCTTACACAAGTCGATCAAGAGTCCCTCCTAAGACACGGGTAGGTACATTTTGGGGGACCATGGCGCATTTGGAAATTTGAGAAACTGCCCAGGGCACCTGTATGGCAAAAGACAAGAGGCATACTCAAAAGAGCAAGAGAAAGGCAGGGATGAGTTCTGAGCCCTGAGCATCAAATAGTCCCTTTGAACCCCCACTTCTCAGCGCCAGCAGAATCCTGTTTCACACTGATCCTGGCTGCTGCTAAGGAAATACATGAATTCAGAAGAAGAAAGAATTGGAGGGCCCCCTGCCTGACTGCAGCTTGCCTCCCCCTGCTCCGAGATAACTTCTTTCTGCACCCATCGAGTCGACTTAGACATATTTATCAACACCTCTAAACACAGATTTTTATCCTTCGTCTCTGTTTCCCTTTCACTCCTTCAATTAGTTTTCCTTAAAGAATTGCCTCTGATATTCAGTGTTTACACATCTTAGGATGTGGTCTTAATGAGCATGAAGGGACACCTAAGACCTATCTGAGTCAGGTGGATCTATGCCAGGTTTTTTATCATGTGAAAATGGCAGGTAAAGAGCACTGCATGTTGGCAGAACCAAATCAGAAACACCATTTATCAATCCAGTCTTCGGCCTAGTTTTACTGAGGCAGCAAACCTGAGTCTGGGCCATACCATTTTAGATTATATGTGAGAGTGCATATGACCACATGCACATATTACCTGCTCATAGAAAACTAGTCTGTCAGGGAGAGGTGTGTCTAAAGCCACCATGAGTGCTGTTTTTGGTAGAAAGGTGGGGAATCAATCAAACCAGTCGATACACCTGCCTTCTTAGCACATCAAGTTTTCCTGAAGAGCATTTTTTTAATGGAAAAGCACTTTTTAACAACATTCCCCATCTCTTATCTGAAGTGGCACAGCCCAGCTAGTCATCACAAAGAGAACAAGGCTTAGCACAGTCAGAAAAATGCCGATTTCTGAGCATCTCCCAGCAGGGACATCATGTATGAGAAAAGCTATATTCACTTGAAGTGTGTCTGCATACTTGCCCTGGCATGTTTCTCTCTTAGTGCTGCCAGTGACACCGTCTGTGTGCGTGCCTGCTTCTCCTGGGAGCTTGGCAGGGTTATGCTCAAAGTCCAGTTTAACAGGAATAAACAGAAAGGCTGAGAAAACAAACACTATTAAAATGTTCAGTGTATGGATGAACCGTTGGTTCAAGTTGAGGCAATGGTTTTGGATGGACCCCATCATATTCATCAGAACCAGCTGGTGGGTCCAGCAACAGTGGGGCAGTATAACCACTCTGAGTCTCAGTGTGACTGTCAAGGAGTTATCCATGGTGCTGAACCTGTTCAGATTGAAGCCTGGAGTGGACATGCTGCCCCACTGATGTTGGAGCCACCAGCCTCCACAATGCTTGGAGTTCCACCATGGGCCATCCATACCAGAAAACGGGCTCTCGGCCAAGCCCCCTTGATCTTTCTCCACTGTTCCTGTCCCTCCTGACCTCTCCCTGCCACACTTACCCTCCGGGACAGTGAGACTGACATGGACGTGTGTCCCTCTAGCATCATCGTCTGACAGCACTTGGACAGTAAAGTTAACCGACTCCTTCGGTGGGATGACAATCAACGCCTGGGGCAAGACCTGTGGTTCCTCCTGTCCAGCTGGCAATCGCAGGCTGATAGAGCTCTCCTTGGAGAGGTTGGCGACTGGAATAGGTTCCCCTGCTGGGGTGGTGAAATCGAGAAATGCAAGGCGGGTGGAAATAGTAGCATTAGCAGAGTAATGGAAAGGGAAGGGGTTGCTGGCAAGGTCCATGGCGACCTGCACCACTTCCCCACTCTGTGCCAGTTGCTCTGCAAGTGTTCTTGGCACGGAGAAGAGACACTCCTCAGAGGGGGCCACACACAGTAAGTGTCTGGAGTCCGCCTTCTTCCCCTGGACGTGGATCTCAGACACAGCCAGGGACAGAGGCTCCTCATTCAGCATGCGAGACTTCATCAAGGACTTCATCAGCAACTGGGTGAGACTGAAGGCTGATGAGACCTGATTCCTGAGGCCTGGTGCTCTCAACGGATGCAGGTTGGCCCCCGTGTGGACACCTGCAGCTGCAGGGGTTAGCATCCTCCCTGAGAACGACATCACACTGATCAGGGCACACAGTCTCTTAGGGCAGCTTACGCAAAAACCCCACATGGCACGGGCACACACCACCCATTCTATGGACAAAAGCTGACCACGCAGGCAGATGAATTTTGAGTCATCGCTGAAAAAGGGGCACCACCTTCCACTGTTCCTGAGCGCAGTGGGCTCTCTCTAGACACAGCCCTGTCCTCCAACGCCTCACTACTCTGTCCCTCCTACTAGTATACACAGCCTGAAGCAACGGCCTCCTTCTGCCTCATCTGGAAGGCCACAAGATAGGGCTGGTCCTACTTTAACCCACACACTCCTAGACCTCCTTTCTCTACCGCCCTTCAGCTTGAGTGCCCAGCTTGCCCGGGAGCTCTGCCTTCTGCCAAGGCTTGGGTGGCTGTGGCAAGAAATGGAGGGAGGGCCTGCCTGGCTGCACTCACACCCTTCTGCACCAGCGAGCGTGCTTCCTCCGGCCCAGTCAGTGGTGTGGTGCGGAGGGGGCCGGGAAGAGGCTGAGGGAGGTTTTCTCCCCAGTCCATGCGGTGGCTACTTAAAGGGAGAGTGGCTTTGGCTCAGTCTCCCTCCCTGCACTGATCACCATGGATTTCTTTCCAGGAATGGCTCTGGGTGCAAAATCTGTGCACATCCATTGTGGGCTCCATTGTGTCTTCTCTGACATGCCTGGCAGGAAAGGCAACATTTCCTTCTCTGTGCATAAGTAGAAACTGTTTTTTATAAGGCTAAAATTCTTTGAGGAGTTCCCAGAAGTCCAAGTTCCTTGCTAGTGAATAGGAGCCCTGCTTCGTGTGGGTGTCCTGTCCATTGTCTGCGGTTGCTACGTGATCGGGTGATACAGTGGAGGCATTTGACACTCTGGAGTCAACCATTTGCATTGGTAGCAACTAGTGATGCCGATGCTTTTTTAAATGTCATTCCAAGAACAGGCAAAGTAGAAAAGTAAAACTACAGAAGGAATTTCTTATTAAAGCATATAAGAAAAAAGAAATGTTCTTTGTTTTTGAGGTCTTCTGAGTAATTTGTAAATATAAATAAAGTAAGGCCATTGAATTCCCTTTGGGTAACATGGGCATCTGGGTGCAATGTGTATTTTGGCTCTGAGGTTTATTAACCGTCTATAGTACTTATTGTAAAACCATTGGAATGTTGTGCCATTAAAAATAAAGCCGCAAATAAATGTTGACAACAGCATGTTTCACTCCCGCGAACTGGCATTACCCACTGGCTGGCTCCTCCTCCTGCCGCTTGCTCTACAGTTGCTCTGGGTTAGAGGACACCAAGACTGCGGGAACGACAGAGCCGCGGCTCCCGTTTCTCTAGCGGAGGCTGCCTGCCTCTGCTGCAGCTGTGAGAGCAGCCTGCCCTGCGAGGGCATTACCTACCCAGGATTGCCAAGATGTTCTCGCCAGTGGAGGGAGGAGTGGCGTGACCCTCTTCTGTTCCTCTGTTGATCACTTCGATCATCCTCTTGGCAGCTTCCAGCACCTGGGCCCGAGATCCAAGGCTGAGCTCTTCTGGGAATGCCTGGCATCGGGGAAAGAGGGCCTGTTCTTGCTTGCCCCTGCAAAGCCCTCCCAGTTTGGAAGAATGCGGCAGGTAAGCCTTCCACACATACCTGGGCCCTGATGGCTACCTTTCCCTGTTCAAGACATGGTGCTGGAGAAGCCAGGTAGTTGGTCACACTCCACCCAGGTGAGATCCTTTTGCCTTCTGTTTAAACCTTAAGTCAGAGGCACAAAACTTGCAGCCCTTCAAATGTTTTGGCTTACCAGTCCTATCAGCCCCAGCCGGCACAACCAATGGTGAGGGAAGAAGGGGACTGTAGGCTAAAATATCTGGAGGGCCACAGTTTTCTTACTCCTGCCTTAAGGCTTCTGCTGAAACTTTAAGGAAAAACAGAAAGGCCCCTGTGTAGATAAGGAGGTATCAAAAGCAATAGCCCAGGTTTACCCAAGATTTTGGTGTGCGGGCAGGATTTTTAAAGAGCAACAACGTGCCGGTCGCCTTGCCTGCCATGTGAAAGTGCCTCTGGGATTCTGCTCCGATCCCAGAGCATTGCAGTCCTTTGCCGCAAGGCCTATCCAACCCTAAGTGCATGAGGATAAGCAGCAGACAAGTCCTGGTTAAGGCCTGTCCTAACTGGCCCGCAACTCAGGACTCCCGTCTCAGAGGGCCCTCCAATCGTCTGGGTCCATATCCAAAATGGCATGTATGAGTTGATTCTTACACGATAGTGTTTTGTTTCTGCCATGAGGTATTATGTGCCGACTCTTCTCTGCACTTACCGCTCATGTACTCAGAAACCACAAAGGGGCAAGCCAGCCAGAGTCAGAGCCCAGAAATCGGCTGGATGGGCAGACATAAGCACACATGTCCAAATAAAAAGCCTGTCTTCGTTTATATATCAATACGCCATCTTCAGGTGGACGTGTAGGCTCGCCCTATGCAAAATGTTCATTTAACATGTGAACGTAACAGGAGGGCTCAGGAGAGGCAAGTGAATTCCCGGGCAGGGGTGAAGCAGGCCCGACAGTCCCTTGCACTCAAGTGGCCTCTGCACATAGCTGATGTGTGAAGCCAATGCTAGACTCTTGCTTCCAGGAAAGCTCGCAAGATAACGTTTCACTAAGGCCTGTAGCAGTAGCAGCTTAAAGCCCTGAAGTAAAGCCTGTAGTAGTAGTAGCTGGAGCCGGCTGGAGCCGGGGGGTCAGACTAGATGGCCCAGGAGACCCCTTCTGACTCGCTCTGTTTCTCTGTTATTATACCATCTGTGCATAATATAGATTTCTTCAACTATGCCTGTGCATGCGTAATGCAAATTCCATGTGGCAGAATCTAGATCTGTGTGGAGTAGAGGGCTACTACAGTGCCCATCATGCCTTGGTTTGGGAGGGCAAAGGGAGACCTACCACACAGGCCCTCAGTGCTGCACTGAGCTGAGCAGCATCCTCTGCACTGGAGACTTTCAGGGAGGTCAGGGCTGCAGTGGCCGCGCTGCGGATGGAGATACGGTCCCTGAGCTCTTCCGAGCCAGCCCCTCCTCGCAAGTCCTGCAAAAGAAATGCAAATGCCTCAGGGAACCGAAATGTCTCCTAATGGAGCGCACAGCAGCCACAGGCCAAAAGTGCAGGGCTGAAGCAAGAACAGGGCGTGTTTGCACACACACAAGTGTGACAGTCTCCCCTCCACCAAGTCCTTACTTTATTCAAGAGGCTTATGAGAGCCAGGGAGTAGCCAGCCACCTCCTGCGGGTTTCCTTGCTGCACCACCGCTTGCAGCTCTGACTGGCTCTTGCCTTTCAACCAGCTGCTGATGGTCTCGAATCCTGACGGAAGGGTGGGCATGAGCAGAGTCAAGGTTCTGAAAAGGAACGGAGACAGATGGCTGGGGTGGGAAGTGATGGTTTGTGAACTCCAAAATAAGCACGTGTGACCCCCAACCCCCGCCCCCGTGGCCCCCCAAGGGGTGCAAATATGTAAACAGTTAATCAAAGAGCTTTCTCATCCCCTACAGTGGCAATTGCTACTATCTTAGTGGTCAAGGTATGTGCACAGACCTCAACAGATCTACTTCATAATTAAAGAGCCACATGGCCTTATTGTAATCTGAAGCCCCTATTTTTAAAGTCTTCATGCCCTTTCCCCTTATTCAAGAGAGCTGCACTGTATGAATTCAGCTTTCATTATAAGGTGCACGTTAATTTTCGCATAGCTTCACTAGACAGACCCAAGGAGGTGATGTAAAGGCAGAGATGTTGCTCCTCAAGCAACCTGCTTCTCCGTAGTGGAAGGCCCCTAGCTCAGCGGCTCTCAGCTCTGCTTGCAAAAGGCCCCAGGTAGGGCTGAGAAAATTTCCAGTCTGAGACCAGGGCCGTCTTAACAGCATGATGGGCCCCGGGCAAAGCAGTGTACTGGGGCCCCTACGACAACTACAACTACTGTTCATTCTGGAAGTTTTCCAATTTTCCAAGGGTTAACATACACAGATTAGTATGGGGCCCACGGGCAAGTGCCTATCAGGCCCATGGGTTAAGATAGCCCTGTCTGAGACCCCAAAGAACCGCTCACCAGTCACTTGTGGACACTTCTGAGCTAAACAGGCCTGTGATCTGACTTGGTATAACACGACCTCCTGTGTCTTTGATGAGAACGCTGATGGAGCTAAGCTGTTGCAAGTAGTCAGGGGGTGCTAATTTATGGTGGCAGTCTGAAGCATGGCTGCCTAGAAATAAAGGCTACTTGGGATCAGTAGGGTTTACATTTGGCAAAATGAGGTAAGGATTGGGCTGGAGGGTAAAGTCTGCCTTATAAACATACCTCCTTCCCTGGCAATGCATAAAAGCCATACTTGGAAACAGAAGGTTTTGCTACCATTGGGAAGGAATGCCATTCAAAAATCAGTGCCATAGTAATCCCACCACCATGAAACTGGCCACCAATTGAAGTCCAGGCCCAATTTAAGGTGTTGGTAATGACCTATAAGGCCCTAAATGGCTTGGGTCCGGGATACTTGAAGCAGCACCTTCTTCCCTATGTGCCTGCCCATCCCTTGAGATCGGAGGCAGAGGTCCTTTTCTGGGAACCCTCTTTCAAGGAAATCAGGAGGGTAACTACTTGGAGAAGGGCCTTTTCGGTGGTTGCACCCCAAATGTGGAATATGCTCCCCAGGGAGGTTCTCCTGGCACTGGTGCTCTATTCTTTTCAGTGTCAGGCAAAGACCCTTTTATTTTCCCGGCATTTTAACTATTAATTGGTTTTATTCTTGTTTTTACCATTATTTATTGGATGCAGTGTGTTGTGTGTTGCTGTTATGGTTTTTTTGTTCTTTGTAAGCCGTCCAGAGACATTTAGTAATGGGACGGCATAGAAAAACTTCAACTGAATAAAATAAACAAACAAATAAACTATTCCAAAGATAGCAGCACTGCAGCTTTTGGAATGGGAAGAGAATAGGGAATAGCTCAAATGCAAAGGATCTACGGTTAGGCCTGTCCCCAAAGGATCATGCATTTACTGGTTCAAAGCCAAGGTCTTGGCTCCCCGTGAGTCCCCCAGCTCAACCAGAATATTGATACTAGACTGATTGCCAAGAGTGCCCGCTGGCAGAAAAGTACTGAAGGAGGATCTGATGCCTCGGTACAAGCAGACGTGCCAGCAGTGACTGCTGTGAGGAGAACAGGTTTCAGCAAGCAGGGAGTAAATCAGTTGTACAGGGCTGCTGTCCTCGTCCATCCAGCCTGAAAGAGAACGGGCAGAAAATGTAGGGGGATGAGAAGATGGGGAGAAACCATGCATGAGTTCAGCTTGATCACACAGGCACAGGGATCAGTCCGCCTGTTTTTCTGACCAGCCTTTCCTTTCAACATAGCTGCACAGCCCTGGGTCAGGAGCAAACCTCCAGCAGCGCAAGCAATTTTTTTGCTTTCTACTTGTAGTAGTCAAGCATTCCAAATGGCACGTACGACCTGGGACTGCATATTTGTTTTATTTATTGATCTGTTTGTTCAAGGGATTTTTAGAGTGACTTTGATCGTATTATCTTCCCGAGGCAAAGTACAATCAATAAAATAATCTAATAAGATTACATGTGGGCAGAGCCATCCTGTTGGGTGTAGTAGGGAGATCCAGAGGGAAAAGCTGGGCTGACACCAAGAACAGGCATGGTTGGGCATCTGCTGGGCACCTGCTAAGGATCAGCAGGAGCCCACTGACAGCAGCTCCATCACCGCTACTTGCTTGTTTACCCGCCTTTCGCTCTTCTGATGACAAGCAGGAGGGGAAGAGGCTACTGCCTACTGGCTCCCTGGCTCTGTATTTCAAGCAAGCAAGTGGCAGCAGTGATGAGAGAGCAGAGCAGGAGGGACAGGAGCTGGTGGCAACAGCCGGGAGAAGCTAGGGAAGCACTGAGGTGTCTTGCCCAAGGCCCCCTCAAAGCCTAGGACAGACGAAGCTGGAGTGGCCGGATGAATTGGAGGTTGCCGTCAGAGGTCACTTGAATGGTGGTGGGAGAAGGGGAGGAATCCCTTGTGTCGCTTACCCGTGCACTGGACTCTCACTAGCGTCTCCAAGATATAGATGTTGTCTTCTGGTGTCAGGCTGCAGACCCCTCCCCTGGGTGGACGGTTTGGGGGAAGAGTGATGCTGGCTTCTCCCTGCAGCTGTTTTGTGGGCTGAGTGACTAACACAGTGAAAGTGTAATCCATTCCATCTTGCAGGGCCTCTTGCCTGATCACCAAGTCTCGATTCGAGTCCCCTGTTGAGGTGGTCACCTTGTCCAAGGTCAACGTTTGGCCACCAGAGTTCTCAGCTCTCCACTTGAACTGCAGGGATTAGAAAAGGGTGTTTGCAGACAGCAGAGATGACCCAACCAGAAATGCACGTTCTTTAAGCTTGGCTCTGGAAAGAAGGCAGGGTGAGCAGCTGCTTTAAGAACAGGAGAGTTGCCTTCCTGGAAAAGACAGAGAGCCTGAATAAGATTGTACTAAAAGCATATTTTAGTATTAAGCAGCTTTTAAAAAAAGTTTTGAAATAGCAGCCCTGTTCAGGATTTGAACCATGAGGGAAGAGGGGAAGTTTTCCACCCTTCCTAACATGCTGCAATCGTGATGAAAGGCAGCTTCCATTCCATGCCGAACGGCAGCTGTAGGATAATTCTTTTCAAGATAGTAACCCTGCAGTCCTGCTCCCCACATCTGAAGTTCCTCAAAGACCTCGAGTGATGCTAAATTATGCATCGAACAGCGTGCAATTTGCCCCTAACATCCTAGTGCAACATACTGTTTCCACCTGTGACAAGCCAGATGCCTGGGAGCGCTTACAGTTGCAGACACAGTGTATGGATCCCAAATATCTGAAGATAATAAGCTGGGGGTGGTGGACAGAAAGGAAGGCGCTGTAGCATTTGGTGATGATGACACCTCTCCAAATATGCTGGGGGTTCTACAATAGATCACCTTTCTTAGGTCATGCCTCTTCCTCCTAAACTGCTAGAGCAGCCATTCCCAAATGGATGTGCTCCAGCTGTGTTTGACAGCACCTCCATCATCCTCAGACAGTATCGTCAATGGCCATGTTGGTCAGGGCTGATGGGAGCTGCAGTCCAACAAGCAGGAGAGCATCCAGCCGAGGACAGCTGGGCTGGATGGGTGTTCCTGCCAAGCACAGCAAACTCCCTGCTGCTGTAGACCCCGGAGCCAGGAAGGACTGCCTCACCCTTGTTCCGCTCTCACATTGCCCGGTGCTTCTGCATTGCCCAGACAGTACAACATGGCTGCTGCTGCTGACTTCATAGCTTGACAAAGCACTGCAGGAACGGCACTCCAGGTTCACAGGCAGGATCCGGCTGGATTCAATCGAAACCTGCCAGTAGACATCAAAGGCAATGTTGAAGTCAACCCCTAACCAAGACACAGCATGACTGGTTTGTAGATATGGAGCGATGCGCTCTAGCAAGAGAGGAGTAAGAAGTCCTACAAGCCACAGTTTTGTGCAATGCAGGTATCCCTGGTACCTCTCTCAGCCAAGACAGCAGAGTTGTAGTGAATTGTACATCAAAGTGTAAGCAATGTGGGTTCAGCCATACTGTGCTTGCCTCTGGACACAAAACCTTATATGTGGTCCTGGTGGGGCTTTCCAACTTCAGCTCAAGCGTATTTGCACCTGGGCATTCTTCAGTGGAGGTTGATTTTTTTTAATTCAGCACCCCTAATCCATTGAGCTTTGATCTCAGAGAGGAGAGAAAACACAGTTCGACAAGGCCCTCTTCTCTGTGTTTGATCCAGAAGGAAGGGAACCAACTGTCCAAGTCATTACGAAATTCAGTCATGTAAAGAGTAAAGCAAAGACGCAGAACTCAGGCCCCAGGGGCCAACTCCAGCCTTCTGGGGTTCCCAATCTAGCCTTCCAGGGGTCCCCAGAAGGCCCCTTTTTCCTGCTTTTACTTTGCCACAACCACCAATTCTTTGGTGGTCTCCTGGCTCTGGGACAGTTTTTTGGGGGGTTTTTTGCCTTCATTTAACAAAGCTGGAATGTCTTCCTTGAGGCTTAGTTACTTGCAGTAATTACCCTGATATGCCTGGTATTTTGAGTCTGACCACAGCTGGAATGTACCTCCTGAGAACTCCTCTGAAATAGAAGCCCTTGGACTGAACATGGTTCTGCTTCTGTACCCCAGAAGTAAAAGCAGCCACCCTCGTAGCAGATCCCTCAACGAGCTGAGCTCGCACCACCGCACCTGCCTGGAGGAAAGAGGGAAGAACCTGCACATCTCCAGCGAGCACAGTGCGTGTGAGCTGCCCTCTGGAAAAGGCGAGCACACGCTGAAGCAGTCAGGGCAGGTTCAGCCTCACAAAGAGATCGGACTCTGCGGTGCTTCCAGAGAGGGGGGTCCTGGCACTACATGGGGGGTCCTGGCACTATTCTGCTTATCCTTTGTTCATGGACTTTGTTGGTAGTGACAAAAGAAGATGGAAGAAACATGGAAACCGTGCGAGTGTTGCAAACAGAGGCTGGCAAGAGGGCGCTGAAACAGCTATTTCCAGCGAGGAGAGCCAAACTTATCTGTAAGGGTGATCTAATTCCAGGCTGAGTTCTACACTTTAGCCCATCCTTAGCCCCGTGGAAATGGGAAGCCATACAGTCCCTTGGCACCACAGAGACCCTTTCTTCCAAGCAGCCGCAGCACTGGTGTCTGTCCTTCAGGATAAACACCACCTTCCCCGCTTCTCACCTTTGGGAAAGGTGCATCAGCTCTAGTCATTATGGCTCAGTTTTGGCAATGCAGGCTTTCAAAGTGATTTGTGAGCAGCCGTGCACATATTTTGGCTAAGATGGGGTGGGAGCATGTATGTGTGCATGCTCACATGCACAGTTTTTTGTCCTGAGTACATTAGTGGCAAGTCTCCTCGGGGAATTTTTAGCTTTACTGCATGCACATGGAACAGAAATGCTGACTCTGTGACTCTTTCCCAGTAGTAACTTCATTCTTTCTGGAGGAATTGGTGTCAGGTCATAATTGGGAGGGCAAGAAAGTTCCAATAATATTCAAGGGAAAAACTAGACATCCGGGTGGGCAAAACACTGGTCTTCTGTGGTCTGTGCTACCGATCCTTCAATTCAGTAAAGTGGTGGTGATGATGATGATGATAGTGGTGATGATGACGGTGGTGGTGATGGTGATGATGATGATGATGTACAACTGGGGGAAAATAGCCTTTATAGTGGCTACAGGGAACCTAAAGGACCAAGTGAGCCTGTTTGCAAGCTCATGTTGACCCTTTTAGCATTCCATGGCCTCTGCAAATGCTAATTTAGTTTAGCTTTATTTTTCAGCACTTGAAAACTATGTACACAGCTGTTGCAGAGAAGCTTGAGCAGCCTCCAAACTGGAGCAGGGCAGTGGGGAGGAAGGATAATTTAATGCTTCTTGCCACAGTTCACAGAAAAATAACAGCCCCTGCTGGCTATATTTCACAGGTGTCAACGGAGGTTTCCCTTGAAAAGAAACACATTACTAGCATTCAGGCAGTTAAGTTATGGCTTATAGGTCCTGAAGCACAGAAAACACGGGATAAGATGTTGTGAAGCATCCAGAGAGCTTTTCTGCTGACAGAAAATCTATTCATTTCAAAAAATAAATTTAAAAAATAAATGAAATAATAAATTAGTAAGGTAAGGATTTATTTTTCTCGTCCCATATTTCTCATGTGAACATGCACATACACACCAGTTTTCAAACTGCGTTGTTTAAGTGAAGGATCAGAGCATTGTCCTACCATCCCAAGAGGGAGTATTTGAAGATGCCCAGCTTACATAAGCACCTGTCTACTGCACAGAGGAACAGAGGCTATGTGAGAATAGCGGAGGTAATATCACCAAGCTCACCATCTGCACTGCCCTAGCAGGATCTTTACCAGGCTTCTCCACAGTCAGGATGAAGCGATACGTCAGCCCCGGCTTCAGCGTGGCGTGTGGCACAGTCACCCTGTCCTTGCCTGCCATGCAAGGGAAGCCACACAGCGCTGCAGACACATTTGATCCCTGTAACAGAGAGAAACACAGAAACAAAGGAGTCGGCTTGCACTGAGTCAGACCCTGGGTCCACCTTGCCCAGTATTCTTGGCACTGGTTGGCAGCAGCTTTACCCGGAGATGCTGGGGATTGGTCCAGGGGCCTCTCTATGCGAAGCAGGCACTAATCCACTGAGCTACATCCTCCCTGATTCTTCCGCCCTGATGCTGGGAGTGGGGGAAGGAGGGCGCGTGAGGGCACAGGTCGTAACTTTTGAGACAGCAGGACTTGTATAATGGAAGTGGCTGTGGCTTCCTTTGCAAGAAGCAAGAAGTCCATCCTCCTGAACCTCTTCAGCTCTTGCTATGCTTTCTTGCTATGCTTTCCCAAACTGCAGGAGCTCAAAGGCATGTGAAAGAAAGGTCAGTCTTCTCCTGCAGTATGAATGAAGTGTGAACAGGGGATCTCTTTTGCTGTGATAGCCCTTAAATGACAGGTCTCAGGTCTGTGCCTACAATTCCTACAGAAATTTGCTTTGCACTTGTCTGTCACAAATAACCGAGCGAGGCTCCAAAGGACTGGGCATTTTGGAGGGCACTCATTCCTGAGGTTGCCTTTAGTCAGAGATGACTTGACGGCACAGAACATCACAAAGAGAAACAAGCACATAGTTTCAGTGCTGTGTGTTTGCTACCTCTTTCCCTGGGAATGAGACAATTCTAGGCCATCTTTTTCCTCTTTTCCAACAAGTCTTGGCTTGGGAGCAGAGATTAAGAGAAAGGGACACACCAAGAAAATGTGGTTGGATGAGCTGGTTAGTCTCATATGTTTGCAATATCTGACAGAAACTGTTAAAAGCTTCATATACAGGAAAACCATCTCATTAATTAATGACCTTGACTGATCAAATAACGTGCCTTATTGCTGTTATTACCTCAATTTCACAGTCCCACTGGAATACCAGGAAGGAGTCTCCATGTCCCACCGTATCAGGATCATACGATTTGCTTCCATCGAGAACCAAATCCAGCTTCGCTGTCCATCTCCTCCAGGAGCCTCCTTGGATGATTGGAACAAGCCTGCTGGAAAGCACAGTGAAGCTGCTGGAAGCCACCTGGGCCAGAGGAGTGCCCTCCAGAGAGACAGTGACGTGCAGGCAGTAGGGACCAGCATCCAGAGAGAGCCTGGGGAGCACAAGGCGAGGAGCTAGCATGTCTACGGAAGGTAAGGAGACCATGTTGGTCTTGGACGGATGATCACAGCAGGAGGCGTGGAATATCTCCCAGCAATACAAGGCTCTGTAAGCCGTACATCTTTTCAAGTCCACGTCAGCCTCAAAATAGCTGGGGTGGGATCTGGAGATCATAGAGGGAGGATCCACCAACTTCACCATGGGGCTTTCACAGAGCAGCAGCTGCACGGTCACTTTTGACTGCACCAGGACAAAACTGACATTATTGTAGACTCGCACCTCCACTGAGAAATCACCAGGTTGGCGATACCTGTGAAATGCGCTCCAGTCTCCTTCCCTGGCAAACGTCTCATCCGAATCCCCAAACTTCCATTCCGTGCGAAGGTTGCTGCCTCCTGTCACCATCACCTCAAATGCCACCGTTTGATTGACAAACGTCCTAGTGCCATTGCTGAATAGAGAAGCAGCTGCTACTGGCAACTGCACAGCTCTTACTACTGTAAGCGCGTCTGCACATAACGTGTTGTGGGCCACTATCAGAATGGTCAAGTTGCCCTTGCCAGGAGGTGTATACAGAACCTGCTGGCCTGTGGCATTATACTCAGGAAGTCCAGAGAGCCGAAAGGTCCAAGAGAAGGTCACGTTCCCTCCAGCTTGCACGGCTGCTTTGAACCTAAGTTCCCTGTTGGCTTCCAGGATAGGTGGGTAATCATCTAGGAGATGCAGCCCCTTCACCTTCTCCAAGACATTCACCATGACCGTGGCTGTTTCATGACTAATGTCGTTGTAAGCAGATGCTTGCACCTGGTGGTAGCCTCTCAGGGGAAAAGCAGACTGGAAAATCCCCCCAGAACTTTCCTTGTGAATCCCGAGTGATGGGAAGAAGAGGGCAAACGTCACTCTGGACCCCTTCAAAACACGCAGCAAAAAGGTAACTTCGTCATCTGTGCACACCAGCCACTTGTCCACTGTCACAGCCAACTCAGCCACACGGTCTTGGACGGAGACGGTATCTAGAGTTGAGCTCTCACTGACATCATTCCAAACATGCAGAAACACTTGGTAGTCTCCATACTGTTCAAATTTATATGAGATATTCTGCCTATGGAAGAAGATTGGTTTCCACACTTCCGTTCTCCTTATCTGCCATTCCCAAGAAATATCAGAACCTGCAGCCACCATACCCAGAAATTCTGCAGAGGTGCCTGACTCCACGAAAAAGGGCTGAGTGGCTCCTCTCAGGCTAAAGTTTGCTCCAGACACAGGTTCTTGCACTCTGAATTCCATGGAGCCATTACTGGATCCCAGAACATTGTAAACAGTAACAAAAACTGGCTTGAGGCCCAGAGTGTTATAGACGTAAGAAAGTGAGGGTGTGGCAGTAGGCCAAAAGCGTCCATCCTCCTCCATCTTCCACAAGTAATGGAGATCAGTCCCAGACGTCACCGAGACATTCAGATGCACTGCCTTTCCCACTGCTACACTATTAGCGGCAGAATGAACCTTCACGCCACTCACTCTCTCCAAGACTTCCAAGGTAAGGTTGGTGGTGATTCCACCTAGTGCATTCCAAGCTTTCAGCTCCACCAGGAGTTCCCCGCTTCTACTGGGACAGAATAAGAACAACTGTCCTTTAGCAGTAACCAGGGGATTCTTTCCTTGCAAAGCAGCCCATTGGAAAGTAACATTGGAGCCATGAGTGACCTTGCCCAGGAGAGAGACGGGTTCAGCCACAGCCAGATACTTGTTCTGCACCCCGTGTTCACTGTGGATCTGCACTCCTTGGATCCTCATTTGGACCTCGATAGTGACATTTGCCTTCTCCATGCTCACCGCATTCTCAGCCTTGACAAATACCACAAAGGTGCCAGAGGTAGAAAAAGTGTGAGTGAAAATGGATGTTCCCTCTTGGAATCCAGTTCCTTCACCAACGGCCCAGCAATAGTGCACATGATCTCCTGCAGCTAAGGAAGCCGTGAGGGTGACTTCCTGTCCCGCCTCGCTCACTGGTGGCTCAGCATGTAGAGTCAATAACTGAACTGGATTCAGCACCATCATGGTCAGTGTAGCTGTCCTATGACTAACCAGGTTCTCACCCACGACTGTGATGGTCACCTCTCCAGCTTTCCGATAGGTGTGGGAGGCACTTTGACCCATCTGATGAGGGGAAGTATCTCCAAAATCCCATCTAAATGTAGCATTAGTGTCCCAGCTGATTTCTGCCATAAAAACATAGGAAATGCCCAGAGCTAGAAAGATGCCTGTTTCACCACTGTGGTGAATGGAAATAGTCCGAATCGCCTGCTCAGCTGTGACCATCACGGAAGCATTTTGCTGGCTTACCATGTTCCACACAGTCACTGTTACTGTATAGAACCCAGCCTCCAGGTACACAAAAGTGATTTCTGGAGCTTTAGAAGACACTGTGTCCTCACCAACACCAAAATCCCAGTGGTATTTGTACTGGTGCTGAGGGTCTGGTACTGGATCCACTTCAGCCACAAAGGAAATGGGTTCTCCTAAAGCTACAGCAGACACAAAGGCCGATAGCTTAACCGAGACAATTTTGTCCTCCACACAAATGGTTTGCTGATGGGAGGAACTGCTCACTGAGCCACAGACAGTGAGATTGAGCTGGTAACTCCCGGCTGCCATGTAGCTGTGAAGAACTGTGGAAGCTCCACGTTGAACATAAGGAGGGCTCCCATCCTGGAAATCCCAACAGAACATCGCCCCTTTTCCTGGTCCTGTTACAGCAGCTTCAAGCAGGGCTGGTTCCCCACTGGACAGGCAGGCAGGAACCAAGATGTGGGTTATCTTAAGTTTGTGAACCTCAGCGATGGTGGATGCAGTGGCAGAGGCAGTGGCCCCGTGAACTGTCACAGTCACCAGGTGTTTTCCTTCCGTGGCAAAAATATGAGAAACTACCCCCTGTGACAGATTGCTGTAGACGGTCCCATCCCCCATGTCGAAAGACCACCTGGTGTCTGGGCCAGAGATCAGCGTAGCATTGATGACGGTTGCTGAACCCAGTTCGCTGGGCCCACTACATGTTACACGCAGGCCCTTGATCCCTTCGCTGATGGACACAGAAGCCCCTGATGTCACCTCACTGAGATTGTTATAGGCCTTTAAGGCCACATTGTAAAGTCCACTCTTTCCGAAGGAATGGCACACAGTGGCATTTGGCCCCTCCTGCACGGGTGACCCATCCCCAAAGTCCCAGGAATAGAAAAGGCCGAAGAGGGAAGGAGACGCCAAGGCCTCAAACCGAGCAGCTTCGTTAACCAGCGGGGAAGCAGGATTGGTCAGGATCGTCACCACGGCTATGGGCATGACAGCACGGACTCTGGCCACCCGCTGGACTTGCTCATATCTGTTGAAGGCTTCCGCTTTGACAGTGTAGTCCCCTACAGGAATAAAGGTGTAAGGTGCATGTCAGAAGGAATAACTTTTCCAGAAACAGCATAACTTTCTCTTTAAAAATAATATTACTCGGGACTATTACTCCTCTTTCATTATCACATTTATACCCCTGCTTTCTTCAATAGGCACTCGAGTCACAATAAAACAAATGAATGCAATATAAGAAATTATCGGGGAAATAAAAATACTATATATAAGCACACAAAAAAGCAGATAAAATAACACAGCAGGATAGCAGCCATCCATAAAGAGCAGCAAAAGGAAATCATCTCAGCAGGATTGCGGCATGTATAAACAGGGAGGACTCCACTTGCTGAGAAAGGCTGAGGGAAAAGGGCTAGGCAGCCGCCTGTGAGGGCACTTTCAAAGCCTGGGCAGAGCCATGCAGAACGGCCTTTTGCATCTTCCCAGCAAATGCTTCCCAGATGTGGGAGGGGCACTGAGAAGGGCCCTACCCCAAAACACTGTGGCAAGTAGCTGGCAAGGCTTGAGGTCCCCCTAGTGCAACCTATAGGTGGGGAAGGGGCTTGTCAGAGATGCCCCCTGGCTCTCCCAGGCCACTAGACCACTTCGCTTTCTGGAGCAACACAAGAACAAGCAGGAAACCTCCTGCAGAGCCTCCTGGCGTAACAGCAAAACATCTGTTTCCTCCCTCCTTACATCGTGTTCCTGTCTTGGTCCTAATCTTCTATGGTTTTTTTGCCGAATATAAATGTTTCCATAAATAAAATAAACAATGGCATGCTAATCGCTAAGCTTTCTCATGCCATTCTTTTTATCCGTTGTGCCCTCTTTCCACGGTCTGCTCCTCCAAAAACACAGGACATCATAAACCTTGTGTGTTGTGCACAACTCAGGGCCAGCAGACCCAGCCTGGCAAGCCACAGGAGAAGATGGAGTCCCCTGCCAATTGGGAGAAGCCTTCCAAGGGTCCAGCTCGGATGCTGCCTTTGGGGGCCCTCTCTGCCCGCCCAGCTGGGAGGGTTCTTTCTGCTCCAGGTGGGGCCATAGGACAGAAGGCCGTCCTTGAGGTCAGCACGGGGGAGGTGGCACTCCAGGCCACTGGAAGGGGAGAAGTGAGGCTCGGAAGAGAGCCAGCTTTTGATGGTGAGGGGAACGCAGAGGCAATTTTAGCCTCCATGCTCTTCCCACACACAGTTGGGTACCCAGAACTTTTGCATTTCAGAAGAATACAGGCAACCGCACTGTATTAGGTCCCTAGTCTGTTAGGGGGCCATATAACGCTGTTGTTTTCCCAGCACCCAGTTATCTTCCAACAGCATCCCAGTTTTCCCACCTGGCTGAATGAAGACATGTGTCACTCTGGCTGACACTTGAACCCGTTCTGTCTGTGGATCTGGACGTGGTAGATGAGGGCTGTAAGGGGGAGCAAGCGTGCTCTCTACCTCTGGGCTGTTGTCACCGAAATTCCACCTGAAAGCAAAGACAGCTTGCCTCAGATATAACAGTGCACATTACAGGAAGGAAGGGGTTGGATATACTGGGAGCATCCCCCACAGGTTGCCTGGTAGTGTTTTCTGAACTCAGAGGATTTATTTGAATTCTCTTTGCAGAGTCTTGGAATTTGACAATCTGCACAGAATGTCTGCGAGAAATGCTTGTCAATCTGGAGCATCAAAAGCGAGACTGGGCAGCTTCTGGGAACCAGAAAGCGAGCCGCCATGATGTAGCTGAGTAGAGTGCTGGACTGGGATCCCAGAGATCCAGGTTCTAGTCCTCATTCAGCCATGAAACATAGAAATAGCACGAGTCAGAAGGGGCCTCCTGGGCCATCTACTTTGATCCCCGGCTCCTGCCGGCTCCGCTTATGACGTGCCTACCATGTGCGTGTCCAGTCTGTCCTTGAAGTTGACTTTGGGCCAGTCACTGACTCTCAGTCCAACCTACCTCACAGGGGGGTTGCGAGGATAAAATGGAGGAAAGGAGCAGTATGCAAGTTGCCTTGCATTCTCTGTACGAAAAATGTGGGATATAATAAATAAATTGGCTCGTATCTGTGTGAGCATAGACAGAGATCAGCAATGGCAAGTTTCTTTCCAGAGTTTCCTCTATGTCCCTTATCACTTCTGCTCCTCCCAGTAATTCTCCCGGACTATCCATCACTATCTCTGGCCTCTGCCAAAATTTCTGTATCCACAAGGTAGATTCAATCTCCGATGCCAAAAGTCAAGCAATATCTCAGTGCCTTGCATCGTAATTCCTGGTTGCACAATGCATTCTTTCAGCAGCCCAGATACCATTTGCTAAATTTATTCCCTTCCCGAGAGCCGTCCCTGGCACGGAGTGTCTTGTCTGTGGCACATTGCAATGTGAAAGATGAAGGCATCAGCAGAGCAAGTCACGGGCGAACGTATTAGGAGGCTTGGTTAAAAGCAATCCTGGCCCTGCACAGAGTGTTGGACTAGAATATTTTAAGTCCAGAAAGCCCAGAGCCATTCTCAATTTGTGACTGACTTCTGAGGTCAAAAAGGTGTTTTCCTCCGTTCCTTTGAGCGAGTGTCAGGATTTGGGTTTGTATATTTTCTCTCTCCCAAAGGAGGTGACTGGACTCGGTTGCTTGAGTCCCTTGGAGCAACCCGTTTTGCTGGCTGCCACATGCATGAGAGTCACTGTCTGTCTGTGGCCTGGACCGCATCATCTGCACTGCCGGGCGCTGGTTTGTGGATGTTCCTGCCCTGAGGCAGGAGCCTGGGCTGGACTGTTTCGGGTATGGCTTTATGCATGGAAAGGCTCAGACCTGTTGAAAGCTCCTGAAAGCCCGTGAGTGCTCCAAAGAACAGGGCAGGGGAGAGGTAGCGAGGCCTCTCCTGTTCTTAAGGGAAAATGGGAGGTTGTCTTATACCTGGTCGGACTATTTGTCCATCATAGCCCAGGACTGTCTGCTACGATGGGCACCAACCCTCCAGGGACCCTGCCAGTGTCCAGAGCATGGGTGGCTAACTAGCACACAGGAGCACTGGGACCCAGGCGTGCCACAAGGGTCAGTACAAAGGCACAGCGGAGCAGTCCAAAAGTCAGAGTCAGGAGCTGACGCACAAGGCAGAGTCCAGCCAGTTCTTATATAGCTCTTCCCCCAGGACTCCAGGTGGAGCTCATGAGAGCCCCGGTGGCTGCAGTAGGTTAGGGTAGTAATCCTGCCACTACCAGGGCTGCTGTGCTGGTCCTTGACCAGCAGAGGGAGCCCTGGAGCTGCCTCGGGTCTTGACAGGCTCAGAAAGAAGCTTTCCTCATCACCTCCTACTTGGGCCTTTTAACTGGAACTGGTGGGGTTGAACCTGCAGCTTTTGGAACACAGAGCAGGGGCTCTCCCACTGGCTCTGGGCTTTGGGCTGGATTCCACTTAGAATGAAAGGACCATAAGTGAGCACAAGTGGGGCTTTCCCACTGGTGCCATGTACCGAAATGACAGTGTGAGTTGCATTGAATAGAGAATTCGGCTGCTAGGATTATACCTGAGAGATGCCTCTGGAACCTACCCCGACTTCCTTGCCTTGCTCCTCACCTCACAGTAACGTCCACAGTAGTGTCCACTTCCACCTTGAAGATCACGGTCTGGACAACATTGACTTCCACAACTCCAGGGAGTCCCAGCAGCTCAGGGTTCGCCAAGGGGTTCACAGGCTCAACTGTGAGCACCAGTTCCAAAGATCTGACGCTCACTGGGTTCTTTGCGGTCAGCTGCGGACAAGAAGGAGAAACCCACAAGAAAACTCATAATGCCCCCTGGAACCCAAACAGCATAAGCACCTGCCAAGAACGTTCGGCTTAGCTGCCTGTTAGCATCTGCAAATAGCTGCAGAAGAGAGTAAGCCAAGTCAGAAGTCCCTGGTTCAAATGCTCTGAATAGCCTTAGGCAAGCCAGTCTCGATCAGTCTGTCTTCTGCCCTTTGTAAGTTAGAGGCAATCGTGCTGGTCCCCTGTATGACATGCACATTGCTATACAATAAGTATTATTTCACACCCCCGAGATGACCACAGAGGCCTTGCTCTGCCACGTTTTTCTTCCCACTTTTGTTTAGCATTGGTTCCTCACCTTTAGTTGATATGTGGCAGATTTCCTAAATCTGACACTGTAGCTCCGGCCATTATAGGCAAGCATGTCCATGTCATCTATTACCCAGGTATAAGAGACGGAGGAACCTTGGCTGATCTCAGCAGTAAACTCCTGGTCAAAGCAAAGAAGTCATGTGATTAGAGTGGGCCAAGACTTGGTTCAGCCATGCTGACTGGCCTTTGGACTAGGTAACGGGGAGGGGGGCAGTCAAGGAGCACGAGACATTGAATTGCCTCTCAAGAGCCCTTTCCCAGTTCCTAATAGCTGAGGAACAAACAAAACAAAATGTATAAAATTGTCCTTTATTCAGAGATTCCATATGCAAGGAGAATAAAATAAATCCTGGAATCTGATGTGGCATCTGGCATGCTGAATATCACGTTATTTTTTTAAAAAAACTAAAAGAGAAACCAAGTTTCTAGCTATAAGTTATGATTTCAGAGAACTTGGAAAAACATTCCACTATTGGCTGCTGAGAACTCAGAAACCAGAGTACTCTGCAGCCAAAGTGCACTGGTTAGGAAATTCCAGGGATCTGGGACTCAGGTAACTGAGCATTGCTGAAGTCCCTGCCCATTTTCATAGCTCCAAGTTCTTGTTTATATCCTGTCTGCACTTCAGAGCCATGTCTCCTTTCCTTTGTCTGGGCTACTATTCCTGTTCACGCTCTGTAAAGCCACAAAAGAACTGTTATATTACATTCCTTCACCAAGTTACCCAGGAGCAAACCTCACTGCATTCAGTGAGGTTTACCTTTGAGTAAACACATACAAGAATGCAATGTGAATTAACTTTTTCTCCTAAACTATAAACTATGTTTACTAAACCTCACCAGCCTGACTGGTTTCCTAGAAAAACCTAGCTGGCCAGACCATGGGTCATCCTATAAACAAGAGCAAACAGTTATTTTACATCTTTCTGTTGGAAAGAAGCATTTTTCATTACTCCTTTCCTTCATAAAATTAGTTTCTGGACTCTGCCTGACTTAGCATAGCTTTTTTCAAAGTGGTAGCCTCCTTCATATGCCATTGGTGTATTAAACCAGTCCGAGACCACAGTGAGCAATGGTCTAAAATTTTTAAATCAAGCAAGCAAGCAAGCATTGGACTACAACGCCCAGTAGATCCCAGCCACCTTTGCTGGTTGAGACATTGTGAGAGTTCTGCTGTAATACATCTGGAGGGCACCAGGTTGGGGGAGGTTGGATTAGCAGACTGGACAAGAACATCAGAAGGTCTCTGGCCAGCGTCGGATTCCTTAACCGTAGGATGGGCTATAGCAGTGGTGGTGAACCTATGGCACGCGTGTCACACTGGGCAGGCAGAGCCCTCTCTGTGGACATGCAAGCCAAGTCGCCCCAGGGTCACCCCAGCAGCCGAGCATCGGATACCAGTGCACACAGGGGCCATGCGCGTGCTCGGAAGGAGTAGTGGCGCCAGGCGATGGCATCACAAGACGTGACTCAGTAGGCATGACTCGTCCAAGCTTTCGCGTGGCTGGTCAGAGCACTCCCAAGGACACACACACACACACACACGTATTTTCTTGGACTGGCTGCGAGTTGTTTTTTCTAAAGTAAAACCTCAATTTTCAGGTTTTATTGCAGTGTTGGCACATTGCAATAAATGTGTCTTGGGTTGCACTTTGGGCACTAGATCTCTAAAAGATTCACCATAACTGAGTTGGAGTTAGAAAAACGAGGTGTCCTGGCATGATTTTGATGGCTGGAATGTGGTTAAAATGTGCAGAAAGGAGGAGCGGAGCAGAAAAACCTACCCAAGGAAGGCTTTCTCAAAATTGCATTATTTCCCCAATGGTATTTTACCCCTATATTAGGGTTAGGGGTATGCCCCAAGGTAGGGTTAGTGTTACAAAAACGTGGCATTCTGGCATGATTTGGATGGTTGGAATGTAGTTAGAATGGGCAGAAATGATGAGCTGTGCAGAAAAGGCTGCTCAAGGAAGGCTTTTTCAAAATCGCCCCTTTCAATGGCATTTTACCCCTGTATTTGGGTTAGGGTTTTGCACCAGGGTTGGGTTAGGGCAGTGGTTGCGAACCTATGGCATGCGTGCCACAGCGGGCACACAGAGCCCTCTTTGTCAGCATGTGAGCCGCGTCGCCCCGCCCCTGCGTCGCCCCAGCAGCCGAGCATCTGATCACAGCACACATAGGGGCCATGCGCATGCTCGGAAATGAATAGCGGTGCCTGATGATGCCGTCCTGAGCAGCGACTCATTAGTCATGACTCATCTGAGTATTCGTATGACCAGTCAGTGTGCTTCCAAGTAATATATATATATATATATATGCTTGGACTGGCTGTGAGGCTTTTTTCCTAAGCTAAAACCTCAGTATTCAGGTTTTATTGCAGTGTTGGCACTTGGCGTCTAAAAGGTTCTCCATCACTGGCCTATAGGATGATGCAGCAATTAAATACAGGGGTAAGCACGGGAGTGGCACCATCATTCCATAACCCACCTTGGACTCATCCACTTGCATCCGACAGGGACCCGGGGGCACCACATGAAGCCCCTCGATGGCATCATAGGCTTGGATCTTCACGGACAACTTCTGGGCACTGACCTCATTGGAGGCCAGGATGTCCAAGATCTCCTCTTCTCGAGGCTCGCCCAGAACAAGCTGCACCGAGGAGAACCACGTGTCTCTAGTCTCTCTGATGCAAGCAGGGACAAGGGCTGCGAGGCCCGCTGGGCAAGTGGCCACAAAAGGCACCCCAGCTTTGTCCACGGGCGACGTCCAGCGAGCCACGGCATTGCAGCCGGCGGCGATCTTGACGACCAGTGCGAGCTTCTGCTTCGTGACCACGTTGAGCTTCCCGCCAAGCGGCACCGGGTAGATAAGCTGCAAGTCGCTCACTTTTGAGCGCACCTGCGCTGCGCAGCGTGCCTGTGTGCCCCCGACAGCTTTGCCCGCTGCTGCCGCCGCGTGGGTGCGCGAGCCCAGTTCCACCTTGTAGTCCTGCAGTGGAGCGTTTGCCAAGCTCCTCACTTCCCGGGCAAAGATCACTTGCAGGTCACAAATCACATCATCCACCCAGGCGGGGTTGGGAAGCCCGGCAACTTCTCCTTCCCACCAGCCGTCCTTCGTGAGGCTCATATAACTTTGCCGCCAGTGGGAATCTGCGTGCGGCTGGCAGTGCAGGAAGGAGCCCGCACCAGCATTGTGCTGGATCCCCAGGATGTCATCTGGATAGACAGAGATTGCTTCCTTTGGGAGGAGAACCTAAAATTCACAGAAAACCCAGATCTCATCAAGAGTTTGGGGGGCATTTCCCCTTTCTCAGGGGCCAGCTGCTAAGCAGCCCCTCATGCTTGCATTGCTCCAGGTGATGCATGAGTGGCCCAAGGATGGCTCGTTTGTTCATGTGTTAATGATGAAGAACAGGTGCTGTGTTGCAAGAATAGTCCAAGGACACTTTAAAAGCATTATTTCCAGGCACGTGATCACATGTGATGGCCTTCTTAATGCCCAAGACAAATTGTATAGGCCGGTCACTGATGCTTCAGCTATTTTTACGGAGCTGCGGTATTGGGTTTGGGTGGGGGTTCTACTTGGTTTTAGTTATTTTAAATAGTTCAAAATGTGTGTGAGTCAATTTTGCTGTAAGTTGCCTCGAATCTTTATTAAATCAAAGTGCCTCAAATTTAAATCCCAATGTATTGTGGCAAGAGTTCTCATATGGCATTCTGTGGGCACAGGCAAGGGGCCTCTTCCTCCGACATCTGAACCCTGCGTGTGCATCGGAGGAACTGGGCCCTTGCCCGCCAAGCTCACGCCATCGTACATCTGCTCGTTTCTAAGGTAGCCTTGCCCACCTGCTGCCGTCCAAATGCCATGCTGGCTAAGAACGACGAGAGCTGCAGCCCGACACATATGGGGGGCGGCAGGTTGGGGAGGGCCGCTCTGAGTTACCACCAGACTCCCTGGGGCCTTGACACCACATTCAAACATGACTGACCTTCTTAAAAGAACTGCTTCCTGTACATCCAAGACCAAAAAAGGGGCTATTTGGAAAAGCTCAGGGCATCAGTGACAGAACTGTGGAAAATGCTAAAAGAAAACTGAAAGAATTATAGGAAACACCAAGAGAAAGGAAGGCCTCTGTGAAACTCAGAAGAAATTTCCTAGGCATACTTACATGGATGTGGATGTTTTCCCTGCTGGGAGTGATCAGTACAGGAAGATCTGCCCCTAGAGAATAGAATGGGGAGGCCCCTTTGTACCGTGGGGGGTACGGGAACTGCCGGCTGTAGGCAGTCGTGTTCTCAAAAGCATACGGGCTGCAAGGACTGAGGTTGGTCAGACACTGATCCTTCAAAGGGCACCACTGCTGCCCAGTTGGGCAGCTACCCATGGAGCTGCAGAGCAGATCTGAGTGACAACAGGCAAAAGGCGTACGGAGCAGTTTGCACCCTGGGAAGAAAACATGATCACCGCATTACCCCACACTCGCAGGAAGATACACACAGCCAATGATGGGGAACATGCAGGAGGCAAATCCTGAAATTTTGCAATTGCTCTATATTCTGTACAAGGGATTACAAAAATTTTTGAGAAGATGTACAAATTGCAGCCACCAGTATTTCATTCATATTTACTATTCATATTCATATCCATTTATTCATATTTACTATTCCAGTCAGCAGATGCACAGAGTATAGTTTAAGTGCTGCACCTTAATGCAGATGAATGCCATTGGAAGGAAATTCAAATTATGAAAAGAAATTAACCAGAGAAAAATGGAAGTAAATTTATTTTCTTCACTTTGAAAAAAAGATAGGGGAATACAGCAGCTTAAAAAAAAAAACTGCTATGAAGCATACTGATAAGACCTGCTCTGTGGCATCAAGAGAAGGACAAAAAGCAGATGGCTTCCATTTGTATATGCATATATTGAGATTAAATATTAACGGAAAACATCCTCCATGAAAAACAATCATGCAATGGATAAAATAGTAGCGAATGCTTTTGGAATGTTATTCCTTTCTAGTTTTGACATCTGATCGATTCTTGCCATAGCGCAAGAGACTCTGCTAGTCCTTTTAGCTCTAAGATTCCACGAAGTCTCCAGGATTCTGAAACAACCGCAAAGGCCTTAGTTGCCACAGGCAGCCAAGGAAAAGCCGTAAGCAAAGCTGAGCTTGCGAGGCAGGCAGCCGACAGGACAGGCCCCCCTTACCTGGTGGGATCAAGTGCTGCCCGGGGCTGCAGTATGGGCGGAAGATCTGGAAACGGGCTTGCACCGGCTTCTTCACCGCTTGCACAGCAAAGTCTATAGAGGCGATGGTTCCATTGTGACTGAACCAGAGGCCGGGAAAGAGCATCAGCTTCGAGACAAAAGTAAGGGAGGACATGCATGATATGCGTGGAGCTGAACTCATGGCGAAGCTGCCGAGCAGCAACGGCTCTCCACCTCCCTGTCTATAGGTGCAGCATACAAACGGCATATTCGGTTAGCAAAGCTGAAAGTGCAGGTTTCCACAAATCTTCCAGTATCCCCGAGGCACAAATAATTGTGTGACTGTGCTAGGATTTCCTGGGAATTTTCCATTTACATAGATGTTGGATGGTGTTGTCCATATATGCCCAGCTGCCCCTTGAGATCAGCAGGAGAGGCCCTCCTCCGGGAGCCCTCAGTGAAGGAAATTAGGAGGGTAGCTACTCGGAGGAGGGCTTTCTCAGCGGTGGCGCCTAAGTTATGGAATGCGCTCCCCAGAGAGGTCCGCCTGGCGCCGTCGTTATTTGTTTTTCGGCGCCAGGCGAAGACCTTTTTATTTATGCAGCATTTTAAATGTTAATATTATTGAATTTTATTCGGCCAGGGCGGCTTATTTTATTTTACTGTATATATTTTAATTGTCATTGTTTTGATGTATTTTGTATTCGATGTTGTAAGCCGCCCCGAGGCCTTGGCAAGGGGCGGCATAGAAATGTTTTAATAAATAAATAAATAAATAAATATATATTTTAATTGTCATTGTTTTGATGTATTTTGTATTCGATGTTGTAAGCCGCCCCGAGGCCTTGGCAAGGGGCGGCATAGAAATGTTTTAATAAATAAATAAATAAATAAATAAATAAATGCTGTTAACAAGCAGATTGCCAAGAGTTACAACTCTAACCGGTTCCTAGACAGGACTCATATTAAATCAAGGGATGCTTGACATCTGATTGGCTCCATAACTAATGGATCTAAGACACTGCCATGTATCATGTCCAGACGTTTTATCTCTTTGCTATAACCTGAATGTATATTTGCTCAGAAATGTGAGGACAGCGGAAGTCACTTTCTTTCCCCCTTTATCTCACTTGAAACATTAGTATTGCTTCCCATTCTGGAGGATGGCAGTAGAATACAGAGCCATTCCTAGTTATCAGAGAAGCTAAATCTTTTACAATCAACGAGCTCCTATGATCCTGAGATGTTAACCTTCATCATTTTTGAAAAATGGCCCAGAAATTGTCAAGAAATAGGACTCATGCAGAGTGAAGAATATCTTGAATTTCCTTGAAGAATATCTGACTGTGACCCTGTCCATTAGCTTATGTATTCCTCAAGGTTTCTTAGCAATACGTTCTGAAATTGGGAAGGCATTTATGTTATCTCCAACTAGTACACAAATAAACTGATCCAGGAAATCTATTAGGTATTACCTCAATATTGCTGGCTCCCGAGGAAGGAGCTGGCTTTCTGATGCTGATGTTCTTCACATCATAGACACTGCTAAACATTGGCATCCCTGTCAGAAATACATTTGGGCTTGGAAGTGCAGCTGTAAATATAGAGTGCAAAAAGAGTAATTTATAATGAAATTCCATGGAGGTCTACACAGAAATAAGACCCACTGGGTTCAAGAAGGGGTACCTCAAGGTTTGTATGTCTGGAATTACTGCCTTCAACTTTTACCAAATTCTATTGTTCCCTAAATTATCATGTTTCACATCAGAAGAGGGAAGCAGACAATAGTATAAACCTTCAGTTTTGCCTCTGTGTCTAACTTTTTGTGAGTTATTTTTAGCTTTATTTTTTAGCTTTGTGATGAAGCCAGAAGGAGATAAACGGATCAACAGCTGATTAACTTAAGTAGAAAAGCTTTAAACATGTAATATGTGCAGGATTTCCCTTTTAATTATGAGCTGAATGCTTAAAGAACTCAAAATGATTTATTTTCATATTTATTCATATATTTAAGTTACATCCTGTATCGTCCATCCAGCCAAGACGCTCAGAGCAGTTTACATACTGGTGAAAGAAAGCTGCCTTTGGTAGAGCCATGCTATTTTTTTCTCAGTAAGTGCATTGTTAACTATTCTAGTCTTCAGAATGCTTTCCAACAATTAGCATGAAGCATAAGTTAGGCTGAGCAGCTTGTAATTTCCTGGATTTTTACTCTGTATTCCTTCTTATAAATTGATGTTGGATTAGCTTCCGCCCAACCTTCCATAAGGGGATTTTTTTAAAGGATGTTAGGGCAAGAAGGCCACACATTTCACACTTTTGGTCCTTAAAGAACGTTGTGGTGGTTGCTATTTGACCTCACTGACAATCCATTCTAAAGATCCACCAAGGTGGCTCACATGTCCCTTTCTCTGGAATTCATTTTATCTTCACAGCAACTACCCTGTGAGGTAAGTGCTGTAAGTAAAACTAGAGTAGAACCAGTTGCCTAGAGAGGTGGTGGGCTATCCCACACTAGAGATGTTCCAAAAGAAACTGGACAGTCATGGTGTGAATTGGTGTCCTGCAACAGCAGGGGGTTGGACCTGAGAGCCTTCTTGTTCCCTTCCAGCTCTGCTATTCTATGACTCTATGATAAGCAAGGCTGGGAGTTCATGTCCAGCCCAAGTCACCCAGTAAGCTTCACAGCTGAGTGGGAACTAACATTTGAATTCCAGTTCATCACTTCAGCTCATGAGGGGAATGAAACCTCTTTCCATCTGGTGAATATCCAGGATCACCCTCTTCTTGCATGCAGTTTTGTGTACCCCGATAACCCAAAGGTACAGTACCTCCAGCTGCATTTTCACAGATGAATGATGATTTCTCGGAGCAAGTGTGGTATCTCCAGTACCCTTTTGAATCCGAGAGAAGCATCTGCACACAGGTTTCCTTCATCCCCTCAGGTCTGCCTGCAGGCATCCAGTTCTGGAATGAACCAACCAGTCCCCCGTCCACCCAGTGTAAGGTTCCAAAGGCGCTCAGGTCGCTCAGCCCAATCCAAACCATGCCAGCACTGCTGGGAAGAAAAGCAAGGAAATAAACCATTGCCCATACTGTGCCCAGTCCAGCAACTGGTTTCTGCCCCCTTCCATCACTATGGACGAATGGGAAAGAACAGTAGGGACTGGGCTTCAGTAAGCGGGGAGAAATGGTGCGCTGTCTTCTGCCTGGCCTAGTAAGCTTCTTGGAGGCAGAGTCCACTGCAGCCAAGTACCGGGAAGAGAAATCTTCATTTCCCCTTGTGGGGCACCATGGTGGCAATCCCCCACTACAAGAACACCCATCACAGAAACCCCTCAAAACTGACCCTAGCCCTGGGAAATCAATGCGGAATCAGTTAACACAGCACTCTGTAAAGTTCCCCTCCCCGGGATGATGTAAAGGAATGAAATGTTTTGTCACATTCCTGGTGCATCATTTTATCTTGCAGGGATTGGGATGGTATTAGAACAATGCAACCGACGTTGAGTTCTTGGGAATAGACTGGGAGATGCAGGAGGATAGGTGGGTAGGTAGATATAATCTTGACACTGTTCATTATGATGGATAGAGCTAAGGAGCTTGTATATAAAAGGCACAGGGCAAAGTCATTTACCGAGAGAATGACTTTTGCAGGAAGTTCTGTAGCTCCAAGGATCTCACCACCGCTAGGTCTCCTCCAGGTAACTGCTGGCACACCTTTCTGGCATGCTGCCATGTCTCCTTAGTTTCACCAAGCCAGTAGCAGTTCCAGTTCTTCAAACTGATTTGGCTGCCTCGCGGGCAAGAAGGATCTAAACATTTAAATTATGAGAACATGAATTTTCTCCCACCATTTAGAGATGTTTAATCTTGCTCCTAATTATTTTTATTACATTTATATCCTACCTTTTTTTCTTAGAAGGAACCCAAGGGTGGCTTACATGTTCTCCTCCTCTACAGTTTATCCTCACAACAGCCTTGTGAGGTAGGATAGGCTGAGAATCAGTGACTGGCTGAAAATCATCGAGTGACTGGATGCTTAAACCCGGATCTCCTGAATCCCAGTCCAACACTCCAACCACTGCATCACACAAAGCTTTTTCAAAGGAAGCCTGCTTCTCTTTATTTGTCAGGCGCCCCTTCAAGAGTACCCCATTGTTCTTATGTTATATACAGAACTAGAATCAAGGTAACTAATGTGACACTACATTCATAACAAACATTGGCCCTGAACCAAATAAAGGTGATTACAACTTAGTCCTATCAACATTCGTTGTTTTGATCGAAGCCTCATTGCCACCAGTGCAACTGAAGCAAAACAAACGGTGGCTGGATTGTGGCCACGGCAATTCATCTGAGCCAAGTGGAAACGGCATCAGTGGTGATCCATCATCCACATGAGATCTGCCATTTCCCCCAGAAAGTTCATCATTCTTCGGGCACCATTTCTGGCCCGGTTCAAATGTCTTGGCCTGGCCTTATGATCGGAACAAAAGCAACAGAAGCAGACCTGGCAGCACCGAGCCTGCACACCAGGCCCCCCACCCAGAAGAATGCGTGCAAGTTTTTCTTCTTTCTTTTTCAAAGTTAAAAAAAGGAGTTGGAACCCTGTGTTAAGGATTGCTGCTCTAAGACTGAAACGTGCTCTGCCTGATGCTCTGGGCTATCCTGGCAACTCCAAAAAAACTAGAACTAAAGCCAAAAGAATTGTCATGACAACCCTAAACAAGCTTGATCAGTGGCTGACCCTCATAAATCCCTCCCAAGTCTACTGGTTGCTTCAGGGGCCTCCCCCATCCACAGGGTGGAGGTGTTCAGGTGCCTCAGGAAGGCCTCTGTTCAGGTTTTTCAAGCTTTCCAAACCCTGTTCAGGGAAAAAAAGGGTTTTGGTTCTTTTAAACAGTTGCTATCGACCCTGGCTTTCCATTTCTGTCATTTCCAAACAAGCAGGGACAAGGATGAACAGGGGTTTAGAAATAGGAACTTCCATGTCGGGTTTCTCCAGGCACAGGGATTAAGAGGCATCTCCCTGCCAGTTCCCCATATTTTAGGTTTCTGCAAAAGTGAACCTCAATCTTATTTACTTTTTAAAGTAAGATCCTTCTGAGGAAAGTTTTGAGTGTCAGCCAGCCCATATTCTGATACGGGCAGCCTGGCAACTTGCTGTCTGACTTGCAAGCCATTCAAAAGGTTCCAGTTATTTTGGCACCTAAGGCAGAAAATCCCATAAGCACCCTTCCCACAACTAACCCTAGAAAGCAGGGG